GGTAGTTGGCCTAGTAAGACTGACACTTTGCGTACCCAGATTTCTACAGATCAAATATTGTTTGTAGCACTGTGGAAGAAAAAAAATCTCAAAAAACTATCAATAGGAGATCATTTTTAATATTTTTGGTATGGTAAAGTATCATATGAAAAGCAGCCAAGAATAAGATAAGTTAAAGTCAAAGTAGGTGTGAGTCTTAGGGCTCATTTATGCTCAACGTTAGATCCGGAGACAGATGGAGCCTTATGTCCGTACTCTAAGTTGATTTCGTCCATATTTGTGCATGTTTTCTGAAACTTACGGATACAGATGAAACGGAGCAGTACCACTGAAGATCGTGGAGGCAGTGTAGCGTAGTTCAGGCAAGAGCTGACTGTAGGAGACAATAAAGACATTAAAATAATGGTGGAATGGAACAAATCGGTTATATAGTGAAAAGTATCCTACATTCATGTGTCGGGATATATATACTAGCAGCACAGACCACCACCGTCTACAACACTGCCTCTGTTTAAAGATACAATATTACAACCTCCTCCTCTGTTGCCTTGTTTGTTGTTGTGTAAAACTTTTGAACCCGCCCCCTAGTGCCATCTATTGGCTGTATCTATGCCAACATAAAGTATGAGGGCAGGGAAGTTTACAATGTTTGAAACGGACCTATCCATTTTTGTACATAAAGGGAGTATAAATGAGCCTTAAGAACTGAGAAAGTAGACTTGAGTACTACAGTGTAATTTCAATATTTACTCTGATGCTACTGTCAAAACACACACTAGTGCCCCCCAAAAAATGACAAAATCAGGGCACTGTTGTGCGGTGTAAGAAAACCAGGGAGTGTAGTTCTTCAGTATAACATAAGCAGCCACCATTCCTACGTATGTGTACAGTTTGTATGTGTGTGTAGCGGAGCAAAGTTTTGAGATGTTGTGAGAACAGGTAACTGAATGCAGACACACAGATGTCACTGTATTTGTGCTGTTTAAACCCTCGACCAGCAGCACAGCAGCAACACGACAGGTCTCTGTTTATGAATGACAGCTGGTTCCTCTAGTCAAAGGGATTTCTGCTAACATGCACATGTCAGCATGTCCGACACTGTACCGACACTCTGTTAACATGCCACGGTGTGTTTCCTGGTCTGGGCCCACGCTTATGTTTTTTTAAAGGTATGAATGGTTATTTATCAGATTTGTGATCTTCTAAAGACACATGCCTGTGGAGATGTATCCATAGTAACTACGTAAAATACTATAAACTTAAGTGTTTGTTGTAAATGTCATGAGTTGTACATTTGGAGGATTGTAACCCAGCAGATAATTAAAGATGATAGCTGGTGATTGCTGGTGTCTTTTTTTCTGTAGTATGCTTCTATCTTCTCACATCATTCTTTTGACTTTAAATGCAGTCACACTACTTTTAAAATCACAATTTGCACTCTACTGAGTGTACTGAGTTTTGCCTAGTCCCACCTTACAATGCTGTGATTGGCTAGTACTCATCACGTTTACACATTGAGGATGGACATATGATTAAGGCTGCAAGGTCATGGTAAGGGTTAGCACCATAGACTGTATAAGATAAAGATTTAGCCACCGTGACAGACTTCGGTTTTGATACCTCAAAAGTTTGGCATTTTGGCCGTTGCCATCTTGCTTTTTTTTTTTTTTTTTTTTTGAGCCAGAAGTGATAATATTTGGACGCAAGGGTGGGGATAACCCTAAGACTAGCTGCTTGCTTTGTTAGCATTTACAGCTATAGGTAACTGTGATAATACTAATGCTAATGCTAATTTTAGCTAGCTATCTGGCTTTAAACTGCTGAAACAAAAATGTGCTCACCAGAAAAATTTCACATCCGACCTTTAGTGTCTTTTTGTACAACCAAAATCTGAACAAGACGTTTTTAGGTGACCAAAATGTTGAGGAAAACTTTCATGAACTGAAAACATAATGAAATACCAATGGCTACGCCCATACTCTTTGAATTTGGGGTTAGGCCAGTGTTACATTACCTAAACAACAAGGTCACTGTGGTGGCAGCTTGTCAATGGACGGCACCCACCTGACACTCAGAGTGACCACACCCTTAATTATGCATAACTTAAAGCCTTGTTTACATCAACAACTGGTTGACATTACATAAAAGTTCATCCCTGCACAGTCGTCATGCATTTTAACATGGGGGGTCTGTGGGGACTGACTCACTCTAGGAGCCAGCCTCAAGTGAACACTACAGGAACTGCAATTTTTGGCACTACTGCTTTGGCTTAATTTTTCAGCCCCAGAGTTGGCAACTTGGTTAGTACTAGCCAATCACAGAACAGTAGGGCAGGACTATATGCAACATTAAGTCATAACTCGGATAACCTTCCACCATCTTGCCTGGTTATCATTTATTATCGCCAACTATTGGCAGTGAAGCACTGCTAAGTGTCAGCAGCACTGATATGTTAGTTAAAGATATAAAACAGTGTTTTAATGTTTTATGCAAACTTAATTCAAAGGTAAATGTTAGTAATGTTAACGTATCTGACCGCTCAGCAGCTGATTCCATTAATCAAGTGTAAACATACATTATACATACAACATGTTAGGAATAACAAGTGTTTGTTTTTACTCCTAAATTTTCTATGAATTTGAAACATTTAGGCATTTTTGCCATGTAACTTAGGATATTAGCAATTTTTAAGAGTATTTGCCGGTGAGTTGACCGTTCTTACCTATTACGTTCAAGCAAAATTGAAAAAATAAAATTGTCTGCAATATCAGTGCACAATTATCTTCATGATTAAAAGCATTTGTTCGTTTGGAGGTCTAATAAAGTTCTACTAAAATCTTTTTTTTTTTTTTGGTTGATCCTAGACAGGCACAGTTCTTACGCTCATTATTTAGATAAAAAATAATACTATTTGTGTATTGATAGAAGAATACAAGCATTATAAAGACAATATAAGCCTCTTTCACCACAGTTTCCATTTACAGCAGTTCAAAACAGGACCCAGGTAAGATGGCTGCCACATGGTTCCATCCCAGAATGGTAAGTCATTGACCCCATTAACACCTTGAAATAAATCCATTTTGGGTGACTGGATTGCAGTCTGACAGTGCTTGACCAAAAATGCATTGAGGATGGATCATCATCTGATCGTCCAAACCACCTTTTGAGGTGGTTGTGGATGCATTTTCAATCCACACACAACAATGATGTTGAGGGAAACACATTATCATGTGACCAAACCAGCAAGGTAGCAGCCATTAGCCAGTTAGCAAGCTAAGCTACTAGCAAGAAAGCTTATGGAAATATATAGTTTGGACACCCACCAGACTTCATTTGTAAAGGTCGCCATCAGTATCCTCTCCCACCAGTCTTGACAGCATTCCTGCAGATCATCCTCTAGACAGTTGTGGCAGTGACCACACCTTAAAATAAAAGCAGCCGCATAATAAAATGGCATTCTTCCCTGCTTTCATCTTCAGCATTCCAGTTGGTGAAGACCACTTCACTTTTTTTTCCATGCTTTGAAAAGCAAGCAGAAGTTCATATAATAGCACAGCCTCATTGATGGCTACCATTTTTTTTTTTATTTTCTTTGGGACAGAGAGATGGGATATCAATGGATAAGGACAGAAACCCTTTGAACCAGGTGTAAATGTAATCAGGTTAGATTATATATACATTATGTCTATACTGAACAACAATTTTAAATGCAACACTTGTTTTTGCCCCCATATTTGACAGGTTTAGGTAAAAAAATTGACATTTTTATGCACTCATTAGATATCTTTCTCTCAAATTTTGGTTGCAACTTATTTTTTTTTTTAATTTGTGTTAGTGAGCACTCCTTTTCCAAGGTAATCCATCCACCTGACAGGTGTGGCTTATTAAGATGCTCATTAAACTGAATGATTGCTACACAGGTGTGCTTTGAAATGGTAACAATAAAAAGCCAGTCTAAAATATGCAGTTTGATCACACAGCACACTGCCACAGATGTCCACCAGAGCTGTTGCTTGCATTTCACTCAAATAAGCTGAATTTTGCAATACCTCTAACCGGCCTTAACCACCCAATTTGCACAACTGGAGAGTTTTAGCAAGCTGTTAGAAACCATCTCAGGGACGCTCGTGCATGCTCATCATCCTCACCAGGATTCTGACCAGACAGCAGTTAGTCATCATAACTGACTCGTGTGGTTGTGAGGCCAGGGGTCATTGTGACACGTCATATCTGTTTCATATCTAAGGGAGAAACACATTAAACGCAGTTTAGACAGAATGTGAACTGAAAAAATGGCCAATATCCAGACTGTACTAGCTGTAGCTATCTAGCATTGAACTATGATTATTTACATTATTTTCCTCATTTCTCCCCTTTTCCTTTCATCTCTGTACATTTATTAAGTTTTTCATATCAGCTGTGGGATAGGCACGAACTCATGTGATCACACCTTTACCTCAGTTTGCACCACACAGAGCAAGTTGGTGCTATCACAGTATGGCATTTATCTCCCACTGGGTCTAATTTGGTTGAATTAAAAATGCTTCTCAGATAGTTTGGTGTTGTCTGATCGCGACAATTTGTCAATTTCCTCCATTTTGCATTAGTGTAGATACATCAGCAGGGCATGCAATAGATCAGAGTCCATTTTACTCGCTGCTGGAGCATGAGGCCCTGTGGTGCTCATCCCCGATGCAATTTTTGAATTTGGATGATCAGTTACAGATTGAGTATGTCATTTTTCCGGTAATTAAACATTAGTTTGTATTCCCAGTAAAGAGCGGAAAACAGATAGCCTTACTTGCAGTTGCAGTCCAGTTGTTTGGAATACACAGAATTCAGACTTATTTCTCTCAGCAGTGACAGACACTAAAGATGTCCAGGAACACTGACAGACGATGTGTGGGAAGTGCAATGTATAAACAAATCAGTGCGCTCTTGGTGCCAGAAAGCTAGATGAAAAAATACCACTTTACAGACTCAAGAAAGCAGAAAAAAAATCTGTTTTTTTTTTTCACCTTAATTAATTTTACTTGATATTAAAATCAGTCCAATTTCAACAGGACATGAGACAAGGAAATTAGAGGAGGTAGTTACATTACAATGTTTGTGGGATATACTGTGATCATCTAAACAATCTGTAGAAGTGACAGGTAGTGATGAGTGACAGGTCTAAACACCTTAGTACACCTCATTAGAGCATTGTACAACCTCATGAGCTCCATCTGTAGAGTGACACGTAAGCTTCAGTAGTAATCAACGTTTTGCTGTCCTATACAGCGGGGACGTTATGAAACCAAATCAAATGTATAATAAATACTTAGTATCAAGAACACTACTGATCCCTTTTCAAGTAGCTTTAACACTTGCACATTTTCAGTGTACTAGTTCCACAATATCAATCTGAACATACTTTACTGAAAAAATACTTTGCAAAACAAAACAAAACAAGAGATGCATGCCTTCAGCCATTCAAAGAAACACTGAGGGAAAATCTGAACACTTTTTTTGAGTGTGTCTAAAATTGCTTACTTCTGTTAGCTAGCAAGCTAATGTTAGCACTTGCATTATTGTTCATCGTTTCAAATTGTTACAGACCCAACAAACATTACTGACAGATTCTATTCAACAGTATTGGTAAAAAAAACATGTATAACATGGATAACACAGCAGTGTTCACTGTGGCCAGTTCAGGCTCCTTGTTGTCCCCAGCCGCCATGTCAGATGCTTCCGCTACATCACAGAGTTGGCGACCATTAAGGGTGAGAAGTGTCCATCATTACACACTTAACTTTTGGATCATTTTGAGTGTGCCAGTAGTACAGTGCATTTTCCCATACTAAATGTTTCGTATAGAAATATGCGATATGAGGCACAGTTTCAATCAAGAATGAGCTGTATAGACTTGTGTATACTGATCAGATTTGTGTCAAAATACACACAGTGAAAGACAATCACAGGATGCACGTGCTAGGTTTGTTTTCATTCGAGTAAGGGCAGAAATATATAAGACAATACTGAGAATGTTTAAAACTGCCCTCACAATGTTAAAAAGTCTATTAAAAATTCTCAGACCCACACCATAGATGACATTTTATCCCTAGCTCATGTTTTAACCACCAAAGTATGTAAAGCCTGATAAGGTAACATTACCTTCTTGGTGACAGTTATTACCATAATATAAATGAAATGCGTAGTCGTACATGTATCAGAGCATAAACATGTTTCACAATCATCCAGACTACTCCAAGTCTTCAAAAATGTTTAAGGTGTGAAAAGAGTGCTACAGGGATGTTCATTTTTATAGCCCAACCTGGAAGTTCTGCATCGCCCTGGTTCCCTTGTCAAAAAGTGTATGGGATTTCTCCATTGGATTTTGGATTATTGCAGAAAAAAAAAACTCTGTGGCAAACTAACATTTATGATACTTGCGTGTTTCGTTCAGAAGGGTAGTCTTTAGTCATGGACACTACTTTAATGACTTTTTGAGGTGTATGTGCAACTGCCAGACGTAAAAAGCTAACATTAGGATGTAAATGAACTCCACCACTATCACATGACTTCTTTTTTAGGATTTTTTTTTTTTTACTTTAATTGATAGGACAGTGTTTGGTGTGATGGGGGGAGAAGGGGGGTGACATGCAGCAGGGGCTGCAGGCAGGACCCGAACCCACTGCTGCTGTAGTAAGGACATCACCTTTGTACATAGGATACCTGCTCTACCCACTGAGCTACTATGGCACCCCCTACAGTCACATGACTTCAACGTTGCCAGCATAACAAGTGTGATGACATCACAGTGGGGTATTAACTGACAAATTTTATGGCGCAGAACAAAACCTGAAAGTCTCTTCAGCTTGTGTTAACCACAGACCTTAATTCAGACACCTAACCAAAGACCCATTCAAAAAAAACCTAGTGACTTCAAGATGAGGGAACCGGGAGTGCTAAAATGCAAACTTGGGTTTGGTTTTAGGGCTCATTCTTGCACCACTCTATGAAGGGGGTCATTTGTCAAACTGTCAGGACTGTCAGAAGAGCCGTTCAAGAATTACAATGACTTCTTTACATGGGCTACAGTGCGATAGGATTGGGCTGTAATGGTGCTAATTTTTATACTTGACTTTCAGTACAGATGCAAAAATGTAACCATTCAATATCTGATTTTGAGAAATATAAATGTTTTTGACACATTTTCCATTGAAAGGATTAATTCAGATTTCTCAAGTCCATCATGTATGTTGGTCACCCTGATCCTTTCCAAACTGGTTGAAAAGAAGTCCCTTTAGCAGTTTACATGTGAACAAAATATATGACTTGCAGTGTCAGGTTTTGGTACTTGATTTCAGTCAATACCCCAAAAATATAATTTGATTCTCAGACCTAAATATGAAAAGCTGTAAACTCTATCCATACATTAACTTATCCCTAAGTCCAATAGTAAGTCCCTCCAGGATGTTTCAATGTTGCGATCACAACAATTAACGCAAATTCAACCAATCCCTGTGAATACTGTGTGACTTTACAATTTTGTCTAATCAGAGCAACTTTTCTGTAAATTTGGCAAATCACTGCAGTTTCCCGTAAGTTTCACCAATCATAGCAGTCCCCTGCATAAACTGACATCCTTTTGTTCCTGGTTGTAGACATGAAACATGCAGGTCTCACATATACCAACAAAAATGACTGCTAAAGACCGTGAAAGGCAATTCCTTGATGTTCAGCACTAAAGCAGGGTTAAGCTGTTTTGCAGTGTGTTCAACGTTGTGGTGGAACACCTGGAGAATGGCTGAAAAGTGTTGACAACAGACAAGACAAATCACCATGAGGGAGGCTGTTGCATGGTTAGTGTTAACATAAGTGTAGTATAAATCAAAAACCCAGAACAGTGCGGTTTTCTTCTCACTAGAACGAGTTGTCTTCGGTTGTTAAGGAATTATAAAATTTTTAAAAATATTAGATATTTTTGCATTTTTCACTTGCTCCGGCAATTTTGTTGCCAAAAAAGGCCTAAAAACATTGCAACAAGCATCGCAATTTTTTTTTCTTTAATAAAGCTGCCATGGAATCAGGCGTTTTAGGCGGCAACAATTCCCAGAAAAAAAAGCCAGTGAAATCCTGGAGGGACTGATGAGCTGAATAGTAACTCGTTATACTAAAGACTTCATTTTTCTCTTGATAAGCTGGTGTCTGGGGAAAATTTAGCTCATTTCTGCCATCACAACACAGATATTCATATTTCTACACGACTGTCACTGAACACAAATTCAAATTCACTGTTTGTGCAACAACAAGAATTCTGTTTAGGTTTGTATATTATTCAATGAGCAGAAAGATTTCGTGACTGGTTAAATGGGAATTTGTGGAGCTGAAGAAGTCCTGGAATTTCAGGACATTTCAAAGTGTTATTTTAAGGAAAAAAAAAAAAGGACCGCTTCCTAACTTTCATAATTTTCATGACTTCGCCCACCAGAGCCTCAGTCCTAGACAAGTGGTAGAAAGGTACGTAAAGCAAGTACTCAACTTTAAAATAGGCAGAACCTCAGTTTCTTGCACACAACTATTTCACAGTCCTACATGACAGTTTAGCAACAGAGCGTTATTTCCACAGTGAAAAATACCGATCTAATATCAAAAAGATGTATCAAAACTCCTACTCTCTACACGAAGCTATCAAAACTGGAGCGCTGTGATGACCTGCATGTAGTGCATGTTTAACCATCCTCCCGAACAATTCTCTTTTTACAGAAGTCACACACAGTGTTATATACAGAGCATTTCATATTAGTGCCTTGAAAAAAGGTGCTGGTTCAGTGAACAAAATGGTGCAGGTGATCGGCGAGGTCTTCTGAATGCTCCCCTGATAATGTGTTCAACAAGACGCATTCAAAGACCCCGAGCTGACAAAGCAAAATGAGACAAAATCCATTATTTTCCATTTTTATGTGATAAACACTGGATTAAATTCATACAGTCAGATTCAATTTCATAAAAAGGAGGATACCTGTTAGAATTGCAATGCTGCTTGCTTCAGCATTAGGTAAAGAAACTGGAAAAGAGAAGATACAAAATTACATTCATTAGAAAGCCTTCAAATCATCAACTAATTAAAGCTCCAACACCCCTGTGTTGGTCAACAGTTTCAAAATAAAAGTTGAGGGCACAACAGAAAGCAGAACAATTCAGGGTTAGGTTGGGAGTGCTTGGTTTTCTGCAGAGGATCAGCGGTCTACACTAAAGGCTGGAGAGAGAAGACTTGGGATTACATTTTGAGACAGAAAAATGTCTCCAGTTGCACACACTCACAGTGGAGGAAAAGGCCACGAAGAAAGACACGACTGTTGTTTAAGTCACATGACTCCAAGGCTTATTAATGCAAACAAGCCCAGCTCAGTAGGAACACGTAGGAAGGTCATAAACATGCAGTCACACTGAAAAGGATTTTTTTTCGGATTTGTCTCTGAGCTACATGCTTTGAAAAATCAAATGTTTGGAATGTACCAATTGGACATTCTCTGCACCAGAGTGTCCTGCTGTGTCTGCTCCTGAGCTTTCAAAGGATAAATGTGTATTCACATTACAGTGGTGCAGAATTTACTACTCTGGACCTCACCATGACTCTCTACTTAATGGTACCACCTTGGCTTTAACACCTATGTTTCTGTCTCAGAGACTCAACCCATGTTTTTGTAACAAACCTGGTAGCTGCATCTGCATGCTGGTATTTCACCATGTAAATATTTATGGTCTTGATTAAGGTCAGCTTGTTATTTTACAATTTTGGAAAGTCATTCACTTTCCCCCCACTCCGTTCGGCCATGGCAACATGCCACATACATGCCATGTCTTCAACTGCCTGGAAAATTCAACGTCAGGCACTCTGTGTGATTCATGTGCTTATTCTGTGCCTACTTTTAAGAGTGCAGAGGCATGTTGTATCTGAGGTTGCTTTGACTTTGCAACCATAACAAACACCAGCCTACTTACATGAAATACTGTGCCGAGCTGATCTTCTTCCAGGCCCTGGTTTTTAAGTGTGTTTGTCCGTTGGACAGATGTAAAGCTCTGGCAGCTCTGCACTAAAATGATCAACTATCTCCATATTTATCACATACTGCTATTTAAGGGCAAAGGGAAAAATATCTGCTGGCTGTGATTGGTTGTTCTTCGTCACAACATGCAGTGCACTCGGCTGCGAACTCGTTTTTCTCAGGGTGCAGCAGTCACGCCAAATACGTGCTCTGCACCGAGACGGCGATGCTCTGGTGTTTGAGCGCACCTGCTGCGCCTCTACATTGAAAACAATGAATTTGAGAGCGCAAAAAACACAGCATGTGCACTGCCCCTTAATGTTGTGTTAACACTGGGCGCGAATAAAACAATTTGCTCGAGTGAATTACATGTAAAGTCATTGAAGCAGTGCAAATGAAGCAAGTAGCGTCAGTGATCATACCAAAAGGTGTCCGGAAACCCAAAGGGGAATCCAACATGTTGACATGGATCCTGGTTTTCAGGGACAACTTCAGAAACTGTTCACAGCTTCATTTGAACTTATTAACCTACAATTGAGAGGTAAAGTCCCTCCCCTTCTGGTGGACCACCATGGGTCTTTGTGTCAGAAAAAATATGGAGGGTTATTAATGGCGACAAACAAATAATTTGATCCCATTTGAACTGTGCGATGAATTACACATTTGTCAATTTAAAAGATTACTTACAACAAGAAAGTCACTGTTTGTTGAAGTCTAAGGCTCCAATCACACAGAACACATTATGCAGGTTACAAAACGTGAGGCGCACTGCACTGCCTCTTTTTTTTGTTTTAATCGAATGCCACCAGCAAAAAAATGCCTTTTGCCCTTTTTTATTGTAGCCAGGCAACCACACCATAACTTCCTTAGCCTAACCTACCCATGTAATCAATCTGCTGTTTAATTTGGCTAGCTAAAACTATCTACTTATATTCACAGTAGTTAGTAGCGAGTTACTGGAATGGACAGGCAGAGGATATTTGCTGTAACTCTGGTTGAGGGTGAGAGGCTGTCAGCAAATAGTTTCTTGGGCAGAGGGAAACAGAGAACTGTGGGGGTACATGAGACCCTTAAAAAGAGGGTGGATCATAGCGAGCACCACCAGTTTCTCCTCCGCTGTTTACCAACTGTAAACTTGTTGTCTTGTCCACCACAGAATGCCCGCCTCTAAAAGTATCTGACTAGACGATGGGAAAAAAGCGGAGATGATGTGGAATGCTTTTCTGCTCTGACTTTAATTTTTTTCATTAAAAAAATTACAAAAAGCTGCTTTCAGCTGTTAAAACACTTTCTGTGTGATCGGGGCCTCAGACCGTGAAAAAAACACGATTTAACTACACAAGTAGCAGTAGTTTCCAACTGTTGGGACGTGGTCCGACAGTGAGTTGTGGGTCCATTCTGAAAGGACCACAAGTGGCTCACAAACGTGTTAAGTTTGTAAAAAAAACACCCTTTGTTTTTAAGTACAGTGAATTTCCAGCACAGAGCTTTTATTCTTAAGTCCTTTTTCCAGCTGTAGAGTAAGCTCTTACAACTGACAGCTACTTGAGAGAGACGGCAAACTAGCTCGACATGGCCATACTCAAGTATGACGCTGAATGTATTTAACTGTGTGGACCTTAAACTAATGACAAAGGAGAAATCTGAAACAGCATAGTATCGCAGTATTTTTGTGTGGCAATATCATATCGGCACACAGTGCCAAGTATCAAAGTTTTTTTTATTACATGAATTATTAATATTACAAATATAAGCTAAACTTTAGGTAGCCTACTAGAATAATATAACCAATTGCTCTTTCAGTCCACTAAATACATTTTGCTGCTTTTGTGAGAGGAACAGACTGAAAACTTCTTCTTATTAGATAAACAAAGTTTTCTTTTGGGGGCATAATTTAAAGTAGAAAAAAGGTAATAAATCGCAATATATTTTATTGCAATACTCAGCATATTACAACATATTCAAAATCGCAATAATATTCTATTGTGACTTATGTACTGTGTTATTATCGCATCATGGATCCTCTGGTGATTCCCATCCCTCATTAAAGCTATGATTGGCCAGCTCTTACATGTTGGCGAGGGTCATGAGGATCAGGACTCTTGTACAACACTCTATAGGTTGGACTTCATGTAATGCTTTGGTAGAATACTGCTTACACATCTTTATAAAAGCTGATGTTAAAATGGAGAACAGGAAATGGAATGTGAGGAGGAAAATGTTAGGCAGACATAAATAAAATATAATATACTATATATATATATATATATATATATATATATGTATATATGTATATGGACTACAAGAAAAGGTCATTCTAAAGTCAATTCCATTTTGAATTTAAATATATCACTGAATGAATGGAATTACTGATTGGCAAATATCATCTTAAATTTAATTTAAAAGCCTATTTAATTAATAAATTTTAATATTGTGTGTGTTGAGTGTGAGTGTGAGTGAGTTTCATTTGTTATTAGTTTTGGGGTTATGTAGAGAAAGGCATTAGATGTGACAGGATGGGTGGAAGATGGAGTTGTTGATACATTTCTGATGACTTTATTAATTGAATTTCTTTAGTGTCACCCATCAGTGCAGCATGAGGTCACAGTGAGCATGTCACATGCCTGTTTCATTGAATCAATTAAATTGATCAATTCATGAATTGATGTAATTAAGCCGTGACAAATTACAGAATTACTCCAGTGGCTCACTTTTGCCTCCACAGGACACTCAGTACTCATAAGTGCTATAACGTCTTCTGCAAAACGTCTTCAAGAAACGCAAGCAAGTCCTGTTGCCTACGATATAGCACGTATGATTACCATGACCTGGATGACTGAGAATCTTCACTGAAACAACACTCAGTACGTTTACATGACATTTGAGAAAATCGATTTATTGTGTTACTCCGACTAAAACTGGACTTTCAAAATACACGTAAACACATTAGTCCATCTGAAATCGAAGTCGAATTTCTCAAAGTCGGACACATAACACATTCAGATAGTGTGATCTGTAGTCAAATTACTTCTGCAACGTATACAGTCAGTAGCAGCCAAACTCAGCTAGGTGTTCTGCACACGCTCCACAGTTCCTGCCCCTGGCTTTGAAGAGTCGAGTAGCATTAAATGCGTAACAGAAGAAGAAGCCAGTAACAACATGGCAAAATCTACATCCAGAGCTGTGCATTGCTGGACAGATGAAATGTACAGAGCTGTAAAGTTGTCCACTATGGTACCAGTTTGATGCTAGCTAACCGTAGCTAACTTGTCTGTTGAATGTTTGGTCTGTGACTTATTAGGTCAACCAGAAAATGGTCCACTGCTAACATGCTGAAAGGGGTATATCACCACCTATCATGGCAGAGTCAGACATACTTGAGTCAATAAATCGATTCCCCTCACGTGCTTTACTGGGACAAGGCCAGTAGTCCAATTAAAATCAGCCATAACAATAGCCTGACTTAACTGTGCGTGTAAATGTACTGAGTTTACAGATTTTTACAGATTTGGCCCTTAGATGGAACACAACACAACACCAAACACATATCATCCACCCAATCACAGCAACGCTACAGACAAAACAATGACCAAATGATCCATCACACCCACCGGCTACAAACACATATACAGCATGTGTTTGTGTGTCTCATGAGTAGTAAGCCGATGATTTCTTGCTGGAGTGTGGTGGGAGTCGACGCATGGAGAGAGGGGGGGGCACCCTGACGAAGCATGGAGGAGGAAGAATGAGGTGAGTGTTGGCATTGTGATGATAAAGCTCCGAAAATGAAAAGGGAGGAGCTTCATGGCCCTCAGCCTGCCAAGGAATTCAAACATCTTTTTCTGCATTATTAAAAGATGTTTGATGAAAAGCTGATAATATGTTCTTTAGCTATTTATCTCTGCTATTGTCATTTTAAAAGGTCTTGATTTTATTCTCATATTCTGTGCTATTAACATTCTCAACCTGCATCGTCATGCACCTTGTGCAGCCCCAAAGACTACATATCTTTTTTTGTTGTGCGCACAAGCTCAACATCTTAAACAAACAAGGTATCAGTCCTGTGCAAACTGGATAATAAAGTGTAACAACACTGGCTACAGCTGTTGTGCTAAACACATAATTACCTATATGCACAACATATGTGAATCATCTACAAACAACATAATAACCAGTGTGCACGAAAAAATATGGGTCTACAGCAAACAAGACATAAGGATCTTTTGCTAACAGGATAACTTGTGCGCCTAAGATATACACTATATACCTTCAGCAAAATAGATTTAAAGATCTAGCCTATATATAACTTTAATCACTTTAGGGACTGGGTACCTCCCAGACCTATGTACAAACCTTGCATCAAGCATTCTTCTTAGAGCCAAAATATTAATACCATTGTTTTCTTGCAGATAGCGTTAAAATTTGTGCATTTTATTTGCACTGGGAAGTCTGAATTTCTGAGTCACCAGTCAGAAACTTCAACTGGAAGACCCCCTAAAGTTCAATTCCATGTGTTCCATTTACCTTCGATGTTGGAAATTGGACTGGGAATGATGTCCCACCTGAGTTTACCACATTCCAATACAACAAATCGGAAAACCAAGATGTTGTTAGCAATACCAGTTCTAGCCAAGTCCACAGATAGAAGTTACGCAACACTGTGTGTACAACTAATCTGAGAGAATTCACCCTTCACTAAGGCCCACCCCCCTTAGTTACTGTTGCTACGTCCGACAAACTTTCGTTTTCGGAGCTAGACTAGCATGGCACTCCATGCAGAAATACTCTCAAATTTTTGGAAAAACAAAAAAGTGATTTCAGACAGAAGCAGACAGAAGGGTCTACAATATGCATTTGAAGGATATATTCAGGATGTCAGACTGACACAGCAAAGAAGTCAAGGTAACAAAATAAAGAATGAAGCTAAAGCCTACAGATCACAGAGTAAAAGTGAACCACCACATCAATGCTGATCGCCACAGAAGACAATGAATATAAAGGGAAACTTTGCTGATATTGAACCAGCTGTGTGGCATCACAGTGTGAACAGATGAACAGTGTTTGGCTTCGCCCCCGTGCCGCTGCCAGCACCCGGACCTCCGCTGCCGGACAAGCAGGGATCTCCGGGGGAAGTCAAACTACATTCATCTGCGCACAATGCGATGACACACAGCTGGTTGAATATCAGCAAAGTTTCCCTGCTTTCCTTCACTGGTTCCTGTACAGCAGGGTCAGGCTTTTTTTTTCCTGTAATCATTAAAAAGCAAAAGCAGCATGTGTATACATTCAGTAGGCTATATCTTCACTAGCTAGCTAGCTAACTCTACACTTTTCAGGGTTTGATTTTGGTTTTGAAACAGAAACGTAAATCTCCTTCCTACCTCTCCAGGTAACGAGTATCATTAATACACGACGTGCCCTGTCCTGTCTCAAGAGTTTTCACTGTTGCCTTCTGGTCTCGATACCTTGTACCTCTGAGCAGGACTAATCGCTACTCTAAATCTCTTATCCCTTCAGCTATTCGGTTACTAAACTTAGATGGTAATTAGTTTAACAAATAATGTCCTGACAGAATAGAAGGGATTATGGTCTTTCTTTCTTATATTTATACTTGTATCTTTTTTTTACTGACATTTATCTTAACTTACGTGCCCAATCAACGACCCGGTTGTCTGTTTTACTGGACTTTGCTTGGCATGGATTAGTGTGCTGTTGTTATTTGTACATTGTGGGATGGAGAAGCTCCTTGTGGGATCAATAAAGTTGTTTCTGTTCTATTCTATTCTATTCCAATTGCTAACCTGGCTAAAACTGGTATTGCTAACAAGTGCTAACCTGGCTTAAAATGGTATTGATACCAATTGCTAACCTGGCTACATATGATGCTAACAATGACAAACCTGACTAAAGCTGGTATTGCTGACAACGGCTAACCTGGCTGAAGCTAGTATTGCTAATAATATCTTGGTCTCTGACTTGTACTGGAATGTGGTCAACTCAGGTGTGATGTCATTCCCAGCTCCAACTTCCAAGGTAAATGGAATGCAGCATTAGTTTGTTAATATGTTTGAGTTTAAGAATGACTTAAATGTCAAGCAGTGCAAAGATTATACTCACACATTATCCAGAGCATTGTTAACTGTGACTGGTGCTGTAATCCAAACTAAATGAGAATGTCTTGAAAATGCCGAGCCTTTGTAATCCACAGACATATACTTTGAGATTTTTATTTATAACTCAAAATACTGTGCATTTACTTTGAATTGGAACTTTTTTTAAAAATCAAAAATATGGCCATCATGTATGTACAACATCGGCCTGGGAGAAACTTCCAGCATTTCTCTTCATGTTATGAAATGGAAACAGTAGAAACAGATGAGAAGAATCAATGGCAAAACAGTGCTGTTTATATGAGGATATATGAGATACTAAACAAAAGTATTTCAAGTAAAGATTTTTCTCACCAGCTCGCCCGCACGGCTTCAATGTCACTCACTAAGTTTTGGGCCAAACAAATCCCAAAAATCTGTGGATAAAAGGAAAACAACATAAAATGGAAACATTTAGACTTTTTTCTAAAAGTAAATATGGAATGATGCTTTTGTAGTTGTTGTTTTCTAAAACATTATGAAAGTTGAACTCTTGAAAGGACCGCACCTGCAGGAGTGCCACTCCAATAAAGATCCCGGCCACCAAGGTGAGGTTGTCCTGCAGCCACTTCTCAAACTGTGGCACGCAGCCTTTCACGTTGATGTAGTCCTTCTGCTCCGAGTCCTGGGATCAACATAACATCCTGTCATCATCTTCACATTTTGACTTAGCGTACTCATACCACAGATATAAAAAAGTATCTGGCATTTGATAAAAACTTATCCTGAGTAGATAAATGAAATGATAAAAAAAAAAAAATTAAAATGAAAAGACACCGGTTAGGTATCTGTGTCCAGTACAGAGATAGATCCACAATGTGTCCTAGTTTATCACAAATACCAGAAGCCATGACAGTAGACAATTCTTCAAATATGGATTTTGCTTCAAAGAAACTACACATTCTAAAATGTGGATGCTTCACACACATCTTCCACCTGCCAGCAAAGAAGACAATCAACACGGTTTAAAGGTGGACCCCTAAGATGAGTCACCTATTCAGAATCTGATCAAATGTTCTTCTTCTGTACCTGAGATATGACATTGAATAATGGCCAGAAAAGTTATTTTGTTATGATGATTATGAGTTATGATGTCACATGACCTTCGACCTTTTGAATATCAAATTTTATCAGTTCATTATTTTATCCTATTATACATTTATGTATGGACCTTTGACCACCAAAATTTCATCAGTTAATCTTTGGGTCCAAGTGGATGTTTGTGCCAGATTTGAAGACCTTCTCACAATGCCTTCTTGAGATATCACGTTCATGAGAATGAGACAGAGTCAAGGACACAGCGACCTTGACCTTTGACCACAAAAATCTAATCAGTTCATTGTTGAATCCATGTGGATGCAAATTTAAGAAATTCCTTTTAGGTATTCTTAAGATACCGCATCCCTAAGATGTGATGTTGAATAATGGCCAGAAAAGTTCTTTTGCAGAAAGTTATGGTGTCACAGTGAAGGTGACCTTTGACATTTTAGACATAAAATTCTATCAGTTCATCATTTTATGCTATTAGATGTTTATGGGAAATTTTGTCACCTTGATCTTTGACCACCAAAATACAGGGTTTTCCCTGGCTCAGAAAGGGGCTTTGGTGGTGATGTCTGCGGCGTGCGCTTCGTATTTGCATTTCTTGCTGCGCCTCTGCTCTTTCTCAGCGCTGCGGGGCTATGCCCTCAGTGTCTGCAGCGCAGCAGAGACAGACAGCGGTGGAGTTATATAAACTCGTTATGTTACTGTAAGTAGCACCACAGGACCAACACATGATCTCGCTTGTCACCAGGCTGGCAGTGAATGCACCAGCACCTGCGTTCTGAGCTGACGCGAAGTGTGGGGCTCAGCACATTACTTTGATCTTTGATTAATCAAAGAACTCCATTATCAATCTCCTCCGCAACCTGTTACGCACAAAATGGAACCAGACCTGATATACGCGACCACACACTCTTCTGTCTGGGTCACTTATACGTTTTTATGTTAATGTTCGAACAATATTAACATTTTATAATATATACAGTGGAATGCCAAAGTTTGAGCACCCCTGGCCAAAATTTTTGTTTACTGTGAATAGTTGAAATGACCTGGTTTCCAAAAGGCAAAAAGTTAAAGAGGACACATTTCTTTCACATTTCTTCAGTTCTTGTTTAGAGGATTTTCACTTATTCTTCCTGCAAAAGGCTTCTAGCATTGTGAGAATCTTGGGCTGTGTTGCATGCACTGCTTTTTTAAGGTCTATCCACAGATTTGAAATGATGTTTGGGTCGGGGGACTGTGAGGGCCATGGCAAAACCTTAAGTCTGCTCCTCTTGAGGTAGTCTATTGAGGATTTTGAGGTGTTTAGGATCATTGTCCTGTTGTAGAAGCTATTCTCTCTTCGTCATCAGCTTTTTTACAGATGGTGTGATGTTTGCTTCCAGAATTTGCAGGAATTTAACTGAATCCATTCTTCCCTCTACCTGTGAAATGTTCCCGGTGCCACTGGCTGCAACACAAGCCCAAAGCATGATCGATCTGATCACGATCGGTGTTCTTCTTATGAATTCTGCACCTTTTTTTTCTCCAACATACCTTTGCTCATTGTGTCCAAAAAGTAATATTTTAGCTTCATCAGTCCACAGGACTTGTTTCCATAAAGCATCAAGCTTGTTCAGATGTTCCTTTGCAGACTTCTGATGCTGAATTTTGTGGTGAGGACACAGGAAAGGTTTTCTTCTGATGACTCTTCCATGCAGGTCATATTTGTACAGGTGTCACTGCACAATAGAACAGTGCACCACCACTCAAGAGTCTGATAAATATTCCTGCAGGTCTTTTTACAGTCAAACGGGGGGTTTTGATTTCCTTTCTAACAATCCTACAAGCAGCTCTCTCTCAGAAAGTTGTTTTGGTCTTCCAGACCTCAACTTGACCTCCACAGTTCCTGTTAACTGCCATTTCTTAATTACATTATGAACTGAGGAAACAGCTACCTGAAAACACTTCATTATCTTCCTCCTATATAGTTTTCAGAGTGCTAGGCAGCTGTGCAGAGGAGCACATGGCTGCTGATTATTGGGACAAGGTTTCAAGAGTCAGAATATTTATAAAGCTTTGAAATTTGCATCACCTGGCCTTTCCTAATGATGACTGTGAACAAGCCATAGTCCTAACAAGCTAATAATGCTCTTAGACCCTGGTAAAAGTTGTCTGAGAGCTCAAATGTATTGGGGTACCCAAACTTTTGCATGGTGTTTCTTTCCATTTTTTCACTCTGAAATTGTACAAAACAAAAATAATACACTCATCTTGCTGAAAACATTGGAAAGCATCTTTAACATGCCTTTTGGGAATCAGTTCATCTTCTACTTACTTAACTACTCAAAGTAAACAAAATTTTCACCAGGGGTGCCCAAACTTTTGCATGCCACTGTAGGCTACTATTATTAATATATGTATGGTATGGGTCAGTGCATATCATGGATATATAAATTAAATATTCCAAGTTCAGCTGGATTTCGATTGTCCACTGCAATGCAAGGTTTTTTTTCCATACTGCATTATTCTGACTTCTTCTGATAAAACTTTTCAGGTTGCCAATAGAACCAACTGGTTGGTCAGCTTTTCCATTTCTAGCTCAGGGACATTTCTCTTCTTGGCCATATTACATTTTTCCATGTCATAAATTCTAGGGGTGAGGCCTCTAAACCGAAAATATATTGGGGTGGGAAATTTAAATGATGATTATTTTCAACCACCACATTTATCAACACCTGATTATTCTAACGCTGTGATTGGCAAGATAAGAACATGTCATGAGTCTACTCTCAGATCTGTGCCGGTTTTTAAAATAGTATTGTAATGGATAATGAAGATTCAATTTCTCATCGAATCATGCCAGGTTCTTGTCTATTCCATCTTTAACCTGTCTTCAAATCCAGTATGTAATATCACAAGCACTAAATTACTAGGGTTGTAATGATCCATCGTTCTGGAACGATATATTGATTAAATGATCAGCGATCCAATGTCATCAATGCAAAGTGAAAACATTGTTCCATATTGTTACCTTCAGGATACGCTTTTATTTTGAAAGTCTGTGTCACCGGCAAACAGCGACAGGCAGATGGCAGGCAGCCAACAGAAAAATGATGAGGATAACATTATTTATTATGGAATAAATCAGCAGAGTGGAAATAATTTGGATTTCAAAGAAAATACAGGTTAACAGACAGAGCACATGGCGTATGTAAACAATGACGTTACAAGACAAAACTCAACGTGACCTACCTGGACAGCATCTCACTCCGTTAACTTGTCACTACAGTAACATTTGCTGCTCTGTTTCAACACATATCAGGCTGCAAACAAGCTGAAATTTAACCTTACTCTTCTGTCCAGAGTGAGCGAGTAAGAAAAAAATAATAATGTTACATGTAATTTGTTAAGCTCTGAGTAGAGAAAAAAAAGTCCTCTGGCTGCTAGGCTAATTTATGCATTGTAAACATGCTTCAGCTAATAATGGGTGACTAGCAAAACACAAGTTTTTTCCATGAACTTGGACAGTTATTTCTGAGCTGAATTTGATACTTTTGTTGAATAACGTTGTAAATCCATGTGTTATGGCTGTTGGGAGAAGTTTGCCTTCAGGGCTTTAAGCCAGATAGACCTGAAGTTTAAGGAAAAAGATGACGGTTTGGGTTCAAATGAAAAGATTTCTTCCAGAAAGGTCTCTCTGGCAGAAAGCACTGAGGGTTAACTTATCCCACGTGCTATTTCACCTGTGCTAGTGGAGTCAGTTTAAAGTAAACTTTACTGCACTTAAGCGGTTGCAAATACTTACATTATTTATGTGTTATTTTTATCTTTTATGGCCAAAAGCATAAAAGTAAAGGGTGGCAGCTTCTCCGGTAACAGATTGTGTTGAATGGACATATCGCTTCATATCATTCGCAGGCCCCTTAATCACATCGAATTGAAATCTTATGGCAGACTTTGTAATATTGCCAAATAACGAATAATTGTCCAAAGAATCTATGTAATATTGTATCATGATGAAACTGGTTGTTTACACCTCTATAAACTACCAATAACCAAGACATAAATAAAACCTGTCTGGGTAGTTGTGGGACAATCAGAATGAAAAAAATGAAAGGGTGAGAATGAGTGAGTCAGGCAGATCCATGTGACTTACTGGCTTAGCTCGAATGTCGTATCCACACTGAGTGTTTATTACATCCTCCTAGAGACAGAAAGCATAAACATTATAGTACATAGCCTTTTTAAAAGCAGCTACTAAAAGTGTATCTACAGTACAGCAGCTTTGTGAGCCCCAGTGCTATTTCTAATGTCAACATGCAAATAATGCAAAAATGGTGATGTTTAGCAGATTATGTTTACCATGTTCACCATCTTAGTTTAGCATGTCAGCATGCTAGCAGCTGAGGCTGATGGGAATGTTATTAGTATTGCTGCTGTACTGTATTTGAACAGTAACTACTCTGAATTAGCCAGGCACTGAATCCTTCCTCAGGTTTAAAAGTGTTCTCTAATATTGTCTGCTTATTTGTGACCCTGATGCACATGTGCATGAAGAACTTTATACATGAACATGCATGCAGACTGAGGAACTCGTACCGCAGGGTCCTTGGTGCAGCAGGAGAAGGGAACGCCACACTTTTCCCGACTGGGATTCCCATCAGTACAGTTAAAATAGATGTTCAGGTTCCAGTCATCTGCTCCAAATGCACCGCAGCACTCCCACTGAGGTCAGAGAGGACAAAAAGGTTTACGGTTCCTATTGGATTCTAGATTTCCTTGATTTGTAGACAAAAAAGGGCAAAAGGTAAATTTAAGGCTCATCACAAGTGGACCTGGTTGGCTCCCTTTACTTTACTCAAGTCCAATCAGAACAGATGGTGTCTTTTCACGTGCAAAGCCTCCACATAGGTTTACCTCTCTTAAAATGAGGAGCTGCTGTTGTTAACAGGGTTGCCCTCTGTTCTTTAACTGTAAGGACCTGCAGTCACCACCCAAAAGATTTTGTTCCTGACTGTGAATCCTCATTTACAGTTATTTGATGTAGCTTCAAGACTAGAATTCCTGCCTTGTGGGTGTATGCCTCTGTGAACCAGTCAAGTTGCACTTAGAATTTTACATCCCTGTCTGACCAAATTGTAAGTAACGTTTAAGGGGGTTTCTATTAATAAGGTGTTCACTTCCTGTGTGCTTTTATTTTGGCGCTCTTCGGGCGGAAGTAGCAGTACCCCGTATCTGTAAATAAGTTTTCTTCACGTCAGTTCTGAGCATACGGTAGACGGTACAGTCACGAACGACAGCTCTTCTACAAAAGGATGTATCTTCAGACATTTAAGCGCCTAGCTGGAGTCGGGAACAAGGTATTGTGTGTAAATAATGTGTTTATGTGCAGCTATGTGTGCCTCCTTGTTTTTATATTTACTGTGGAGAAATGTTTAATGTGTTACCATGCTAACATTAGCCTCTGTGTATGTGGTTTGGGCCTCATGGTGGTACTGTTAAGCTATAAGAGCCTTTTGAGTCATTTTATGTGTTTATAGCAAATGTTATGTTATGTGAAATTTTGATTAATTCTCATATGTAAGGTTATGAGGCATACGGGTTATTTTATTTGTGTTGTAAGAGCTTATTTTTATTTTATTTATCTGCTCATCAGCTCTTATGGTGTGAAAGAAGTAAGAAGAAGGATTGAAAGATTTGTGTTCAAAAATAAGGATGATGGCTGAACATGAATAAAGAGTTCTAGAACATCTGTATGCTTCACCATTATTCTGGCTGGGGTTCGCTATAGTAAGAGCTTGCCCCTCATCAATCCTGACGATCTGCTGCCTCCAAGATGGGCCACTACGGAGGGTTCCTGCGGTGTGCTGCTGCTCCTGTCTCCACGCCGGACCACTACAGAGGGTCTTCACAACGTGCCGCTGCTCACTACTTGCTGTCCACGTGGATCCATCATACATTGCATTTCTACACGTTGATGCCTGCTCTACGGCGATTTGGGCAGCAGTCACAAGGATTTGGTGAAATGGTCAATTACAGATGTACTCAGTGACATTGAAGCAGAACTGTGAGTATCAACCTATTAATATACAGACTTTGCCAACAAGCCGAGCTACGTATGAACAGCCTTTCGGACTGAACGAGTGAACATCTAACAGTCATCTGCTCAACCACAGCAAAGAGAAACTGTTGATACATGTACATGCTATAAATGGACTCTTTATAATTGAGGGACATTTTCACTTTTGGATTTTGCATTTATCTTGAAGTTTACATTCACATTTAAAGCCTTTTGAGTGTCTCTACATTAATGCATCTGTGCTGATTATTATGTACTGATTTGCTATATGCTGTGCTTCTGCTGTTCACTGTAAGTTTTTTGAATATATCTGCTTAACTGTTTCTTAAAACTTAAAGGGTCAAAATTTAGTTGATTATGACAGAGTCAGCTAACGAGAAAGAGTTGGAGAAACAGACAGCTGGTTCCCAGCATGAAGTTCAAGAGCCACAGAGTGAGCTCCCCACAGCAGCAGATGCTTCTGAGAGACTATGTCTGAGGAAGACGGTTGAAGCTGATCAAAAAGGCGTCACTGATCAACAAGGTACATTAGAGGAAGCAGGTGATGACCTACCTGTGGGCCTCCGTCGCTCTGAGCGTGCACGGTATCCTACGGACAAGATGCGTGCGCTCCAAGAGGAAGAGGCCAAGAAAAGGGAGAAAAGGCTGCTATCCATGTATGAGAAATGGAAGCCCCAAATACGCAAGGCAAGAGAGCAGCTGAAGACATATATGTCAGAGACAGAGCTCTGGCTTCTCATTGACGAACTTAAGACAAGTAAAGAAGCTATAATGAACATGTACTTCGAAATTAGAGATCTCACCACACCTTCCACTGACTTGAGAAAACGAGTTGATACGTGTGAATCGGTGACCAAAGAAATCATCAACATCGCCTATGACAGAGCAATAGAAGACGAAGGTGAGTTTGACGAGAAACAGGGAAGACGCCGTCTTCATGAACTTCTCCGCCATGGCTGTGCAAGGTCCATCTATGGATCCGCTGTTTCCATGATAAGTCACAGTAAGTCTGATCACCGTTCCGTGACATCATCACTAGCCGCCAAGCGTGTGGATGCAGCAGCTGAACTAGCAGTGAAGGAATCAAACTATGAGATGCTACTAGAGGAAGAAAGACAAAGAGAATCAATACGAGAGTTAGAGGAACAACAACGGAAAGCTCTAGAGGCACGAAAGCATGAGTTGGACCGATTGCAGGCAGAGAGAGAAGTGCAGGCAGCTCAGGCCAGGCTTAAGGCCTATAGTGAAGAGATGGAGCGTGATGGTGCTTACTACACCAACAATGAAAGGAACAAGGAAACAAGTAACGTACCTGTAACTGCTGTCCCTTCACCCCATGTTACAGTGCCCTCTCACATAGACATTTCCTCACTCACTCAGGTCTTTCAAGACAGCATAGCCTTAAATAGGCTCCCTGCTCCTGAGCCATTTGTCTTCAGTGGTGATCCAATACGATTCATTGAATGGAAAGCAGCGTTTACCTCGCTCGTTGACCAAAGGGCAATCACTGCAGCTGAAAAACTCTACTATCTCAAGAAATATGTTGGTGGCCCAGCATGGCAAGCTCTTGATGGCACCTTCTACCAAAATGACAATGAAGCCTACCAAGATGCTTGGAACAAGTTGAATCGTCGCTTTGGCCAGCCTTTCACCATTCAGAGAACATTCAGAGAAAGGCTTTCCAAATGGCCAAGGATCCAACCTAAGGATACTGAGGGACTCAGAAACTTCTCAGATTTTCTGAACGCCTGTCAAGATGCCATGCCTCATGTCAAGGGCCTTGACATATTAAATGACTGTGAGGAGAACCAGAAGCTTGTTCATAAACTACCAGACTGGGCGGCCTCACGCTGGAACTGTCAAGTCACACAAAGCCTGAACGAGAAACAAGAATTCCCCACCTTCAAGGACTTTGCTAGCTTCTTGTCAACTGAAGCTTAGATTGCCTGCAATCCAATTACGTCTCTCCACGCTCTTCGCTCATCAGATTCAAGCACTGAAAAGAAAAATCTCAGAGACGTGAAGAGAAACAAGGCCAGTGTTCTCACCACTCAAACAGTTGCTGATAATGAGAACCAAAGGTCAGAAAATGAGAACCAAAGGTCAGATAATGAGAACCAAAGGTACAGAAAACCCAGGGCTCCATGTATTCTCTGTCAAGATGCTAAACACCAGCTTCATGCATGCTCCAAGTTCACAGAGATGTCGTTGGTTGAGCGACGCAACTACGTAAAGGAGAAGAAACTCTGCTATGGATGTCTAAAAACAGGTCACAGTGCGAAGGACTGTCGCCATCGTCACTTCTGTGACACTTGCAAGGGAAAGCATCCTACAGCCCTTCATGATAACGACTACGTGAAGGAAAGGTCTTCGCCAGAAGCAGGGACAAGTCAAGGTCCCGCTGCAATGTCACTCAGTGTAGCAGCAGAAGGCTCATTCAACACATCGATGGTGATACCAGTGTGGGTGTCATCCAAAAATAACCCAACTGCTGAGAAACTTGTCTACGCTCTTCTCGACACGCAAAGTGACACTACGTTCATCGACCAAGAAGTGAGCGATGGTCTTGATGCTGACAAGCGTCCAGTGAAGCTGAAGTTGACTACTATGAGTAGAAAAGACACAGTCATCACAAGTGAGAGTGTTTCTGGCCTTCGTGTAAGAGGATACAGTTCTGCCATTCAGGTCAATCTTCCAGCGGCCTATACAAAGGACTGTATACCAGTAAACCGCAACCACATTCCTACTTGTAAGACAGCTAAACAATGGGGTCATCTTGCAGAAATAGTTGATGAAATCCAACCACTGAAGGACTGTGAAGTAGGGCTTCTCATCGGCTACAACTGCTCCAGAGCCATGGCTCCAAGGCAAGTCATACTAGGAGGTGACGAGGAACCCTATGCTATACGAACGGACTTAGGATGGAGCACTGTGGGGCCCTCATCGCAAAACCATGATTCCCTGAGCACAAGTCATCTGTGTCATAGAATCACAGTTAAAGAGCTGCCTCCAGCAACCCCTGCAGATGTGATCCGCATCCTGGAATCAGACTTCAAGGATGGCAGTGAAGATGGTAAAACAGTGTCTCAAGATGACATCATATTCCTCAATAAGGTAGAAGAGGGCATACAGAAAAACATACATGGCCACTACGAAATGCCTCTGCCCTTCAAAACCAGACCCAGCCTGCCTGACAACAAAGACTCAGCCATGATACGCCTCAACCACCTCAAAAGGAAACTGCAACAGGACAGAAAATATAAGGAGCAGTACATCGGATTCATGGAAGAGGTCCTTGGAAGGGGAGATGCAGAGCTGATCGAGGATGGTGGGAGCAAGGGAGAGAGATGGTACATCCCCCATCATGGTGTTCGCCACGCGAAGAAGCCAGACAAACTTCGTGTAGTGTTCGATTGCTCAGCCAGATACAAAGGGACCAGCTTAAACAAACATCTTCTCTCTGGACCTGACATGTTAAATAACTTGAGTGGAGTTCTCATCCGCTTTCGACAGCATCCCATTGCACTAATGTGCGACATCGAGAAGATGTTTCACTAATTTCATGTTGAGGAAGCTGATCGCAACTACCTGCGCTTCCTCTGGTGGAAGCAAGGAGACTTGAACTCACAGCCTAGTGAGTTCCGCATGAAAGTGCATCTGTTCGGCGCAGCGTCCTCACCTGGATGTGCAAATTTCGGGCTGAAGCACCTAGCTAAGGAGTATGCCAACATCTACCCTCAAGGCTCACGATTTATCATGAGGGACTTTTACATAGATGACGGCCTCACGAGTGTGAAAAGCGCTGAAGATGCTATTCAGCTTGCCAGAGAGGCATGTGAACTTTGTGCCACGGGTGGTCTCAGACTACACAAGTTCGTGTTGAACAACCGAGAGGTCCTAGAGAGTATACCATCCTCTGAACGGGCGACCAATGTCAAGGATATGGACCTCACGTTCAATGACCTGCCACTCGAGAGAGCTCTTGGGATTCAATGGGACGTGGAGTCTGACCACTTCAGGTTTAACGTCAGTCTCAAAGAGCAGCCTGCTACGCGCTGTGGCATTCTGTCCACAGTAGCCTCTTTGTTTGATCCTCTTGGTCTTGTGGCGCCCATCTTGCTCAAAGCGAAGATCATCCTTCAGGAGATGTGTAGATGTGGCACGGGTTTGGATGATCCTCTCACTGACGAACTTCGTCTACAATGGGATCAGTGGAGAAGTGATCTGGCTCATCTAGATAATGTCACCATACCCCGCACTTACTCACCTGCTGGATTTGGAAAGGTCTTAAAGGCAGAGCTGCATCATTTCTCTGACGCCAGCACAAAGGGTTATGGCCAGTGTTCATACCTAAGACTACAAAATGAAGATGGAGATGTTCACTGTGCCCTAGTTGTTGGAAAGTCCCGCGTCTCACCAACAAAACTCACAACCATTCCAAGACTGGAATTGACAGCGGCAGTGGTTTCAGTGAAGACAAGCAACCTGCTCAAGGAGGAATTTGGATCTACTGACACTGAGGAGTTCTTCTGGACTGACTCAAAGGTGGTCTTGGGATATATAAAAAATGAAGCACGGCGATTCCACACTTTTGTGGCTAACCGTGTTCAGAAGATTCAGCTGGGGTCAGCTCCTCAACAATGGAGATATGTACCAACCCATGAGAATCCTGCTGATCATGCTTCTCGGGGCTTAACTACCAGTGAGCTTCTGTCATCTACCTGGCTCACTGGACCCAAGTTCTTGTGGCACAACGAAATTAAGCTGCCAGCAGATGAGACTCCAGAGTTGACAGTCGGAGATCCTGAGGTCAGAAGTCCTTTCACGCTCACCACAAGAACCACAGAACGAGTAGGCCTGGTTGATCGCTTGTCCAAATTCTCATCTTGGTCACTGGCTATTCGAGCTGTTGCACGCATGCTAAGGCGCATCCGCAAGGAAAAGTCCAACAGTCTCACCTCTGTAACAGAACGAGAAGATGCAGAACATTGCATAATCAAGGATCTGCAGGGAAATGTGTATCAAGAAGAATTTAAACTGCTAAGCAAAGGGATTCCCCTACCATCTCACAATCCACTATACTCTCTTGATGCATTCCTTGACAAAGATGGTGTCCTCAGGGTGGGAGGAAGGTTGAGCAACTCCTCTCTTCCTAACTTCATCAAGCACCCTGCAATCATCCCCAAAGATCATCTCATCACAAGGATGTTGATTGCCCACTATCACGAAAGGATGAAACATCAAGGTAAAGGTCTCACCATTAATGAGATCAGGGCCAATGGCTACTGGATTCCAGGAATTAATCGGGCAGTAGCATCTTACATTCATCAATGCATCACCTGTAGACGGCACCGGAAACCGACTGAAGAACAGAGGATGGCTGATCTTCCTCCTGAACGTGTGGAACCATCACCCCCCTTTTCCTTCTGCGGTATGGACTGCTTCGGCCCGTTTCTTAAGAAGCAAGGAAGAAAGGAGAGCAAGAGGTACGGCCTTCTCTTTACTTGCCTCAGTTCCTGTGCCATCCATATTGAGATGCTTGATAGCATGTCAACGGACGCCCTCATCAATGGCCTGAGATGTTTCATTGCCATACGTGGCGCTGTTCTTCAGATTAAGTCTGACCAAGGAAGCAACTTTGTCGGAGCCAAAAACGAACTCAAAGAGGCTCTCAAAGAAGTTAATGCAGACCGGCTGGCTGCCTATCTTGCTGACAAACAATGTGACTTTGTCATGAACGCACCCTGTTCAAGTCACGTTGGAGGGGTGTGGGAGAGACAAATTAGGACTGTGAGAAGCGTCCTAAGGTCCACGCTTGCCCTTTCCTCTGGTAGGCTAAATGATGCCTCACTCCGGGCTTTTCTCTATGAAGCTATGGCGATCGTTAACAGTCGCCCACTGACTGTTAACAACCTCAACGATCCCCACAGCCTCGAGCCGCTCACCCCAAATCATCTCCTGACTATGAAATCTACCAAGGCCTTACCTCCCCCGGGAGAATTTGTCAGGGAGGACATGTATGGCAAAAAAAAGGTGGCGACATGTCCAATACTTGGCAGAACAGTTTTGGAGTCGATGGCGAAAGGAGTACCTTTCCAACATCACTCTCAGGCAGAGGTGGCACACTCCCAGAAGGAATCTCCAAGTTGGAGACATTGTAATGATGAAAGGAGATGATGCTCACAGGAATGAGTGGAGACTGGGTAGAGTCTCAGGAACCACCATGGACAAAGACGGACTCGTAAGGAGGGTTAAAATCTGCCTCGGCGACAGGAAGCTTGGCAAAAAAGGGGAACATCTCCACAAGGTGTCAGAAGTAGAGCGCCCAGTCCAGAAACTAGTCCTGCTGCTGGAGGCTGACTAAACACGTTTCTTCCCTCCTATGGTTCATAATGCCCCTTCTCTTACCTTATAATCTTGATACAGCTTGCAAAGGTTTTCTATCTATGTTATGTGTGCATGTTCTTATCTAAGGAGGATCATTTTCAGTTTTTAAAAAAAAAAAAAAATCATTCATGCTTAATGTAAATTGCATACTGCTCCATTATTCACTCATGATTGGTGGGAGTGTAAGTAACGTTTAAGGGGGTTTCTATTAATAAGGTGTTCACTTCCTGTGTGCTTTTATTTTGGTGCTCTTCGGGCAGAAGTAGCGGTACCCCGTATCTGTAAATAAGTTTTCTTCACGTCAGACGGTACAGTCACGAACGACAGCTCTTCTACAAAAGGATATATCTTCAGACGTTTAAGCGCCTAGCTGGAGTCGGGAACAAGGTGTTGTGTGTAAATAATGTGTTTATGTGCAGCTATGTGTGCCTCCTTGTTTTTATATTTACTGTGGAGAAATGTTTAATGTGTTACCATGCTAACATTAGCTTCTGTGTATGTGGTTTGGGCCTCATGGTGGTGCTGTTAAGCTATAAGAGCCTTTTGAGTCCTTTTATGTGTTTATAGCAAATGTTATGTTATGTGAAATTTTGATTAATTCTCATATGTAAGGTTATGAGGCATACGGGTTATTTTATTTGTGTTGTAAGAGCTTATTTTTATTTTATTTATCTGCTCATCAGCTCTTACGGTGTGAAAGAAGTAAGAAGAAGGATTGAAAGATTTGTGTTCAAAAATAAGGATGATGGCCGAACATGAATAAAGACTTCTAGAACATCTGTACGCTTCACCATTATTCTGGCTGGGGTTCGCTATACAAATGCCTCCACTTCAGTTCCTGAGTTATAACACTGAATAACAGCCAGAAAAGTGTTTTTGCACAACATTATGATTTCTTAGTGAAGTTGACCATTAGACCTTCTGGATATAATTTTATCGCATGAGACATTTGTGTAAAATTTTGTTATAATTAGTCAAGAATTCTTGAGTTTTGGCCAGAACATGTTTGTGAGGTCACATTTACCTTAACCTTTGACCTTTGACCAAATTTAGTCAGTTCATTCTCGATTCAAGATGTTTGTGCCAAATTTGAGAAACATTTCTGAAGATGTTTTTCAGATAATGCATTCATCAGAGGAGAGAGACACAAGGTCACGGTGACTTTTGACCACCAAACTCTAATCAAGTTCATCCTTCCGTTTGTGCCAAATTTGAAGAAATTCCCTATCACACTGACCTTTTGTAATAACAACATAATAATCCAGCATATTGCCAGAGTAAATATTGGCATTGTGCGTTTCTACTAACCATTTGTATGTTTCATGTGTAGTAGCTTTGTTTCCATTTCAATTTTTACTTTTCAAGAGCTGTGGTAACATGGGCACAAATATCAGCCGGTGGGTCCTCTCCCACTGTGATATATGCATCATTATATTTTAAAAATATAGCTCCTCACTATCTAGAAAAATACAAATAAAGCCAAGTCTCAAGTCATGAACACCAAGTCAAACTCAAATCGAGTCTTTCAAGTCTCAAGTCTTCAAATTTGTCACTCAAGTCAGACTCGAGTCAAGTCATGTGACTCGAGTCCCTCACCTCTAGTGAATACACTTACAAATTATAACACTTAATGTGGAAAATGTGAAGTGTAAAATAACATTTTACCAAATAATCTTAATTAAACGTCAAAGTGAGAACTTTCAACGCATCTCAAGGTCTTCACCTAATTGCAAACTCCATATGCTGAAGACGACTGTGGCATATAGTTGAAAGCTCTAGAAAATGCTAGTAAATGGAATTTGTGTAAAAATCATATTGCTGTTTCCTAAGTCAAAGAATAAACTTCTGTGTTGAACTGTAAAAGAACTTGCTGTTTAGTTAACGTACGTATTCCTGAGTGAAGTCGATGAGGTTCTGTAGATCGATGTCATCCCGGTACGCCCGGATGTTGTTGTTGATAAACAAGTTGAGCTGGTCTTTAATCCAGTCCTTAAAGACAAATGCCAGGACTCCTGTCGTCAACTCCAAGAAAAAGATGATTCCCAGAAACACAGAGAACTACAGGAGGAAGACACGATGATAAAGTCAGTTTTCCCATCATTCATCATTGCACTGTGTAATTGTTGGTCTTTTCATGGAACATACAAATTTGAGTAGGAACGTGTTTTCCCGCAATGCTCCAATGCATCCTGCAAAGCCCAGGATGAACATGACTCCCCCAACCACCATGAAGAGCCACACTGGATCCAGCCCCCCCAGGTCTGTGATGGACGAAATGTTGGAGAGAACCCCCTGGAGGGGAGACAAGAACACGACACACTCAGTGTGAGGAAAGCGGTTGCATCTCTTTCAGGATAGAAGACCTTTGCCAAAAGGCTCACAGCAACATAAGACAAGATGGAACTCAAATTAATAAGAGAAATAAGGCTGTGGAAGCCACAAATAAAAAAACAAAAATGTGTTGTCCTTGGATACAGCACACTTGGATTAATTACATTTTTAGACCTATGTATATTCAAAATACTACACTGGATAGATGGGAATAAGAGCTGATTCAGTGAGATGTTTGGTTAGAAGAGTTCTTATTTCTATCACCCTTAATTGGTAAATACATAGTAAACTCAGTTTAAAAATTGGTTTTAAACTTTATGTAGTTATTTTAAGTGTATGTTAAAAGGATACAATTGTGCACATTTCTTATTATGCATTTGATCTGTTGTTAAAAATGATAAGGGCACTTTTAATTTGGAGTAAGAAGTGGCATAGAAACAAGAAAAATATTATCACATTGGCCTTTGATAAAAAAAAATCTTATTGGTCAAACGGTAACTTAAATAGCAGATGTTATTTGGAGATGTAGAAATGAAGAAAAAAAATGTACACCTTTTGTTAACTGCCTGGCCTTATAGAAATACATGAAATGGCCATCAAGTCTGAACAACACATTGTGATGGTGGGCATGAAATGTTTTAATATTACATGCTGGAAACATGAAAACAATGCCAATGCACTGCTGTGAAACAGTTGTAGCTTGGTTAGGTTTAGAGAACAAAATAACACTTTAAGTTTAGTTTCTCTAGATGTAACCAAACTACAACCATTTCACAATGATGTGCTGGCATGGTTTTCATGTTGCCAGCACGTTGTTTTAACACATTTTGTGCCCACCACCACATAATGTTGTGTATGTAGTCACTGTAATCAAAACCACAGTCATTTCCCAAATTTAACCTTTTTTTTTGTTCCCTAAATGTGCAAACGTTTGTAATAGACTTTGCATTTGGATTGTTTTCGTGGTGATTTTAACATATTTCGTACCCACCATCAAATATTGTATTGTTAAGAGTTCGTGTCCATTTCACCTATTTCTCTTGGAATAATACTATATTACATACCTTCTCACTCCATGCCCACAGTCCAATGCCGACTAAGGCCATGCCCAGCAGCTGTAAAACACCACAGTCAGGTCAAATCACTGGAAAGAAGTGCTGATGCAAAATGACATAATGGCAGTTTGTCACATTATTATTCAATGAGAATACAAACATAGTTCCTCTGAGGCCACTGTGGCCCTTGAAATTCTTTACCTCATCTTGTCTTCAAATTAGTTGAATAAATCTGTTGGAAGACTAAACTTTGTATTAAAAATACAGTAGAGACTCTCTGAGGCCCCTCTCACCCCTCAGAGTTGCAAGATGGTGCAGTCCGCCCCTGCACTAGGACTCATCTGTAAATGCAGCTGAGCAGAGTGACTGCTCATGCTGCTGAAGCCACAATGTACACTGTCATGTCTTTCCCCAAGAAAGGAACATCAGAGTTTAAAAAACAAAAAGAGAGGAAAAAAGGAAAGAAAGACAGAGTGAAAAAAGGACAAAGAAAGAAGGAAGAAAAACAGAACAAAAAAGAAAGAAAAAAATACAGACCGAAAAAAGAAAGGAAAAAATAAATAAGAGAGAGAACAAAAAAGAAAGGAAGACAGAAAAAAAGAGAAAGGAAAGAAAGACAGACACATAAAAAGAAAGATAGAAAGAAAAAAGACAGACAAGGAAAAAAAAGGAGAAAAAGTAATGACCCAAAGAAAGAAAAAAAAGACAAAAGCATGAAAGAAGAGAGAGAGGAAGAAAAAGAAAAAGAAAGAAGCAAACTAACTTTGTTTAAAAAAAAAAAAGAAAAGGTGAGTGAGTGAGCCATGGATGAAAAGAGGGAGGGCAGTGAGCCCACAGAGACTGCCTATGCACAGGGCCCTAAATTGGGGGTTTGCCCCTGCTGATGACATTAACGTGGGCCCTGGGGTATTGTAGTGGACATTTTTTTATCATGCGAATAATTGGTTAGTTGAGAAAAAAATTGGCAGATCAGCCAATGGAAATCATTGTTATATTTTCCAAGTACATGTAAAATTTCATTTGGAAGAAAAGGACATTAGTAAGATCTGGAAAATGTTTCAACTGACCCCACACTCCCCTAATATTTATGCAAAATATGTTTAAAATGGGCCATAATGCCTTTACATTAACGAATGGTCGTTGGATATTTCATTCACAGAGTTCCAATACTCAGTTCATCATTAAATAACTTTTCAAGCAAATATACCCCAAGAATAGCTGTAAGCACATGCTGATTTACTTTGACTCTCTCTGTGAGAACTTTCTCCCTTTCCTGACATTTCATAGTGAGTATTATTCAGATTAAGTGTTATTGAAAATCATTGGTGATTGCAGCTCTAATTTAAATGCAGATGATTTTTACTTGAACATCTGACAGTGTCTTATAAGTGCTCTTGAACTCTCACATTTTATATGCTGACAAAAACAGCACGCAACCACATATTTCTGATATGAATCACTTATTAAAACACATGGGGTGGTATCTTAATATATAGTGAAGCGAAGACTAGGTGAAACACTCATCGTGTATATGTGTGTGATATGAATGATGAGACTGCAGGCTGACACTGAGGCGCTGAGCTGTCATTAGTTCACTACAAAAAGCCGATTAGCTGTGTGTGTTGTGAAGTGGCCTGCAGCTGCTTTGACCCGGACATTACGGGACAAATATAACCACAATAGGACATGAATGCTTTGATACGACTCTAAATATGAACTTGAATAGTTACGGCACCGGTAACGGTGATGATCGGGGCCTTCCTCCCTATTGGCCAGTGGACATGATAATAACCCAGCTGTAATTAAGAGAAGCGCAGACGCGTCAAATAAAACGGAAAACCTTCTTACCCAGAACAGGATGTTGAATCCAAAAATGAAGTATTTGATGCAGCAGCTGACTTCGTGGCCTTTGTAATGATTCCCCGACATGTTTGAGCATCATCAGCGCGGTGTCTGTGTGAGGAAAAACACGGCCTGCTTCACAGGCTTTGTGTGCGGCGGGACGGAACAGGTTCAGCGCTCCGGGGATGCATTTCACTTGGTCCGTTTCAAATCTTCTCACTGCCGCTTCACATTCACACCGGGAGCATTTTGGGGGAGCGCAGGACGCGCTCACACACGCCGAACTGGAGACAGAAAGCGGACGGTTACGCTGCAAACCGCAGAATAAAAATGATCCTCCGTTTTGTGGGCAAATTGCGCCTACAGGAGGCGGTACCGCTGTTCGCTGCTGCTCGTCTGCTATTGGCTGGAAAACTGTTGAAAGACCGAGAATACAACCAATCATATCAGAGAAAAGGCAGGGCACTTCCTGTGGTCTGAAAAATGTCCTAATGATCATAGAGACACAGCTACTTAAAGCTCCTTAATAACAATGACAATGATAACACACACATAGCCTATATAAATATGTATATATATATGTATGTATATATGTGTGTGTGTGTGTGTGTGTGTGTTATCATATGTTATATATGTTATCATTATTTATCATTATTATTGCTACATAATAATTTTCTGTTGCCAAGTATGTCATTTTAGAAAAAAAATACTTACTTATTATTTTTTTTAACAATCAAGTTACGTACCACAACCATTTTATATAGAACTCAGGGCAGTTGCACGCTTTACCTGGTTGATAATGCAGCCTTGGCTGAATGGATGACAGACCAAAACAACTAAAATTACTGTCTCACAGTTGTATGCCTCCGTGCACCACAGTGTTTTTGCATAACATAATGATGTCACGGTGAAGTTGACCTTCTGTCTTTTTGTCTATAAAATGTCTTCTTATAATCTTATATTTTATTTTATAATCTTATAAATTAGGTGCAGCTATACTGTGTGACATGGATCTAATAAACTTGGGTACGGCATCAAGTTTGATGTATGCAGACTGTACGATGATAGCGCTAACTGAATCACAGGCTACGATGTACAATGCAATAGCTTCCCATACTGAGTGCGCAAGGATGCTGCACGGGTTATTACTTCTCAAACTGTGAAGCACAACATAGAGGGTCACATTATTAAATAACCTAAAGTTTTGTGGGCACTATATATTGCTTTGTGTCTGTGTGTGTGTGTTTGCTAGTTGCTAGGTTGTTCACCTGGCAGCTTTCCATGTTTTGTCCTTCTTTGTGCGATCATGATAAGAGCTGCAGGACACATCATACAGGCAAGGCTTTTGCTGCCACAGCTCCACAAGGTTTTCCTCTTTGCTTGAATCCCACACATTTCTTTTAGCGCATCTGGACTCCATGGCATACTGCTGTTCGTCTGTTTGTTTGGGTTTAGCACCAGTGCATCATTTTATGCTGTTGGTTAGTAGATGTAGGTGGTAACAACAGTCACACAAGGAGATGGTCATCCCAAATTTCTGACACTGTCAGAATTTTATCTCAGGCTGTCTTTGATCACAAGACCGTGACAATAGCCATCCTTGAACCTCTCACTGTTCAACGTAGGACCACCATTTTAGAGCCCCACCCATAGATATCACCACATTTCTTTAACGTTGGTCCTCTTTTGTCTGGGACAGCACAAAATCGTACAGTGTATACCAGGCTTTAGACATTTTTGTAAAATTTTGTCATAATTAGCATATGAATTCTTGAGTTATGGCCATGTTTTGTGAGGTCACGCTGACCTTGACCTTTGACCACCAAATTCTGATCAGTTCAGTCTTAACAGACGCCAAGTGGACATTAGTGCCAAATTTGAGAAATTTACCATGAGGCCTTCTTGAGCTATCGCATTCGCAGAATGAAATGGATGCAAGGTCACAGGGACCTAATCCTATGACCACAAAAATTATGTCATCCTTGTGTTCAAGTGGAAGTTTGTGCCAAATTTTACAGAAATTTCCTTGAGACCTTCTTGAGATATCACATTCAGATGCAAGGTCACAGTGACCTTGACTTCTGACCACCAAAAACTAATCAGTTCAACTTGGAGTTCAAGTGGAAGTTTGTGTCAACTTTTATGAACTTTCCTCTATGCATTTTTAAGATCACGTCAGATGGACGGAGAAAGGGAGGGACGGGCAACCTGAAAACATAATGCCTCTGGCCATAGCTATTACCACTGCAGAGGCATAGAAACTACTTCAGTCAGGAACACTTTTGTCAAAGAATCGTAAGTGCTAATAGCGTAGGCAACTGGACTTGCTTGCATTTCTTGAAGACGTTTAGCCTCTCATGCAAGAAGCTTCTTCAGTTCTAAATGACTGGTACGAAGTTGCAGGCTATAAACCCTGTGTGGGTGGCAACCCTTGCACAGTCGTAGGGGTCACGTGAGCTCTTAGTTTCAGAGTCGTTAAGGTCACAATGTGAGTCGTTGACTCACCTGGCCACCATGTGAGTCGTTAGGGTCAGGTGGGACCAGGGGTGAATGGGTGTGAAGGGTGTCCAAGCTATCGGACATCCATGTTGACAAGTAAAGTTTAGCGCCAATGAACTTCATAATATCCTGTTTTGTTCACGCGTGACAAAACGTAGTTTGGTGACATCACCGCGTTATCTGGGGCTCTGTCGGTGAGGGCTCTGTGGAGAAATCTTGCACACACAGATCGTAATGCAGTTGGCGAGACTCCCGATGACAGAAACGCATGTCGCCAGGTATGAACACTCAAAAGATTACGATAGTCCCTGCAACTCAAGACTGGTCGGCCAGTTGTGTAATGTGAACTCGCCTTAAGTTGAACTGGCTTTGTAGTACAGGCCTCTGGTTGCCCAGTCGCATTATCTGGGTTTGTTAGTCTGACTGAGAAATTCTATTTTGTATGATTTCAGTCGGACTAAGATGTTTACATGTATGTTAAAAGTCCGCTTTTTGTCAAACACAATAAATACATTTTCTCTAATGTCGTGCAAATGTATTGAGTGTTTTCTTCTCCCTGACTCTTGGTCATTGTTCTAGTAGCTCCTCAATTGTTTTAACAGCGTACTTTTCCAATATTTGTTTTTATATTATATCTTGAATAATAATCTAAACTTTAAAAGAACAAATTCATTTAGTTTTCTTTACAGAAATAAATGAAATGTTGAGATGCAGGCCTTTTTAATGTTTTCTTATATCCTTTAAAATCAAGAAGGCCCCACAACCCCCCCATGAAGCTTCAGCAACCCCTAGTGGGGTCAGGACCCCCAGGTGGGGAACTAGTGTCCTAGATCAGGGGTTGCCAGTGGTTTTCAGGCAGAGGACCCTTGGCTTAAAGACAGATGGATCAGAGACCCCTTACAACATATATTTGATAAAACTGAGTTGCACTTGAGATAATTCTCTGAATATTTTAAGGTCTTCTCTGCTAAATCATCAGTATTTGTTGCATGGCTATGTGCATTAGTCTCACCGTCTACGCTTTTGTCAGTGGTTTCTGAGGTGGACGGATGTCAGTCTCTTGCTCGAAAAGTTACAAAATGATCCGTTGTGGTTCACAAGGATGTCCAGACACTTGGAATAATAATACAGCTACAGCACAGCTTTTTTTTTTTTTTAATTGAATAACACTAGTAAAAAAAAATGCTTGCTGCACCTTTGTATTGTTGCCAGGCAACCACCCCATCACCTCCTTACCCTAATTCTTGCATGCATGAAAACTACTTACTTGAAATTTCAATTACTGCACTTCTATGCTTCCACGCCTGCTGTTTGCTATTGACATGGTGGTAACTTTGGTTTGTAAGGTGCCAACAGTTTCTTCTACATTGTTTAACAGATGTAAACTTCTGTTCATGACCACCACAGAAGGCCCGCCTCTTAAATCATCCGATTGGACAATGGCAAAACAGAGATGATGTGAGATGCTTTTCCACTCTGAGATGAAATTTTTTCAACTCAGAGTTCAGAGCCGTCTGGGAAAAATGCCAGGTGCCGAGAGCATGGAAACGCGAGACAGCAACACAAAAACAGCGAGCAAAAAGCTTAATTCTAATTAAAAACAATTACATAAAGGCGTCTCCAGCTGCTAAAATGCTTTCTGTGTGATCTGGACTTTATTCTGCCTTACTGATTGGCTTACCCTAACATTCCCACTCCCCTTGCCAAACCTAACCAATCAAACAACGAAGGCAACTAGTACTAGCACGTTATAGGCAGATCATTCCTTTGCTATCCTAGGATTCACAAATTTGCGTGCAGCACAGGGATTTAGCATTAGCTAGCTCACATGATTGCACAAATTAGCCTATCATTTATGTTGTGTACCATAAATCAAATGGGATTTATGCACAGGCCAATTTATTTTGGCTAGTATAATGTTACATTCATGTTAATGTGTATTTTCAGATACATTTAAAATTTTGAAAATAATAAATAAATTAAAACTTAAATGATTAAAAAAAAAAGGTGCCGCCCCTGCTGTAACAGTGAGGACCCCCTTGGGGTCACAGACCCCTTGTTGAAGACCCAGGTTCTAGATGACAATGAACAGTGGAAGATGTTCTAAAACAGTGGTCCCCAACTGGTCCAGCCACAGGGTCCAGATTTCTCCTTAGTCATTAGTTCAAGGTCTCACAGTTTGTTACATTCAGTGTCATACTTGCCTTTGGCCATGTTGTTGAGCTACTTTGCTGTCTCTGTCAAGTAGCTGTCACTTAGTCACCCACTCCACAGCAGGAAACAGCACTTCAAACTAAAAGCTTGGGAAGCACTGTTCTAGATGACACTGAGAGCACCCAGGGAAATGTTCTGAGTATATGGGAACATTTTCTGTTTCACAACGAAGAACATTATAATAGAATAAAGCTCATTTGGGTATGAAAAAAGAAAACAAACAACATCAGGCTCCCATTCATTGTATATTGTGCAGCCTTGTAGCAACTCATAATGTAATAATGGCTCATAATGTAATAACGCTTCATAACGTGATAACAGAAATGTAATAGAAGTTCATAATGTAATAATCAGCTCATAATGTAATAAAATCATGAGCACATAACGTAATAACAGCTTTGTGCATAATGTAATAATGTAATAAGTTATTACATTACTGGTGCCACTCATAATGTAATAACAGCTCATAATGTAATAAAGGCTCATAATGTAATAATGGCTCATATTGTGAGAAAGTGTTGCATTATCATCATTTCTAGGTCAAAACTGCACACACTGACAATGAGAGTGCACTTAAGGGCAGAAGTCTGTGTTTGTGTTTGACTATGATTTGTTTATAGATGGCGCGACAGTAAGCAACTCAAAAGCCGGCTGGAGAAGAGGGTGGATTAGGGAAGAAGGAGGGGGACTGTAGTTCATGTAGTTTAAAAGAGCATTTCCTTTGTTTACTATTGCTACAATAAATGCAGGACACAATAACTTCTACAATAAAAACACATTTAAGATTGGTCTTTTCAAATGCAGTAAACACTCTCTCCTTCCATACAACCTAGTGAAGACCTTCCAGTCAAATGCTGCTGTTATTTTATTGTTGGTCTCAATGCCAATTTAATAAAGCATTAATAAGCATTGTTTTCCTACTGCTTACGTTAAATACATGATAGCAGCGTAACATATTCATTCAATTTACTTTATTTTGGAACTTGTGCAAGAATGAGAAGAGTGTTTTAGAACCATGTAATAACAATGGACCAGCTCAAAAGTTCTTAAACTGTAAACACAGCCTGTCAAGACACCCAAGTAAAAACATAAGTCCAAATAAATTGAACTAACCAATATGCATAAATAATACATAACCATAAACATAGTTGCCAACAAAAATCAAGTCCAGGGAGCTCCATTTGTCAGTGACTGTGCCAGTGTTCACTCAGATCAAGGCGAGTTTTTTTTTTTAAAGAAAACTTTACTTCTTCCAATGAATGTCTTTAATATGGACCCATCCAAAGGTTTTATGTTTAGTCACGATCCAGGCTGTAATCCACCTGGCATTTTGGCTGAAGAGCTGCCTGATATTAGACGCAAGGCCACTATTGCGTCCAGCCACTCTGTATAACCTACTAATACTTATACAGCAGTCTTCATCCATCAAAATATTTAAACTTTCCACCAACTGCTTACCTGCAACAATCAGACAGTGGAAGTGAGCATGGCATTCTCAAAGGCCCAAAATACCTAACACGGGTGCAACCTAGTGGCTCAACTTTAAACATCTTACGTAATAAAATGTGAGAATGCAATTACGATTAACTAATTCTTGGTTTCACTAATATAGTTTACTATGCGCTGAAACCCATGCCATTTGCTTTATTTGCACCTTTAAGATGTAAAAATGATAATGCAGCAGTTTTCTCACAATATGAGCCATTATTACATTATGAACTGTTATTACATTATGAGCAGCGCTAGTAAGGCTTATAATGTAATAGATTATTACATTATTACATTATGCGCAAAGCCGTTATGTGCTCATGATTTTATTACATTATGAGCTGATTATTACATTATGAACTTTTATTACATTTAAGTTATTACATTATGACCCGTTATTACATTATGAGCCATTTTAGGAGTTGCAACACAGCTCCACACTTTATACTTGATAACATCACAAATTTGAGACTTCCCTCTTAAGAGCGAGTAGCTCATGTTCACAAATATTGGTCAAACTTTCCTGAGCCATGGAAATAACACAGTGGAATTCTTCAATTAGGTGGTCTTCCCCTTAATGTTGTGTTACAGTTACTCACTGTGTCCACTGGTGGGCAGTGAGCTCCCATGGTTTACAAAATCTAACATGAAAAGTGACATCTCCATCAAGCCATAACATATCCAGTGAAAAATTTCCAAATAAAAGATTGTAAATACAATTAAGTTTTGGTACAGTTTAGGTTTTCTTGTTCTCAAAATAATGATCATTATAATAAAAGTGCATGGGGGGGGGGGGGGGGGGGGGGGGGGGGGGGGGGGGGGCATGTAGCAAAGGGATGCAAGCCAGAGTCAACCTGCGACTGCTGCAGCGAGGCATTGCCTCTGTACATGGGGTGCCAGCACTATCCACTACACTACCAATGCCCCGACAGTTTGGATTTTTAAAAGGAGGGTTGTATAAGGTACTTACCCATGGTCAATATATTACACACAGTAGATGTCGGTCAGCATCTACTGTGTGTCCCCAATTTGGAGAAACAGGCTAGTCTCTCACAAAAGTTAAGCAAACTATTGCTATGAGGGGGCCAGCAACAAAATGTATTTTAGCCACCTAAAAAAATTAATATCAGTTCATGTGTACGCTACACTGAGTGTTTTTTTTTGTTTAATGCTTTACCTTTCCGTCAGAAAGCTTGTTTCGACGGGGAAACAGTTAATGGCCTCAGTTTTCCATCTATGCTCTCATCAAAGCCACCAGACTCTATTTACAAAAGCAGTCATTTTAGCCCGCTGAACACAGGAGGTGCTGGTCTACCATTGCTTCAATCACCTAGTTAGTTTGTGTTATTCTGTGACTTAAGTGAATCTACACTAATTCTTTAAAAAGCCAAAGCCACACAGTAACACACAGAAACCAACTGAACGAGGCAGTGATAAACCAGCAGCTCTTGTGTTCAGCAATGTTAAATCTTTGATTTTCTTAATGGAGTCTGGCTTTGAAGAGTGATATAACAATTTCATTTTCCCATTGAAAAAAAAACTATCTGACAGTAAAGTAAAGCAGTGAAAATATTCTAAATATAGCATATACTTAAACTCATATTGATTTTTTTGGTGGCTAAAATATGTTTTGTTGCTGGCCCCCATCCACAGCAGTAAATTGCTTAGCTTCCATGTGAGACTCCAGCCTGCTTCTACAAACTGGGGGTGTGCTGACTGACATCTACTGTATGTAATATACTGTCTATGAATAAGTACCCCATACAACCCCAGTTAAAAAAAATCTAAATTGTCCCTTTAATGACAAATGCCCATTCAAACTTTGCTAAAGCCCTAAAAAATATCAAAAAAGAAAAGCTATTTCTATGGGTTCATTCTTGTTAAGGTTTTTCCATCTCAAGGTAACACTTTAAACTCAACATTATTTTATTATTTCCACGTAGTGTCCACCAGATGAGAGGTGAATGAGATATGTTTTTTTAAAAAAACAAAAAGACTTGTGATCAGCCTGACACTAATAGTGGTCCTGGTGACAGAGTTAGATGAGGAGGGGGTGTGATTGGTAAAGCACCAGTAAGGGTTCACTCAGGGAGCCTCTGTTCAGACAGTAAAGACTCTGTGTTAGAGCTTCATGAAGGACCAAACTCCCACTCTCATCTGTATAACGCAGCTGAAAGCCCACCACCTCCAGAGGCCTCACACGCAGAACAGCTGACACATCAAACACATCATATCCAGATGAGGAGCGCTGGTCCAGGGTCAGAAGTCTCTCCTCGAGGGCAGGACTTTCCTTCAGAGCTCCCTGTGAGGCTGTGACACTGTGCAGGGTGACAGTCACACTGATGGGACGGGGGTGCAGGGTTTTCCTGAACAGAACCAGCTCTGCACCTAGCATGGAGGGGTTCAGGCTGCTGACATTGAACCAGATCCATCCTGGAGGAGTGTGAGGTGGAGCTGTGTGAATCAAAGAATTAACAGAAAACAAAAAGATTAGTTTAAAGCAAAAGTACAAGGCTTTTTAAAGGAACATATCAATGTGTTTACAAGTTTTTGCTCCTTTACTAACAATCATGTAGCCTTTACTTAACAATTTCGCTGATGCCCATGTAATGCAATTTTAGATTTTCAAATGTATTTCTACCTCCATTTCAGACATCTGTTGGTTTCTGTTTATTCCTGTTTGGTAGAAGAATGAGCAGACATTTTAAATCTACGTAGGCTGTGTAATCCAGCACACTCTGTTTTGTGACCACAAAAACAGTACACATAAGTAAGTGAATTCTGTGATATAGACCCTTTTAAGGCTGACATCACAATGATGTCTTTTTATTAGCTGGAGGCAAAATGCACCACAGGGCTGTAGGCTACATAGGAGTCTCAAAATGTCATCTTGATGTGTTATTGGGAGCCAGAATAGAAGGAGTCATGGCTCAAAATTTAAATTTTATCACATACCAGCTGCCACTGACGGTCAACAAAAACAAAGACAATCATGGTTAAATGTGATAAGACAGAAGGACTGGATGGAGGCGATCATTAAAAATGCTCACATGTGCAGCGCACACTTCACAACAGGTTTGGGAGTATTTACTGTTGTGGGGATGAATGACATTATGTGGTATTAAGGGTCATCATGTCCATCTAATCAGAAATTGGGGAGGTATTAAGAGGAATATTGGATTTCGCCATAACACTAACTTTTAAGCACATTAGCCTACATTAGCTTCGACAGGAAAACAAACTGGCAGAAACCGTTCAAGTGTCGTCCTCCTTTGTATGACTGGCATAGTAATCAACCACAAAGCTGGCCATCCCACCCTCAGCAATCCTGTCAAATCATCCATGTACTGAGTGAGAGCATGCAGGTCCGACAGGCTGGTCCTGTTGGTCAGTGTTTACTCATTCATGTAACACTTCAGTCTGATGCTTTACACCAGAATGAGAGCCCCGCTTGTTGAAGAAACAGAGCATTATATTTCTACATGAATTAGTGAATAGTTAAGTGAATCACACATTCACTCCGCTCCGCACTTTGCTGCTCCGCCTCCCCAGACAGAGTGCACTCTGCACTCTGAGAGTGCCGTACTCTGGATAACTGAACAGTACATTCCAACAGTGCTCTGAATTTATGAATTTACTCAGAATGATTATTTTGAATGCACCACTCGCATCATCTTCCTCAGTAGTTGAAAACAAGCCAACTGAGAGCTAATGTATGTTGAAACCTGCTCTGCCTCCAACTAAGCCCCGCCCACCACTGTTTACTAACAGTTACAAGGTCTATAGTTGGAGAAGTTGGAAACATTGCTATTTGTAGTAGACAAACAGGGGTGCTTTGTGTCTAACACAAAACTTCAGTTAGTCTTAGGTGCAGGCACAAAAAGGGTTACAACCACCCCTGGTCTCCCCTGTTACAAAAGCCATCCATTTATAAATAAGTTTAAATTTAGTGTTACATCTTTAGTGTTTCCTTTTTCTCAGTAGGGTACAAGCTATGTTCTGTAGCACACACCTATTTGTAGAGAGAGAGAAAGATACTTTGATCATGAAGCCCAGAGTTACTGTACAGTTCTTTGGTTTACCAGTGTAGTGGGTGACCTATAGCTGCAGGCTGGATTCTCTTTACAGTAACAAACAAAGCCACAGTGGGCAGGTGAACTGGTCCAACACAGTTTGAACGTGCATCAGCAGGTCTGTGTTATATAAGTTACAGTGCGTCTGGTGTATGAAATGTCTGTATCATCCATGGACTGTAAAAAAAAAAAAAGGGGCTAATCTGACCAACGTATTCTCATAGAACGGTTCGAAATTTGCATGCACAACAGTTTGTATTATATCCTATGAATTTGCCCCTCATGAATGACATTAGGACCTTAAGGTACAGTTGCGTGATTAATGTAAGTTACTGTGATGAGGTTTAGTAAAAGAAAAAGAAGAAACCTTTTTTTTTTTTTTTAAGTTACTTCTTTTTTTTTTTAAAGATATTTTTGTGGGCATTTTTTAGCCTTTATTTGATAGGACAGACAAGTGTGAAAGGGGGAGAGAGAGAGAGGGAGTGACATGCAGCAAAGGAGTCGAACCCCGGCCGCTGCGGCAACAGCCTGGGGCGCCTGCTCTACCACTAAGCCACCTACGCCCCAGCAGATTAAACCTTTTATATAGAATGGCTAGGTGGCATAAAGGTGGAAAGAAGGAAATTCCGGCCTTAAAGAGGTAGTGTAAAAGGGGCTTGTAGCGACACCTCGCAGACAGCCTGTCACACAAACGGCCCCACCCTTTCAGCTTTAATAAAATGTTTTCATGAATGGTTAAATTAGTTATAGAGACGAAAGCTGTGTTTTTGTACTAGGCTGTAAACATGCTTGTTCCTGCTGTAAAGTTGAATATTTTATCATGGGGTGCTATGGGGATTGACTCAGCCTCATGTGGACATTAGAGGAACTGCAGTTTTTGGTACCACAGCAGTGGCCTCATATTTTAGCCTTTAAGTTGTCAGAACCGGCACTTGGTCAGTGGCTTCCAGGATCAGACAACAATGAAAAAAGTCGTCCTTTCACATCGGCATGATACTCAGCATCAGGGGAAAATGCAAAGGGACAACAATGAAAGTTAAGATGGCGGAATTGTGAGTAGGCTGGTGGGGTGGTGGATAGGTCCAACAACCACTGACTTTCACCCGAGAGGCTGGTGCTTTTCCCTTTAATTGGTGGAGACCAAAACACAGCTACATATAGAGTTAGCATTGCACATACATTTATCAGATGCACACAAACAAGACTTGAGATGAGTTCTACTGTTGTTTTGTGTCTTCTGGATGGGTAAATAGGCTGTTTGCTAAAATGTTTGCTATAACAACTTTATACAGTGATAATATGTCAATATTGTGTTTACAGCCTGCCCTGCTGCCCCCAAGTTGCCAAAAAGCAACTTTAAAGAGCATACATTTTTTGTATCAAATTTGGGCACTTTTTGTCTTTTTATTTTGGTAAATTTTTAGAATGTTGCACATCTGGCCAAAACCCAGACAGTGATGTCACAGCAGATGCTTCGCTGATGGAAAACCTCCAGGTTGGCCAACACAAAAACATCATCACTGGAACACTGCTAAGGCTAATCAACTGTTTTTTTAGTCTTTGATTCAGTCACAAATGAAATGTGAAACATCACTTTCTGTGATTAGATAGGTTTCAATAGAACCATGTTAAGTAGCTGCAATGCCACTAAGTGCTACTAGATGGTCATTCATTTCAAATCCTTACCAGCAACACTCCGAAAACTCTGCACCAGCGTTCCATCTGAACTCCCAAAGTCCTGAGCCTCCAGTGAGTCAAAACGCTGATAGATCCCCCTCATGTAGGGATGGGGCTTAGCCTGGTGGCTAGCAGACACTTTATTAATATGTAACATTTCCAAAATGGCTTTGTTGCGTTCGTGGTTATCCTCTGCATCTCTGCGGTGATCCATCAGCAGCAAGCCTGTGACGGAGCACAGCAGGAGGAAGACTAGAGTTACATCAAAACATCCCAAACAGACTCCTCGGAACATTCTTGGTTCGAATGATTTCCAGACGCTCTGATATGACCCTGTATCTGCTCTTCAGTTACAGTCAAAATGCTGCTGAAATTTCCACCTGGGAGGCTAGTGTAACAGCCTGTGCACTAATAGGCATGCAGGAACCACAGGGGCTGTCAGGACTTAATGAAGCAGTCTCATTCTGAAGCTGAGGAATGTTACTGCCTTTTGACAAACACTCTACCATGGACTGCACTGAGCCACAGGCCTGCACAGACACTGGGCCAATGCACTGACTGGAAAGACTCCACTGTGACTTTATGAGCAATAAGTATCACTCTGCAGTGTCATTATCATGTGCAGTAAATGCTGAACTCTCATTGTTGTACATATAATGTTTTCTTCATCCTCACAAAGCGGCGGACATAATTCTTTTAATTTCCAACTGCTATAAAAGACTTTTCAGGTCAAAACTGAAAATATTTTGAATAAAATACTCATTATATTTTTAGATGTCCTGATATCAACCCTTTCACACGTAGTGGTCACTGTAGTGGACAGCTATTTCAAATCCATTTTCTTGTATATGCATGGGTTTGATCAGTGGCGGTTCAGGCACATTTGGTGGCCTAGGTGAGCACAACACTGCACTACACATTTTTTTCCCCAACAAAATGCAAATAAACAATCAAGCTAACAATTCAAAATAAGATAAAAATATGTCCTAATTTGCTTTCAGCAACATGTTGTACATGTGTCATAATTATCATATTAATCAATATTCAACATAAAAATTACAAATTTACTTGTTCAGAAGAATAAACAATAAAATGATATATTACATTGTAAAATAATAAAATGTACAAACTAACTTTCTAATTAAATTAGAGATGCATCGATTTTCAAATTTTGAGCTGATACTGATACCAATGTTTAAAATAACAATTTGGCTAATAGCCGATACAGATGTTTTTATATTGGTTCTTTTGTTTGTTTTTTTTGTTGTTATTTATTCTTCTTTTGTGCCAGAGAAACACAGAATCTACACTAAAAAAATAAATGAACAGTTTTCAAGTTATTCAGTCCTTCATTGCACTTGAATGAGCACAAATTCAATAATACATATTTATGAAACAACCTTTAACAGAATCTTCTTTCACATGAAAAACATCTTTAACAAAAGTAAAAAGCCCTTTTACTATATATGATACATCATAATTCCTACTCTAATATGTATTTTATAGTGCTGTGAAAACATCAACAAATTTCTCATTCAAACAGCTGGATTTATTCAAGTTTCTCACCAAATGCTACATTTTACAAGATTACATTGACCACTTCATGTGAACGTTATAATTTACCTTCGCCCAACACTAAATTTTACTGAACACACAGCTTAAACACTTCACAGTGTAAATCAGTGCAACCTCCATGAGCTGTTTGCTTAGAGGTAATGATAACTAGCTCTCCTCCTACTGATTTCATGTTCCTTCTCTCCACATCCACTCCTCTCAGTAGTGTAGTGGTAGTTGAATGGGCACCAGAGAGCTTTTGTTGTTTTGACATGATATGATGATGATAATGACACAACATGTTTCAGGATTCACATGATGTCGGATAACTCGCCCATCTCCCCTAGGGAGCAGGTAAAGTGTAACGAGCTGGGGAGGGGACAGGGGGGCGGCAGGAGCCCAGAAAAAAAAAGGCCTCTCTAATATTTAGTAGGCTTTGCTATGTAATTATGTTGTTGTGGTCTTAAATAATATTACAAAATAATAGTAGTAATAGTATTATAAAAAAGTAGTAAAAGCTAATCATTTTAATTTTTTTTCTTTACCCATTTGTGGCGCCCCCTATGGATTACGGCGCTCTTGGTATTTGCTTATACTGCCTAGCGGCCAGCACTGGTTTTGATGCTATCCAGTGGACCCTGGTGCATCATTCCTTACCTTGCCACCCACTGGCCAAATTTCTCAAAACCAAGATGGCCAACAGAATGCAAGAAATATTTGCTCGGAAATATCTCACCAATCCTTCTATAACAGGAGACTCCTGCATCTAAGGTGTAATACCATTGTTAAAATTTCCAAATAGCGATTTTACATTGGGAGGAAATTATGATCTGTCATCATGCATCACTGACTATATTTCAACTACAATCAATACTGCTACAATGAGGGGGGCAGGGGGGACAGGAGGGAGGAGTAGAAAGAGAGAATGGAGAGGCTAAGGAGTCAGGAGCAAGGTTCAGCGTTTTTGCATTGCATTGAACTGTATTGTGTCCCAACTTTTTTGGAATCAAGTTGTAAATTATATAATTCAATCAGTGTTTTTAGATACACCTGTGTGTTTCCTGCTCTGTCTGCCAAAATGCAATTTCCATGCAACTTAACATGAAGTCTGTTCTGAAATAGAGATCTGGACATGGCTTGAATCTACGTCCCAGAAAAGTTGTGCACAAAGCAATCCATGTTTTTTTTTTTAAAATATGTATTTCTCTATTTATTTCTGGTCTGGTCTTTGACTAAACTTGGAGGGATATGTGGTGTGGCATTTAAAATGTATAGTCTGATGGGGTGCTATAATTAAAAGGTCAAAGTTTGAGTTTTTTGGAGGAAAAACTGCTTAACCACTAATTCTGATTAAACATTCATTGCACATTACAGTTGAGGACACCTACATCATTTCTGGGTGATAGTATGAAAACTAGTTGAAACTATATAATAAAAATAATTGAGTTACAGTGGTTTACTAAGGCAGCTAGATGGAAAACCAGTGCATTTCAAGTGGTCATGACATCTTTTCAGACTAATACTGACCACCACTGGCTCCCTAGAAAACTACAGTCTGAATATATTAGTTGAGCAGTGTTAAAGCTTGGGTAGGCAGATTTTTTGGCATAAATGACCAAAAATCCCATAATAAACTTTGAGCATTTTTAATTCAAGCAGTCTGAGAGAAAACTAGACTTCCTTACCTCCTATTGGCTCTGTTTTTAGGCTTTAGAAAATCCAGCCTGTGACAACAGACTTTGGCCAATCACAGGTCATTTCAGAGAAAGGGCATTCCTATTGGCTATTCTACAAATGCAGATGCACGTGCACATCCCTTCAGATGATGAAAGCCTGATTCAACTTTCCTGCAGAGAAAGTTGCTGTTCTAGCATTGGCAACAACTGCCTACACTGCACAGCAACTGAAAAACAGAAGATGGACTGATCAAAAAGAGAGTCTAAATGAGAGTCTGACAACTAACTAAATAAAACGTGTCAAAATCTGCGAAGTGCTTTAGAGATGGAGAGAAAATATTGTCAATAGTTTAGCTTCAGCTAGTAGTAGCCAAAGGCTCACAGCTGCGTCCATATTCATGTTTATGAAGCTAACATTAGCTAGAGCCTTGAATCAGTGTGTCCTCTGCCTCATACCCTGCTGCCACAGACCACCTCTCTAGGAGGTCAGCAGCTCTGGTGACAGACCCCCAGTCAGCAGCTGCAGCAACCTGAATCAAGCCAGCACAAACCCGAGCTCTGGGGGACTGGACAGCTCCGACTCTCCAACAGATCAGCAAACTTTCTGCTGCTGCCGTTACACAGGTTAGACCTGGTGCTGCTGCCGGCCACCAGTCTGCTGTGACAACTGGTGCTTGGGGGTTTGCGCTTGCTGAATTTGATCTGTTGCAGGCACCTACCAGAGTTTTGTCTTCAAGCTGTTGCCCGCTCTCCTAATAAGGAAGTAGTCCACAGCAGCATGAAGTAAGGCAGAAAGACTGTGGAGTAGCTGGCTAGCTAGCTCTTGTCTCATTTATAGTCTGATAAACAGTGCAAATGAGCTGTGTGCAACTCTACAATAAAATAAGATTAAATAAATCAATGTATGGGAAACACTGGGTTACTGTATGAAGCGTATGCATATGGCTGTAGTCAACTGGTGGGAGGGGCTTAGGATAGAGTGGGGAGAGCTGAAGGAGGAGGGGGTATTTTCAAATTCTGATGTTTTTTTGTTTTTTTTTTATGCCCACCACAGCTTTAAATGCCATTTGAAGGAATTCACTCACTTTAAAAAAGGCTATTTACAAATAATGCTCTGCTGTTAAAAGTTTTATCTAATGCTTTATTTTTATACAAAATTGCACAGTATTTTCTGTTGCAGTTGTAATAGAGATCAGTAGGGGACCAAAGTCCTGTTGTCATACATGACTCACCCATCGAGCAGGTCAGCGCATACAAGTATCTTGGAGTTCACCTAGATGACACTTTCAGTTGGAATGTCCAAGTTGAAGGTCTGTGTTCTCGTTTACAGCAAAGATTGTATTTTTTGCCCAGATTTAGAGTGTATGGTGTGGACAAAAGCATCATGTTTTTATTTTACCAGGCAGTACTAGAGAGCTTAGTCCAATACGGGATGTCAGCCTGGTATGGCAACCTCACTGTCAAACTGAAAACTAAGTTTGCTCATCTGGTGCACACAGCCATGAAGGTTATGGGAAGAAGGGACTATCAGACCTTGCAGTTTATTTATGAGCAAACTGTATTTAGGCAAGTGCAGAGGATAGTGACTGATCCATCCCATATTCCTCATTTAGAATATGACCTCCTACCCTCGGGCAGACGATACAGAGTCCCTAACTGCAAACTCAACCGTTTTAAGAATTCATTTGTTCCAACCTCCATCAAACTCTTAAACAATTCTGCTTGAGGCCGAAGACTGTACAATAGCTTTTATAGTGCTTTTATTATGGTGATCTTTTAGCATGTATTATGTATGCATGGCGTATGTATGTGTTATTTGCAATGTTATGGGATGTGTGCAATACTGTCATGTAATTGTTGTTGGGATGGTATAGTTGCTGATGTATTGTTTGTTGTTACTGTGGCTGTCAAGGCATTTATGGCGCAGTTGCTGAGTCCAAGACAAATTTCCCTTAGTGGGACAATAAAGTATATCGTATCGTATCGTATCGTATCGTATCGTACTTGCTAGCTTGCTGAATTGTAATGAATTTGCCCAGTGAATAAAAAAGACATCAATGGATGGTTGGAGGAAACTGGGAATTATATTGATATCAGAACTTTTCTTTTTGAAGAAAAAACACTTAAAACAAAACTAATAAAGGTTGAAAATGAAGTCCCTGTCAACACATTTAAAAGCTTGTGCTGTTAAGCACCACTAACATTAGTGAGAGGAGTTAGGTGGCTCATGTTAGAATAAAACTAGAATTACCTGTGCAATCAATACAGTTTCAAGGTGGACACCCAAAAGTGTCACCAATTCAGTATCTGACCAAATGTGTCCCCTTCTGTTCCTGAGATATGACATTGAATAATGGCCAGAAAAGTTCTATTTCATATTGGCTTTGCCCTCTAAGGCTATCGCTAGTGGGTTTTTCCCTCGCGTGCACGTGCAGCACTGAGTAAATTTATTCTACGCCCACCTGCAAGATGGGCCCCACCCACGGTCTCACCTTGGCTGTAAATTGCATCGAGACGTTACAATCAGCTCCCATTTATGCAGAACATTATGATGTTACTGTGAAGTTGACCTTTGACCTTTTTTTGGATATGAAACGTCATCACCTCATTATTTTATCTTACAGACATTTGTGTTCAGTTCTGACATAATTAGCATGTGAATTCTTGTGTTTTTCTAGAGGAAATTCCCTCAAGGCATTCTTGAGATGTCGTGTTCACAAAAATGCGACAGACAAGGTCACACCGATCTTGACCTTAGACCACCAAAATCTAATTGGTTCATCATTGAATCCAAGTGAACGTTTGTGCCAAATATAAAGAAATTTTTTAATGTTATTCTTGAGATATCATGTTCACAAAAATGAGACAGATGAGGTCACATAGACCTTTGACCACTGACCACCACAATCTAACCAGTTCATCATTGAGTCAAGGTAAATTTTTGTGTCAAATTTGAAGGAATTCCGTCAAGCTGTTCTTAAGATATTGCACTCATGAGAATGAGATGGATGAAAGGCTATGGCGACCTTGACCACCAAAATCTAATCAGTTCATCCTTGAGTCCAAGTTGACCTTTGTGCAAAATTTGTAGAAATTCCCTTGGGGCATTCTTGAGATATCATGTTCACAAGGATGGGACTGAGAGACGGATGGACAACCAGAAAACATAATGCCTCCATCCATGGCTATTGCAGTATGGAGGCATAAAAACAAAGCTTCCATGATAGAAATGAAGAGGTAATAGATAACCAGTAGTCTGGAATGTTAAGAGTTAAAGTAATGTTAGTTTAACTGTCATGTGTGAGCACTGATGGTATGTTAACATGAACTAGGTCACATTTGCAAGTCATGTATTCTTTAACTCAAGGACAAGACAGGACCAGGGGAACATGTCCTCTTAACTTCTCAAACTTTGCTTTTCTCCTGTCTATGACATCAGGCCTTTCACTTGTCACCATTCAGAGCAGCTATAAACACCTCTGACCTCCAGATAAACTAATACTATACTGTCTCTAAGCACTGTTCTGCGATGCTCGTGCATTACCACCATATGTATGGAAAAACTTAGGTGACTAAGAATGTAAGTGCAGTTTCAGTGTTAATATGCAACTGAAAACACTGAGGCTTTACAGGGCTTGTATCCTCTCACAGAGTACATGAAGTCTATTTCTCTCCGTTTTCCTTACATTAGTGCACTGTTAAGCCTTTTATCTTTGCCCGTTTCTGTTCAGTAATGACAAAGCTGTCCCTTAAACCACCAGGCACTTTGGACAAGACTTTGATCTCCAGGCCTGCTGTTTGTCTTTAGGTTTTTCCGCTCCAATGACTGATTCCACAGCAGCAACAGGACCAGGAAGGCGTCCTCAGTCTCTGTCCCTCCCTCCCCCCTTCCCCCTCCCTACTCATCTCACTCTCTTGTGGGTGGAGTTTGTCACTGAGGAGGAGTGAGAGCAAGACTCTGTCATTGAGGGAGTTAGAGTTGTGAGCGGAGGAGAGCAGACAGGTAGGGAAGAAGAAGAAGAAGGAGCGTCTGATGTTAGATCAGGTAAGGACATGTCGAAATATATGTGTATATCTCTGCTGGGGACTTTTATTATTCAGGAACGTAATGAGATGTTTGCTTGGATGTCTTTTTCTTCCTCTCCCTCCATTTTTGGGGTAATTTTTCTTCCTAATGACTTTGATTTGCACAATCTGACTGTGTTTCTCTTCATTCTGCTTCTCTTTCTCTGTAGTCTACATGTCAGTACATGATATATAATAATCTAGCAGATATACATTTAATGAAATCTACCATCATCAGTGATGTTGCTTTTAAAGGGAAAATCCTTTTAAAACTGCACATACATGCTTCTCTCTCTGTAGTGGTACAGCACTGTATCATCACCAGTGCACTACATTGCTCTTTTCCCCATTAATCACAGACTCAGCTCTCGTTTTTAGCAGTTAGGGAGTGTTTGGGAGCTTTTGAAGGCTTTCTGCTGCACACTCTGGACTCTGCTGCTGGACGGCAGCCAAAATGTTATCCGCTCATGTTTTCAGCAGAATGCCTTCTTCTTCCCTGATGGCTCGTCTTTCTTTGAAAATTGCTGGCTGCTCAGGACCCTGTTATTATTAAGATTAGAAGAAGAAACTGTGAGTGGATGTAAGAGACATCCCCAGCTGTGGAGGAGCCACTTGTTACATGACACATCACATTCCCTCACAGCTGTGTATTTGTGCTCATTACTGGTTTCTGTTTTGGGAAAGGCGTGATGAAATTCAGGGTTAGTTATTATGGAAATTATTAGATGTTATTTGACCTCCATGATCTTTGATTATCCAATGCTTGCACTGTGTGGAGCACATGTTGTGTCCATTTTTTGTGTTGTATGTCAATTCTTTAATCTCAGTATCTCAGAACTACTAGAACTACACTGTATCCAAAGAAAACTGAGTTATAACACACATAAATAATGATGTATGAAGAAGACTGATAAAGAATTTTTCATCTACACACCTGATGTCTGAAATGTATGATTAGCTGATGCCCTCCCAGTCTGTAATACACAAGTAAAGAGGTACTGCAGTGATTTAATAAACAATATGATACAATACGAAACAAATGATATGATACATTATATTAAGATATGAAACCATACCACCATACCAAACAATTAGGTACAATACAATATGATATGATACAATGCATTATATAACGATACCATACAATACCTTATTACCAATATGATACAGTACGATACGTTACGATAGGTTACGTTACGTTACGTTATGAAACCATACCAAATAATAAGGTACAAAACGATACAATATGATACAAAACAAATGATATGATACCTTACGATACGTTGCATTACGATGCGAAACCATTCCAAAAGATAAGGTACAACACAATACAATATGATAAGATGCTATACAAGATGATACCATATGATACCTTATGATATGTAACATTACCTTATGATATGAGACCATACCAAATGATACACATCAAAAAAATATGATACAATATGATACAAAACAAATGATATGATACCTTACGATAAGTTGCGTTATGATATGAAACCATACCAAATGATAAGGTACAAAACAAAACGATACAATATGATGTGATACAATACAATACAATACAATATGATACGAATGAAACGATACCTTACCATATGTTACATTACGTTATGAAACCATACCAAATGATAAGGTACAAAACGACACAATACAAAATGAAACGATATGAAAGGCACCGATACAATACGAAATGATACAATAACGATAGGTTATAACTATATTGTCAGTTAAAACTGAAATTCCTTTTGCATCCTCAGACAGCTCCACCCCAGAAGTTCACACACAAATAAGATACAATTACACAAACATCACATACCAATAAATGCACACCCAACAGGCACCACCAGGGAACACTTAACATAATATCCTCAGGTTCAGATCTTAATTAGCAACACACTGATTTTGGTTTAACAACAGAATAGACTGATGTATAAACAAATTTTTCAGCCTTATCTGTTTAAATAGAAGGAATCTCAATCACCTGCTGGAGGACGAAAGTTGGTATACTCCATTTAGAACATGTGAGGGGTCAGCAGAAATGCTGTCAGCAAATCTTAGCATGCTCTTTTTGTCGGTTGTTTGAAATAGGTTTACCACAGGTTGGCCAATAATCTTAGCACAAAGTTGGAGTATCACAGATTTCAAAACAATGGTCACCATTTAAGCAGCAGAGGCTGAGATAGTGATCTTTAGTTCCTAATATAGGTAACTGGTTCCTACATATCTCATAATGGAAAACAAAAGCATTTTTGCGATAGACTGTCCATGCCTTATAAACAGACCCTTCTCAAGGGCTTGACCTCATGTTCGGGCCGGCTGTTTCCACAGGATAAGAAGCATTTCTCATGATGTGTAAAATTTCTCATCAGTGCCCTTTTACGACGGTGTGAATCAGCTGGAGAGAGTGCTTCCATACCATCCAACACTGATGTTTGTTTAGTTTTGGATTAGGGGGTGCATGTTGTACTACCGCAAGCTTATGGGAATGTGAACGTAGTCTGTCATTAGCGCTGCTTGCTCTGACACTCAGCAGATGCCAAGCCTCCTCCTGAATGACATGTCAGTGCTGAGTTTACTCCTGACATGTGAGGTTAAGTTTGTGGTCTTTGGCTGTCTGGCTACGATCTAAATCCACACTACCCAACATGGCAGGAAATAGGACGGCTTCCCTGGATGCAACTTGTTGACATTACATTGTATAGTGACTGTAACATGAAGCTCTGCCAAAACAGGAAAAGGATCAACTGCAAACAGGGCTAGGACCCTTAGACTGCTCCAGGCAGCTTAAAAGTAGGACCTTTCCCAGCACTCTCAGCACTCCCACCTCTTGTCTGCAGCCTCCACACTGGAACTCCCATCAGTCAGGGAGCCATTCAAATCTTTAACAGGACACATTAATAAGGCCTTTGTGCTGTTACACTGATACTTCATATCAGTGACATGCAGTCATTTGGTGTGACACAGCTTGACAGGGTGTTATCTGTTAAAATGCGATCTGCTCTCAGCTCTGGCATGCAGTTGGACTTTGGTTTGCTCTGCATCCTGTTAGTCTGTGCTTGTGTCATAAGGGCAAAATGTGGTCCTGAAGACAGATTTTTGAGGCTGTTTTGAGTATTTTGACAGGTATTTTTATATGTATTAGTCTGTCTGTCTTTCTGTGGACCGATTTTGGTCACACAATACCATCACAGCTGTGCAAGAAGCAGTCCTGGACGCCGTGTCAATGTACTCTTGTTACATGCGTTGTGTCTTTTCAAAATACACTTCCGTTTTCACAGGAAATGTACAGTTTTAGATGCATACGGTCTTTTTCAAAATACACTTAGGTCAGTAAAACACCTTATATTTATGTTTATTACTTTGTGCAACAAAAGTACATGGTCTCCTAGTCAAAAGTCCACGTTTGTTGGACCCATCCACGACCCTTCCTGCCCACACTATAAGGACTTTCTAGCTCTTTATATTACGTAGTTACTAGCAGTGCTACAACTTAACACCGCTTGACAGCCTTACAAACTGATGCTGGCTTACAGTGTGTCATATCTTCATGAAATGTGTCTTTTTGCGTTGGTGCCTGACGCCGAAATCAATGCTAAAACTGCAATATTTTACGACTTGGGAATGAGAATGGGCTGGTAGTTGAGATAACACTAAAGCCTCAGTTTGAAGATGGGTGTGATCAGAACAAAGGGTGTTGGAAGTAAGGAAGGGTCCATTAGCTACAGCGTAGGGTATGTGTCTGAGCTTTTGCAGACCAGTCAAGTTCTTCCATACCACACTGGGAAAATCATTTCTTTATGGAGCTATTTTTTTGTGCATGGGGGTAATGCCATGTTAAAATAGTGGAGGGCTAAACCCAAACCATTTTCACAAAATTGTAAGAACACTATTGTCTAAAATATGAGATTTCCCTTCATTGGAACTATAGAACCAAGAATAATATCCACACACTTTTGACAATATAGTGAATGACTGCTGTTAATATCTGTAAATAAATGGACTGACAACTGTAGCTAAGACTATAGCCAGGCTTTAATTCAGATCACAGTTTAAGCTGTGATACTAACTAATCCTGATCACAAAAAATTCAGGGTTTATTATTTTTTTTAGAAAAGCTACACTAATTAATATCTTTATATTTACAGTGTATACAACTTTCATTTATTATGTAACTGTCGTAAAACTTCAATTAAAATCGTAGTCCCAATTAAATGCCCAGTCCATTTTACCAGCCTGGTGTTGCTACACATTTTGACAAATAAAGGCCTATCTCAATTAGAAGCCTGGTCTGGTTGCCAAGCAGTTCATTTTTATAGAAGTTATTTGGATGTATAACACTGGATTGCTGGCTACTCACATGAGCTACTGTTAGATAGCTGGTTAGATCGCACACACAGATATAAATGTTTATACTCTTGTCAGTATAGACATGCTACACATCATTAGCTGGGATAGATTCTCCACAAATCAGTCAATTCACTTTATTGAAACCATGAGCATCAAAGAATAATTCATTCACCAAAATGGCAAACAAGAGGAATGAAAAAATAAGTGATGACTCCCTACCTCTGATGCTGTCATAAAGTTAGCATATGTCTTCATTCCTTGTTTACCCAGTAAGTTTTTCACATTTCTTTAGTCCATAAGGGTTCACTGATAAAAAGAATCAAAAAAGTATTTCACAAAAAGTAATCCAAGTCATGAATATTGTTAAAACAGGATCAAGTAGTGTTATGTCGGTATCCTGGGTGCAGTAATCCTTGAGTGCTGTAAAAAGAGTGTCGTAACGCTGTCTCTGTGGTGCAATATCTATCAGAGTTAGATCAAATGAATGATACATAACAGTGTTTCCCCTACCATTATATTAGGGAGGTGCCCCGCCGCCCAAACGGCACCCCCTGCCTTGAAGGTCAAGTTAATTTTATTTGATTTTATTTTCTATACAGTGCCAGATGACAACAGCAGTCAAGGTTACCTTTCCTATAGAACAGGTCTATACTGTACCTTGTCCTTTTATTAAAGCGACGCTTACCTTTCTGGACATTTTACGCTTTTCTTTGTTTAGGTTAAAATGCTATTAATAAGCTGATGGCACACTAAAATGTAAGTGAATTCCACCAGAGATAAAAACTCATAATTGTACCATTCTCATATGGTTCTAAGAAAACTCCGACCAATCATTGCATTCAGGTCGAATGCAATGATTGGTCGGAGTAGACGTAATGAGGACGTAATGGAGGAGGGAGGAGGGAGGAGTATGCCTTTGGAGGGAGGTGGAGTTGCAGGAGGACAGGGATGGGAGGAGGGAGTTGTGGATGTTCACATTTTTTCTAAGTGCTGTGTGAAATGCAAGAAGGGTAAGAGTAGCTTTAAACAAACTAAATAGCCTCATGTTATTTATCTTATTTACATGATGGCATGTCATTTCTGTCTCTACAGTTCTCCTCTGCTGTCCATATCACACACGGTGGAGTTCCACCCTGATGCGCACACACACAGACATGCGTGCACACAGGTTTTGAGCTTCTTATCCAACACTCTGCCAGGGAGCAAATTAGTTTAACGTATTCCTTTAAGGTTAAATATAAAAACAAATATACAATATATCCATATGGTACATACAGAAAAAAAGTTAGCTCAAAATGAAATAGAACCATTTAAAGGGGACCTAATATACTCTTCTTTGTTTTCTGTTACATTAAACGTAGCCAAAGTTTTAAATAATGAAATAAACTTATGTATAAGTTAGGGATGCAACTGTTTTGTTTCACCGCTCTCATCAGCCTGGTTTACAGCTGCAGCAGGAGCTGTTTTCAATGAAAAGCCTCTCAAACATTCATCAGGTGGACATAAACACAACTCCAAAGGAATGATAATGCTGCTCTGTGCCTGCCAAAGGTGTAAATAGGCAGTTGTTTGCTTCCATGTGAAAGGGGGTTGTGGCCATTTGAGATCCTGTTTTTGCACTCAGCTCCTTGAACATGATCTTTCCAGCTCTCTAAACACAAGTATTGTTCATGGGAACAAGTTATAACATGTTCCCCAATGCAGAGGCTGATTAGAAGGTGCTTCTCTTTCAGAGGTGCTTTCTGTGTGAGGTCTGTGGTATCCCAGACAAGTGTCGAAGGAATGTGGCAGGATGACACCTGAAGCCCATTTTCAAATACAAAACAGCTCTACCACACACCCTCAGTGGGAGATAAGATAAGAATAAACTTTACTTATAACTAAAGAAAGGACAAATTAGGCACTAAGAGCAAACAGCAAAACAGAAACTAGAATGAAAACAGGCTGCAATTGCAAAGCAGGGCACTCATAGGTTATAAGTTTGAAAGATGGTTTTATTGGATGGTTGTCCTCCACTGCTTTTAATCATTATGGCAACTCTAGCAGAGAAGGAAAGTCTTGTATGGTGGGAAAGCCTCTGATGCACGTGACTCTATGAAGGTCAAAGGTCACTCAGAAACATCAGGTCATTAGCAGAGGGAGGCTGTTTTAGCCTCAGGGAGAGGCCAACATTTGTTCATAATGAACATATTTCCTGGCAAGCTGAGCACAGAACAAGTCACAGAGTCTACATATAGCGATGTGGAACTGCCTCAGGCTGGTTGATTATTTCTGTTTATTAACAACAACTTTACATTCTGGTTTTTGTTATAAACCAGAACTGGAGAACTGATGATGGAGGTTGCTCCATTTATAGAACAAAGCATTTAAGATCAAAACTTTTATCAACACCACTCTAATTATTGTTTTTCCACATGCATTAAACCAGAGTTCTTAAGTTTGGATGACTTAGTGCCAATTTAAGCCTCCCACAGACTAAGAATTTTTTAGTAATCTGTAAGTTTAGTGGAAGCCACACTGTGCAACATGGATCTAATAAACTTGGGTACATCAAGTCTGATGTATGCAGACTGGACAATGACAGTGCCTACTGGATCGCAGGCTACGATGTATGATGCAACAGCTTCCCATACTGAGTGCGCAGGGATGCTGCACTGGTTATTACTTCCCCAACTGTGAAGCACAACGTAGAGGGTCACATTATTAAATAATCTAATGTTTTGTTGGCACTATATACTGCGATGTGTCTGTGTGTGTGCTTGCTAGTTGCTAGGGGGCTCACCTGGCAGCTGCAACTCGCTATTTCCTTCCATGCTTTGTTCTTCTTTACATGATAATGGTAAGAGCTGAAGGACACATCATACAGGCAAGGCTTTTGCTGCCACAACTTCACAAAGTTTTCCTCTTTGTTGGAATCCCATACATCTCATTTAGCATGTTTCGCTTCCATGGCAAGCTGCTATCAGTCTGTTTGTTTGGGTTTAGCACTAGTGCATCATTTCATGCTGCATTTCTACTGGTTACTTGGTAGCCCACATTTAAGAGTACTGTTTGCAGTGGAAATGCTAAATTGACCTTGGGTCTAGGTATCATGTTATTTGGGGCCAAAGGTACTATGCCAAAAGTGATTGGTGTAAACGGGGCTTTACTGTCTCACAATCCACCTCTATTCATGTAGTCATCATATGTTCAACTACCACAACAGAACTACATTTGGTTCTTTTCAAAGCCCTGCTAGTTAAACTGAATGTTTTGCTATCAAGTTAGCATGGTCAGTAACATCAGCAAATGCAGGTTTAATTGCTTTTATAAAATACAATATATTTTACACTTTCTCATTTAGCACCCTCAAACTTTTAGGTGTTTTTGGTTTTGTTCATTTGGTTTGTGAATGTTGTGTTGTGCACTAACTTTTTCTTAATATAAAAATGCCGCAGACTGAAACCTTTATAATTTCTGTACAGCTCCGGACCAATCATCTGACCCAGTAAAAGCCCACAGACAAACATCACAGCAACATTATTCAACCACAGAAAGATGAAGCTTCTTCTGAAGAGAAAATCACCCTGGTTTACTTAAGTCACCTACTGGAGTGTGTTTCTGAAAGCTTTAGAGGCCAGAGGCCAGTCCTTGAAGACCCTACAGGACATCAGCTTGAGACTAACAGTGATGGGTTTACAGGGTCAAAGACTGGCCTGGACCTTGCTTCCAGTGCTCCTGCTGGGAGTGACCTGCTCATCACATGGTTCCCTTGTTAAAGTCAACAAGGGCTTAAAGGTGAAACGGGGTCAATCAGCCTACCTCCAGGAGAGTGACCTGCAGTTCCATATTCCCCATCAGAAGGATGCGTGCAAGCTGGAGGTGGTGTTAAATGAGCCCATAACTCAACGAGTAGGAAAACTCATGCCTCAGGTAATGGAAAAAGCCTTTACAATAAAAAACCACAGTGTGTTCCAGGCAATAGGGAAACCAAGGTAAAGGCATGCATTATGCTTCCATTGCACTGTTTGACAGATAACGTAAAAAAACAAAAACATGTGACATATTATTAGTGTTGTGGTAATGACAGCACAAGCTCAGAGCTGGGCTGTGAGGCTTTTCATTTCTATCTTATTCCTAACTGGCACCAGTGCATTGGCATTATAAAAGCACACCAGATCTTTCAAACATTAATTGATCTGACACAAGCAAATGAACATATTCAGCATTTTTTAAATGTTAACTCTGGGCTCTGATTCTCTGTTGTGCTTTAAGTTAGGTTAAGGATGTCTGTACACTAGGGTTAAGGTTAGGTCAACGCTGTGTGAAAAATTTATCAAGGACCTTCATTGTCTGCTCTTCATCATATACACACCTGGCTTGGGGATGTATTTCCATGTCTCAAGCAGCCTTCAGTCACAAAAAGAGTGGTATTTTAGGGAATACAGGGTGGAGGGACCTTTCTATACTTCTTCCTCTGTTTTCCACACTGACAGGCCGTCTTCTCTCTAATGACTCTATGCTGACAGATACAGTCATCAGTTAAATGTCCAGAATGAGTCATTTTTCATACTCAAAGGAGCACTTCACCTGCATAATGACCATTTGTACAGCAGTTACTCACTGCATGTTACCTTGGATTTGTTATGAAAACTTTGTTTTTCTTGTTTTCTCCAAGGTGAACATTTTACATTGACTGAAGTAATTGGGATCCACATTTAACAACAGCAAAACTATATCGAAGCATCCATTTACAATCTCTTACCCCACCTTTGCATCATAATCCAAGTCTCAGTTATCCAGTGGTATGCTCAGTACTCTTCAATACATGCATTTTCGCTAAAAGATTACAATTTAAAAAATGTAAGTACAAACAGTCTCATGTGCGCCTGAGTGACTCATACGATACAGGGTCAACGCAACTTGACCAGATAAGCTATGTCAGTGTGCATCTCTCCTCTCTCACTCTCCGCATAGGTCTGTCCCACTCACTTGCTCACAAGTTCTCTTGGGCCCTATTTAGATGGTCTAAAACGCAAAGCGCCAGGCGTGGGGCGCCATGGCGGAGAGTCTGACAGGGCTGGACTTACCGTCAATACCCGCTGGCTGCGTTTGCTGTGCGGTGCAGCTCCGCCGGAAGACCTCGTCCATGGTGTTCACGGGGTGAAATGACGTCTCAAAACCTCTGACCTGTTGACTTCAGGCCTGCCTCTGCCCATTATGTAGTTTTTAAGGTGTGGTGCAGGGAAATGTGATCCGCCGTGAACGCTGTATTTTATTTTGAAAATTAACTGGATTTTTTTATTGTGTTTCTGTGCACGACTTCCTGCCTCGCACGATCTGCTCTGTGCTGAATTGCTGCGTTGTGCTCCGGCGTCCGCCAAAAATAGAAGTCCTGCGTATCTGTTGCGGAGGGCTCCGGAGCGCCGGAGCTGAGACGGAGCTGGAACGCAGCACAGCCGCAGCTGGTGGAAACACACACATTGACTAGAATGGAATCCTAGCGGCTCCGCTGCCGTGCCGGAGCGCAGACGCAACCAACACGCATCTGGTGGAAATTGGCCGTCAGCCAGCCACAGAAATCCACAGCATCAGATAGGGAGTATATATTCAGCATCTGTCATCTTAGAAAAGTCAAAAGAAAAGAAACAGAGTGAGACTGCGAGAGAGAGAAAGAGAGAGAAAGAGAGAGCGCGCGCGCACGGGAGAAACACTGTCAACAAATTGTAAGTTATTCAATTTTATTTTAACCCGGGAGGTTAGAGAGCCCAGCTCCCTCTCCAGCATCCTGAACCCCCCGCCTGAAGGTGCAGGAAGGGCTGGTCCCGTGGCTGCACCCGGGCCGTCTGGTCTGGCTGCGCGCGGGCTGCGGAGCTGGGGTCATTCTCCTCCTCCTCCTCCTGACAAGATGATCTTCAGTTTTACGTTCTAAAAGCTTTTTTTTTTTAAATATATATTTGTACTTGTAGGGCTATAAGTTTACGTTTTTAGTTCACAGAAGCTGGTTATTGTTGTGTTTATGTCAAAATAAAGTTTATCAAACGTTTTCACATCTTTGATTTTGTGATTTACATGCCAAAATGATCACAGTTCATTTGGGAAAGACAAGTTCATTTTACAGGCTATGCATCATCAGCCCGTGGAGGTCTGCTCGCAGTTCCGTTTATTTGGACACTGCGAGCTTGGACCTCCCGGATTATCATGATCATTATTACTGACTGACCATTAAGACGTGTTTCTGATAAATATTTTAATGTGCACAATAATAACCTTTCACAATGAAATCATATTTTTATTTGTTATCTTTTGCATATGTGTGGCTGCTCCGTGTGTGTCTGAGCAGAGTGAACGCGCATGCACGCCTAGAGACGCATATTACTAACTTGTTTAACAGCGAAATACTGCGTTGTTAACTTTAGACCTGGTTTTTGTTGGTCACTGGCGCATTTGCTTTTTACGTCATCTAACTAGCAACGCGCCATGACTGCCCCTGACCACTCCTAATTTTTAGACCAACACACCCAGAGAAGCGCAAGTTCATTTGCTAGTTAGACGACGAGGGCGCAGGGCGTGAAAATGACAACTGCGCCTGCATCTAAATAGCAATGACACTTGCGACATGCGCCCTCCGCCGTCCGCTTTAGACCATGTAAATAGGGCCCTAAGAGAGACACAGAGAGCTGCTGCTCTGTTTAATCTGTCTGTTAATTAGTCTACAGTGAGACCTCAGTCTATATGTTGCACGAGCTACGCTAAATCAGTCTGTGACATGAATGAAATTAGTTCAGAAGCACACGCTGCGCTGAATTTGTAGGAGACAGCTGCTTGATTGGGTCAGGTGAGCACTTGTTTGTTAGATCATTTGTGAGGTGGATCATTGCTGTTGTTCTTGGTAGTTATAATCCATTGTATGATACTGACACAGCGCCTGGATGCAGGCGACAGATGTGTTTAAGAAATGCAGTGAAAAAACAGACAATTCAAAACAAGGCGTGTATAACGTAAACGGAGTGTCTTTCACTCTTTCCCTCCCTCGGCTTCTCTGTTGATGACGTAAATAAGATTAATAGCTTAAATGAATAAAAATATTTAAATCATTTTCCAGCACTAGATTCATTTTTCATGGAAAAATACTTTTTTTCCAAAACTGCAATGGATTTAGACCTACTTGATAATTTAATACTCATGTTATAGTTTTGTGTCCTGTGCTGCAGACCTTTATACCCCCTTAGCTCCAGTACTGTGTGCAAAACATTAATGTACAGCCCTGCTATTTAATTCATATCATTCTTAATTTACATGTTGTGCAGCTGTATATTTTCAAACGGGAAAAAAATCCCTGTCAATTCCTTTGAACACAGTCTGCTTTTATAAGAGTGCTTGTGACATCTCAAATGTGGCTTTAACTTGGAACTGAACATGGAGCTCATTTCGCAAAAAACACTAAGGTATATGTTGTGTATCGCCATTCAGCTTGATACATGTGTTTGGGAAGTACTGAGCATACAACTGGATAAATGAGACATGGATTATACTGCACGAGTTGCTTGAGTGTTTGCAAATGGTTGCTTATTGTTAAACCCTGGACCCCAGTGACTTCAATTTATGAAGAATGTTCACCTTTTTTGAAATCTCTGTTCAACATGGAGGCAAACATGCACTCATTGCGAATTCAAGGTAACATGCACTGAGTAATAGTATACCTAATATACAAATGGCAATTTAGCAGGTGAAGTATTCTTTTAAAAGTCATAAAAACTACAGTTTAGGACTAAACTTGAAACATTCACATTGCAATTAGCAGGCCCTGTGAGTTATGAGTTTAGTTATACTGTATATTAGCTTATAAGCTGGCAAAAATCAAGCCATTTACCCCAATTCAGTTCAATTCTTTTCTTTTCTTTTTCCTTCTTTCTTACTTTTAGTTTAATTTTCTGGTATGTACATGTTTTTTCACAAAACACAAAAAAATTGCAACCCCAGCTTATAATTTGTAAGATATGTAACAAGGAATTACAAATGTCATTATTGGTCATATGTAACATCCAAATCAGAGTTAATCAAAAACAATTCATTTAGTAAATGGTCAGTGTTCAGATTTACAAATCTAATATGTTGGACTGGTCAGTAGATGATTAGTAGTCTGTTCTCGAATCGATTATCATCATCTGCCAAACAGTCTTTGATTTAGAACAAGGTTGAAAATACTTGTTAGATGTTAATTAACTGATTGTTTGTTCCAGTAAAGCTTTGTATTTCCACATCAGTGGTTTCCTAAGATCTTTCTTGTAAGATTCTTGGAATGTAATATGTATGTACTGTAAACAACATATCCTCATACAGTGGTTCATAAGATATTTATCGAATTGGCGGCCAACAAATGATGTTGCATACTCATAAAGTTACATAGATTATGGTTAGGCAAGTAATGTTATTTTGGTTAGGTTTTAGAAAAGAAACATGGTGACGATGCTGGCCTACCTTAAAATAACTCAAAGTTCACTTGGTTTCACATGGTTCCAAATATCAGTCTCTTGGGGGAGAATCTCCTGGGGAACAGTCCTGTGTTTTTTGACCCATGCACCTCCCCATCCTGCACGGACTTTCAGTTGACTTGCTTCTTTATTTCCATTAGCACATTGACATGACCACAGCCTGAGTTATACACAAATTTCTGGCTCATAATTATGTGGGTTATATACGAATTGATGTGCCTTTCTGTTCATAGGCTTATGTATAAACAATGCAAGACAACAGCCTAATGAAATTTAGTTTTAATTATAAGGAAAATAGATATGTCCTAAGTAGTCCTAAGTAAAGTTCAACTGCAGCCCAAGAAAATATTAATTAATTATTCATTTGGAAACAGTGTTCTCCAAATATATTGAATTGTATTTTTGCCTGGGGAAATGACACATTTCATGTTCAGCTGACCTGCTGTTTTCTGACAATGACTGTCTAGGTCATACTAGCAATGGATTGCAATTTGAAATTTGGATGTATATTAATGTCTCTGTTTTCACCACAATTAGTACCAAATTACAAAGCTGTACAAACTCATTGGAATTATTAGTATTATTATTATTTGGAATTTACAGATCTGCAAAATGAATTATTACATTAGTTCCTGATTTGGTATTTATTAATTCATTGGCAGACAACCTGTGAGTGTACTGTAGAATAGTTTAAATCTGTTGTTAAATCTCAAATCTCGTCTTAAATCTTTTACCATATGGTTTCGTAATGCCAAGATGTTAGATGATATTTTCTAGATTAACCAAAAATCTGATTTTGTCTTCCAGTTTTAATATAATGAAAACTGGAATCAGAAACACTCTTCACCAGTGACACAGATGGAAGTCTGCACCTCGTTTATTGTCCACAGAATATGGTTGCATGCCGACATTTTGCTAGTGTTAAAGTGTTAAAATTAGACAATATACTTTGTAATAAGATTCTTCCTCTTACAGATGAAAAGTTAAATTAGAAAGCAATACAATGCAAACTTACAACCTTCACTGAAACTCAGATGTTGTGTTGCTATAGTCTAACTTGGCCTGGTATGACCAGTAGCTTATGGTGGTTAATGTTAGCAAATTTACAAGGGCCTATAAATTGCTGTGTAAGTTATATTAGTGATTCCGACTGCTGACTCAGTAATACTTGTGCTACTATACTACCTTCTTGGCAGTTATCATAATTTTCAGCAAACGTTAGATAGTCTTGTTCAGTTTGAACATTTAAATTAGCTAAGCAATGTCCAGGTACACTGCAAATTATTTCCAGGAAGTTACAATATGTAGCTACCTGTAATATTTCCACAATAAATTACATTATTATAACTTCACAGGCTTTTACTGGGATATTCAACCAAATTCAGAATTGTATTGTGAAATTCATGCAGGTAAATATACAGTGAAATTCAGTAATTCCATGGGAGCATACTGTAAAATCACAGTAATGAAATGTAAATAAACTGTGAAGTTACAGTTAAATTAAATAATTTACGGGAACATACTGTTATATTAGTAATGTAATTGGCTCTAATTGTGAGTTTACGGTTAAACATAACAATTTTACAGGAGCATACTGCTAAATCACAGTGATATACAAGCATAAGCACTGTGAGATTACAACAACAATTTGCTGTAACAATGAACAGGGATTTCCTGTGGAAGTAATGCAACTACTAGTCAGTAATTTACTGTAAATGTACAGTCAAACATTTTACAGTGTAGTTATGCATACTTTAGTCCTGACTCACTCATTATATTGGATAATTCAGTTTTTTCCCTTTATTTGTTCAGGTATTTGACTGCCACTATCTGGCTGATACGGTAAAGTACATCCATAACGGCTGTCCATTGTTAAAGGAGGACACTGTCAAGCTTCGACTGTACAGGTACAACACATGCTTATTGTCTTCATTTCCTGTTCTTGCTGGTGTGGCAGTATGATCATATTATGTTTTTTCTGACCAGGTTCACAGAGACAGAGACATACATGGAGGTGTTTTCTTTCCATGTCGACATTATGGAACCTGAATGCAGCATCATAAAGCTGGGGCCCAAAGCCCTGGAGGTTCCTGAATTCTACGGCCTCTCTGGTGCTGTGGATGGCAACGTGGTGTCCTTCCACTATGAGCGGAAGTCAAGCCTGGAGTGTAGCATCCATCTGAGTAGCCATGACACCCACCTGCCAGCCCACGGCCAGCTGGTCACTGGAGAGCCAGAGAAAGCTATGACAAGAGGGGATGAGCCAGAAAGCTTTATCCACCTACGCCAGCAGCTAGGTAACCTGTGAGACTGACTGACAGCTGACGATGGCAAATCCCCCGTCATGAGCTTATTCTCAAGAAAATAAGGGAAAAAAATCCAACAAACAAATCTGACCCTAAAATAAGACTTACATCACAAATAGCTGCATAATGTATAGGAGTGTTAAAAGAGAATTTTGTCCTTTAAGTCGTAATTTGTGGTAACAATAGCCTAAGAATTTTTCAGAAGATCAAACAATTAAAAATTAAAGCCCCTATGATTTTTTTGTGGGACTATGACATCTTTTAAATTATTCTGATGGCATACAATTTAGTTGTGCCTCCCATGGCAGACGGCATTTTGCTTTTGGGTTGTATGAACGTATGTGTATGTACTTCTGTTCGTCTGTATGTCTGTCCATGTATCCATCTGTCCCATTCTCATGAATGCAATATCTTAAAAACACCTTTAATTCGGCACAAACATCAAGAAGGAACTGATCAGACTTCTGCGGTCAGAGGTCAAAGGTCAAGGTTACTGTGATGTTTGTCTCACTCTCGGGAACGTGATATCTCAAGAGCACCTGAAGGGAACTTCTTAAAATTTGGCACAAATATCCACTTTGACTAAAGGATGAACTGATTAGATTTTGGTGGTCGAAGATCAAAGGTCAAGAACCCGTGACCTTACAAAACATGTTTTTGGCTAAAACTCCAAAAATTCATGCACTAATAATGATCATGATGATGATGAAAGGATGAAGTGATGACATTTTATATCAGTACGGTCAAAGGTCAATTTCACTGCAACATCATAATGTTCTGTAAAAAAAAACATTTTCTGGCCATTATTCAATGTCATATCTCAGAAGCAGAAGGGGAGACATTTGGTCAGTCACTGAATTGGTGACACTAATCTTGGGAGCCCATCTTGAAACTGTGCTCATTGTATAGATCTTCCGTGCTGCCGAGTTGAAGATGTATGTGAAACATCCATGTTTAAGAATATGTTGCCTCCTTGCATCAACATCCATAACCTATTTCAAGCATTGCCAGCTGTCATGGCTACATATGAGTCTGGACAGACATGGATGTTAACTGTTAATGCAAATTTACTGGTAACCGGAGGCATTCAAACACAAGGCGGTAATTCTAGTTTGTGGAGATATGAGACATATGAAATTGGTGCAGTGTGTGTGTGTGTTGCTGACTGCCTGCCAGAGGGTGTTTTTAGCCATGATTCCACAAAATACTTTTGGTATCAGAGACAAGATGTTTAATGTTCAAACTGATAAGCTTAATTGTTTTGTAAATATACACTTGGTCTGAATTTGATGCCAGCAGCAAGTTCCAAAAAAGCTTGATGTACGACTTAAGTTTTTCAACAGTCTGGGGTCTCTGTTGTTGTATTACATGCTTCATATTGCACCACACAAGTTCAATGTTAGACAGGTCTGGACTGCAGGCAGGCCAGTCTAGTACCTGCGCTCTTCTTCTAAGAAACCACGCTGCTGGAACACATGCACAATATGTTTCTTTGTCTCACTAGAATAATCAGGGACGTCCCTGAAAAAGATGTTGTCTGGATGGCAGCATATGTTGCTCCAAAACCTATATGTACCTTTCAGCATTCATGGTGCCTTCACAGATGTGAAAGTCACCCATAATGCCTTGGCCATTAACACATCCCCACACTGGCTTTGAACTTTGTGCTGCTAACAATCTGGATGGTCCTTTTCCTCTTTAGCCCCTGAGGTTACAAGCATCCATGATGGACTGGTCAGACCACAGCACACTTTTCCCCTTTGTGTCAGTCCATCTCAGACGAGCTTGGGACCACAGAAGTTGGCTGGATATTGTTGATAGATGGCTTTCAGTTTACATGAGTCTTAACTTGCACTTGTAGACCCAGTGATGAACTGTGTTCACTGATAAAGTTTTATTTTAAGTGTTCCCGACCCAATGTAGTAATATCCTTTATACAATCAGGTTGGTTTTTAATGCAGTGCTGCTTGAGAGGTCAAATTTCAAGGCCATTCAGTATTGGTTTCAGCTTTGCCCCTTACGTGCAGAGATGTCTCCAGATTCTCTTAATCTTTTGATAATATTATGCATTGTAGATGGTGAAATCCCTAAATTCCCATTTGTGCATTGAAAAGTGTTGTTTTTAAATTGTTGGACTTTTTGCCCATGCCTTTTAATACAAAGTAACCATCCTTGCTTGTGAGCAACTGAGCCTTAGGAGAATGGCCCTTTATACCCAGTAGAGATATTTTAATCTGTTGCCAATTAAGCTGTTTAGTTGTAAAACTTTCCAAACTCATGTTTTTTGAGAATTCCACATTTTTCACAGTCTTTTGCTGGCCCTGGTCCAACTTTTTTGGAATGTGTTGCAGGCATCAATATCAAAATTAGTGTATATTTTCTAGAAAATAAAGTTTAGCAGTTGTAACAATAAATATCTTCTCTTTGTACTGTATTCAAATTTATATAGATCATAAAATATTTGCAAATTGTTTTACACAGTATCCTTGGAATCCCACAGCATTCCACTTTTCTGGAATCTGGGTTATAGATGTTACACTCAATAGGTTAAACAAGAATACAAAAAGTGATATAAAATCTCTCTATGGTTGTTTGATAATACAGATAATAAAGCCAGAGCAATGTGTAAATCCGAAGACTGCCTGAGGGGTCTGAAGCTGGTGAAGTTCACCAAAATTCCCTGTGATGACTTCTTGGTGATGGGACTGAGGTATCAGCACATAGACCCTCCATCTCCAGACATAGACTACATCGCAATCCGACTGGATCTCAAGGACACCAGGAGTGGCAGCATGTATCAGGTCATTTGGTTTTAATGCTAACAATGTTGTATTTCTTTGTTTCTTTGTACCTGCACCAACACTATGTGTTTACATGAGTGTATGTTTCAAGCTATCATACCAATTAAGATATAGCATTGTACTGGGCTGCTATTGGCTAGTTGTTGAACATTAGTGAGTTTTAACTTGAGAATGTATTGAACGACAGCATAAAATACTGGATATCCCTTGTCAGAATTAAATGAGTTTAGTAGAGTTTTTAAATGTAGTCTATTTCTGTATTTTGCTCACAGTTTTAGCTTATTCTTACGGCCCTAAACTTTTTAGTTCCTTTGCTTTTAAATTATTGGCACTAAATGAACTCCTGAAGAGACTCCAATATTATAAGATTTATACTATCCCTCTCCCCAAATTTGCTAAAGGAATTTTGCGAGATTAACAAAAACATGGGATTTTTTTTTCTTTATGTAGTCTGAACAGGCCTGGATTCCAGTGCGGATAGTCGATGCAATGCCCAACCAGCCACCCAAACCATCCTTCATGTCCATGTTTATCCTGGAGGTGGACCAGTTCATCCTCACTCCACTCTCCACCGCTACACTAGACACTGAAGATGAGGAAACTCCAAAACAGCTCTTGGTTTTCAACATCACCAAACCGCCTGCAGATGGCTTCATCACCCATCTGTCCGATCATACTCGCCCAGTCTCCTCCTTTACATGGCTCGATCTCAATGACATGCTCATTGGGTACCAACCTCCAAATTCCTCACATACCCAACGCAGGAATTATGAGGTACCACTTCCCACTTGCAGTATGTAAAACAATCAGTTTGATGTTGTCAGTGATTTCTGAAAAAACTTTGTAATCCTCCCCCACAGGTGGAATTTGAGGTTCATGATTTTTTCTTTGAGAAGAGCCCATCAATGACTGTCCACATGTCTGTGAGGAATGCAGACACGAATGCACCCAGGGTGTCTTGGAACATGGGTATGCTAGCATTGTCACATTGCAAGTGTGCAAAGATCTTTCAAATATGAGGAAACAAATGAGTTGCTCATGTACTTACTTGCAGCTCAATTTATTTTACCAATGATCACTCGTAGCAATACCATCGAAACTTACTCTAAACTCTAAGTCAACTCAATACTGATATTTTTGCAAATAATTTTTAATATTAGCAAAATATTAGGATTAGCATTTTTTGCTAATATTGTTGCTAGGCATGTATGTATGAATGTAAAAATCCAATTAGCATAAATCTAAAAACTGGGTTTCACCAGAAACACTCGTATAGACACTGGAAATGATCCATGTTAAGAAGTGTAGACTGCCTCCAGAGCAGAAGTCTATGCTCTCAACACAAAAAGCTGGGCACTCCAGTATTAGAGCTCTTAACTCTCTATGAGGCTTGGCATGTATATTACACTAAGTAGTTATTCTTTAAACAATTTGTCTTATAGGTCTCAGTCTGTTAGAGGGTCAGTCTCGGCCAATAGTGTGGGAGCAGCTCCAGATTGTGGACAATGACAACCTGAATGCTGTTCGTATCATCACTGTGGATGGCCTGCAGCATGGACGGCTCACTGTCAGAGGTACTGACACAACTTCCGGAGGACACAGACAAAATTACATCTTATGACCTCTATCTGGTTACCTTAATTCCATTTTAACAGAGAGGTGAGTGACAGAGAGGTGTGTTGTCTTTGCCTTAATGCGTTCCATGCAGGCATGTGGAAGAGCTCAGAGGTGTGCCCCATAGGCTTTCCATGCAGGCATGTGGAAGGGCAGAGAGGCCTCAGACATACCGCCAAATATAATACTGCAAACAGAAATTAAGTTTTCTTTGACTAGAGTGGTCCTGACTAAAATGATGTTTCACCTGTCTCGCCTTAAGCCCAATCATGGTGTTTTTCTAACCATACTGTAGGTATACAGCGTTGTTAAACACAAAGTTTCAATAATTCCAGTACATAATAAGGTACAAATGTTATCTGTGGTTCGCAGAAACCCACAATATGAACATTTATTCTGGCGGCTGGGTAGAGGAGTTAATGCTCAGGAAAACTGCTCAGACATACTTACATCTATGGTCCTTTAGTCCAAAGAATGTGCGCTCACTCGGCTCAGATTTTCTCTCTGGACTGCATGTACTAAAAAAATCTAATATTTCCTTTTGAGTGGTGTCAGACATCCAGTCATCCGTTTGCTGAAACCCCTCATGTCCCCTTGGCATCTATAATGTTTTGTCTGCTTGCCTGCTGCTCCATCATTAGCGGCTATAAAACTCCATCCTGATGGATATGTCCCCACAGGGGAAGTCCCTCATGCCCAAGACATTTTATCAGTCTAAAAAGCAGTTCAAAAATGGTCTTGGCAAGACTCTGGTCTATTACAAATCTCCTCTCAGGTTTAGCTGACCCAGGCCCTTGCAGTTTCACCTGACCTTATGACTTTGTCACATCAGATCAGGGGAATTAATTAAATTTGCACATTGTAAACATCTTTTTCTTTCTTTCTTTCTTTCTTTCTACATTTTATTGCAGTAATACAGTAGAATCACACTGATAGAAATACAAGCATTAGGAAGAGTGTTTGTTCACACATTGAATCCGGGTGCAGATGTTGTGTCCAGGGTTATAAGATTGTAAATAAAGGAGATATGACGATTTGTAATACTTGTCATTGTGTTTGTGGTAAAGGTCACCTAATGTGCTCAGACCTTGTTTGTTCCAGACAGAAAATCTGGAGTCAGTTTTAGTTGGCATAAATAGATCATTTTTACAAATTAGAGTAGCCAGGGTTAGTGTGCTCCAGTTGAGGTGGTTCTCAATTTGCTGCCAAATTTTTAGTGTGGATATGACAGCTGGATTAGAACTGTACTGTTTCAGTTGAACGACACACCAGAGCCTTTAGGGAGTTGGAGTGGCAGAAATGTGATTGGAGCTGACACCAATGAGTGTCCGGAGTGAATGCCCAGAGTGCATTAGGCAGCTAGGAGGCAGGAGTCGATTGTACATGTCTCAAATAAGCTACTAACTGTTGTTGTCCAGTTTGTGATTGATCTCTGGCCCTTGCAGTCCTTGGGCAAGATACTGAATCCAAAATTACTCCCTATTGTGAATGTGTGTGAATGCTTATCTGATGAGCAGGTGGCACCTTGTATGGTAGCCTTGGCCACTAGTGTACGATTGAGTGTCTGAACAGGTAAATGGCACCTGTGTTTGAGAGCTTTTAGTAGTCATTAAGACTAGATAAATGGAGTCCATTTACTATTTGCTGACAGCTAGCAAGCCAGCTAACTTTGAGAGCTACTTTGACTGACTTCCGCTAGCACGATGTTCCTTGATTTGCTACCATGGTCAGTTCCCTGGCTACAGTAGTTGGTTTCATCAAATTATTTTTAATGAGTTCTGTTTCTTCATTATTGTTCATGTAAAATCCAGGTGGAAAGGGCTTCATGTTTACTGTCAATGACATCAAAGCGGGCATGGTTCGCTATCACCATGATGACAGTGACTCCACCAAAGACTTTATCATCTTCCGCATTACTGACGGCCGCCATCAGACTCGACATAAGTTCCCCATCAAGATCCTGCCTAAGGACGACAGCCCGCCGTTCCTCATCACCAATATGCTGCTGGAGGTGTCTGAGGGCCAGATGACTTTACTGAGAGGCTCCACCCTCCAGGCTTCAGACATGGACTCCAGCAATGACTACATCCTCTTTAACATCACCCGCCCTCCACAGGCAGGAGAGGTCATGAAGATGCCAACATCAGGGCTCACAGGTCAGATGAATGGACTTCATTTTCTCATTTCATCCTACATGGAGTTTGTTTTTGTTTTTACCAAATCATGTTTCTGTTGGTTTTGATCCAGGTTATCCTGTCAGCCACTTTCTGCAGAAAGACCTGTCGCAGTCCATGGTTTACTATCGACACCTAGGAAACAAAGTGTTTGATGACTCCTTTGAGGTGGTGCTGTCAGATTTCCATGACCCTCCCAACTTGTCAGAGCCTCAAGTGGGTATCTCTAAAGTAATGCTTTTAAGAGAGTTAATTAAGGACAAGATGAGGGAACACCATTTCAATTTATGTTGAATGATCATGCAAAAAAGCATCAATATAATTAGCCTTTCATTACAGGTTGAATACAGTGAGGTCTACGGTTTAATCTAGCACCATCATCAGGCCAGTATTTTAATGTGTCCAATACTCAATGATCATATGACGTAGGTGCAGACGTTTCCGGTTGCCTCTCTGTCAGCTCTGCTGAATTTGTGCAAAATTTAGGCTGTTATGTCTGTTTTGCAAGTCTTGGATGTGCTTTTTGTGGCTGGCTTTGGACAGTGTTGGTGTGTGGCTGGAGGTCAGTCATCAGGATGAGGAGAGTAACTCATCAGTCTGTAAACTCTCCTGCCAACTCCTAGCTAGTTAGCTACTTCATGGCCAGGGCCATGTTTACTGACGTAAACACAAGAAAACATCATGAAAATGATGGAAAAGAATGGGCCCTTGCTGAACTAGCGTCCTACTTGCCATTGTATGGGTGTTAGAAAATACACTGGAAGACCTGCGTGCCACATCCGTTTCTAACGGGATGTCAGGGACCTAATATCCTTTGATTCACCAAAACTTGGCAAAGTCCTGGAAAGTGCCACAAGGCTTCTTTTCTATGTGCTGATCTGACAGAGCAGAGGACTCTGGCAAGAGAAGGAGAGGAGACATTTGCTTTTTGGTGAATAAGGACCTGGTGTGATGGTAGGAATGTGAGGTACTGTCCTGTTCCTGCTGTGGATCACTGCTGTAGAGGTGGTTGCTGTGCAGTGCTGCCTTTGTTTGGGAAAAGCAACCATTGGGATGTCTTGTTGAAGTCGAGATCTGTGGACAGTCAAACTATTCCACAACCAGAAACCACAGATTACCAGAACCATCTGGAAACATGAGCAATTCTAAAGCAGCAGCCAACAATGTAAGAAGATGTGCAAAGGACTAGATTACAGTGCACAAATTAAGGAGCTGATGGGATCACATTTCACAAGAGTTGTACCTTGTATAATTCCATGTGGCATTGATTGATGGATTGATTGATTAAATGAAATACATGCAAAACTGATATGTGCAATTCTGTCTGATATCAGGCATGCACTAGATGAAGAGTCTGGAGATCAACAAATTCGTCCTCTGAGAACCATGACAATCTTAATCAAATGTGGCAGTCCATTCAATATTTGTCAAGACATTTCCTTAAAACCAAGACTGCCATCCTCAAGGGATGACCAAAATTATCAGGATTCACCTTCTGGGGACCATGAATGACAGAAACAAATCTAAAGACAACCCATTCAGTAGTTGCTGAGATACTCAATTATGAACCAAGGTGATGGAGGACTGACTGACCAACAGACATTGCCAACCCTTGAACCTTGGTGCTCACATGGAGAATAATAGTTGAAGAAATAATCCTTGGGGAAAACACCACTAGTCTTGGGTTTAATAGTACGACTTTGCAATGAAATTCTATCACAGAATTGTACTCTATATCTAATTTGGTGATCTACAATGTTGTCCTTGTGGTGCAGGTGGTGATGGTGCACATAGACCCTGTTCCAGACCAACCACCTAAAGAGGTTCCTGGTTCCAGTAGGTGTCTTGTGATCAAAGAAACAGAAGTGGTACATATAACACGGCAACAGCTTCACTTCGTAGACCAGGAGTCCCCAGACAGTGAACTTACATATACAGTTACTACTCCACCTTTCTACACTGGTCTCCACAGGTAAGTATGTCCACACCTTCAGAAAACACACTGGCCACCAAACAGTGGGAGAACATTCTGTCTGAATAATTTGTTTTTGTTGTCATGAGCAGCAGTCCTGATGCTGGCAGGTTGTTCTTAGTCGACAGCATACCCAAATTCACCAAAGACACCAACGCGCCAGTGCTGAGACTCTTCACACAGGTGATTCTTTTAATATTTATTCAGGAATAGGCCTACATCATAGGTACATGCAAGCAGCATACTCCAGGGCTGAAAAATAAAGCCAACACGAAGTGCCAAAAACTGTGGTTCATCTAATGGCCACTTGAGGCTGGCTCCAAGAGTGAGTCAGAACCCACAGATCCCCCATGTTAAAATGCCCAAACTTACAGCTGATATAAACATGTCTACAACCTGGTACAAAAAATGGTATTGGTACATATAGCTAATTTGCCCCTTATTGACATCTGTACAGGGAATTAATTTTTATACAATGTACTTGTTTAAATGTTATTAAGGCTTAAAGTTATGCATAATTAAGAGTGTGGCCGCTTGAAGTGACTATATGGTGCCATCGGTTGACAAGTTCCTACCATGGCGACAATGTTAGTTAGGCAACATAACTATGGCGTAACCCAAGATTCATAGAGTATAGGCGGATCCGTAGCTATGTTATTATGCTTTAAGTTCATGAAAGTTAATTATAATGTTTTGGTTGCCTAAAAAAGTCTTGCTTTTGTTTGTTCTAATAGACCTTCTAAGGAGTCGGATATTTCATTTTTCTGGGCCGTACATTTTGATTTAATGGTTATAAGCCTTTTTTGTTAGCAAAAATTAACATTAGCATTGGTATTATCATTGTTAATCGTAGCTGTGAATGCACAGTGTTAACTAAGCTAGCAGCCATCCATTAAAGGTCTGTGAGAGAAACTATCTCATCCAAAATGTATCCGTACTTTTCTTTTTGTTTGTTTCCAGCATGCAGTGAACTTCATGAAGGTAGCCTACATGCCTCCAGTCATGGACATCGGCCCTTACCCCCAGTATATCCAGTTTGTTCTCTCTGTAACCAACCACCTGGGCAAGACAGTCACTGGGATCTGCTTTAACATAACAGTAATGCCAGTGGACAACCAGCCACCACAGGTGGATAAGAAAACTGCACCATCCTTACATCATTTCTTGCATGTCCATATATGTATATATGACTGCTGATTCATTCTTTTTCAGGTTTTTACCAATCATCTGACTGTGGATGAGGGAGGGGAGTGCACGCTTGGCCCTGAACACTTGCTGCTGTCAGACGTGGACTCCAAGGAAGAAGCCTTGTGGATGGAGCTTCAGAGGGAACCACAGCATGGAGCTCTGCAGCTAGATGGCCTCCCACTGAAACCAGGCCACACTTTCACTGCGCAAGACCTGAAAAGCCTTAAAGTTAGGTCAGACACCCTCTTCATTTGTTTCTTCACTTCATGTTGGATTTATGCCAAAAACTCTAAATATGAATGGAGAAAAACAATGTAGTTATAAAGAACATCCACATACATGTAAACACCTTTATCATACAGTTTCATATAACATTACTTAACTACAGTCTAAACAAAAAACATGGAATTGAACTCTCTGACACTGTGTCACTGTGAACACTAAGCTTTAAAAAAGGCTGTTGGTTTGCGTAGATTATACAGCTGTATTTAATTAACTTGTAACTCAGCATATGTCTGAGGACAGGTGTGGTTTTGACTCAAAGGTAAGTGATTTTTGGCCACTAGAGGGCAGAATGCACACAGACGTAACATCCATCAAGCTGTTAAGTTAATATGGCTATGTGTTGAGCCCAGTTCAGACCAAAGATTTGCGACGAGACGAGTGGAAACAGGCAACTACTTGCAATGCGCAGTTAAAAACCTGCTGGTCCATACCAATGCAACTAGATGAGATAGTGTATCATCTCTATGCAACAACTCTTTGTACTTCCATTCTGATTTCCAGCTTTTCAGGCTTATTTTGTATTGGGGGTGGGCACATACACATACACTGAGCAGCAGCAGCAGCGACCCACGGTCCGACACTGGCACACCATGAGGGCTTGGCAGGGACAGAGCACCTGCTGCAGCAAGTAAACACGCTGACCGCAGTCATTTTGACTTGTCCAGTGGACTTCACTACAAGCTGATTGGCTGTTGAAAAAGGTGATGTGCTTTACGTTCTAAAAATGGCAGCAGGTTATTTGACTGGCAGAGTTGCAGGTGACAACACCTGCTGGTTTGTGTCAAGCTCCGACCGGCCAGGTCACACCACTGCAACTTTTCTCTGCAACATTCTAAAACAGTTTTGTCACGTTTGCGAATCCTTGGTCTGAGCTGGGCTTTAGCAATCAAACTGCCAGATACTTTTCTCAGGAGTCGTTGGAGTCCAAAACAGAGCTAAAGGAAATATGACATTCATCAGGCCGACAGAAACAGGCTAAGAAATGCTTATGTTGCTCTGTGTCTGTTATATCAGCAACTTCTTGCTAAGACTTAGCCATGTCAATTTAATAAGGTCATATCATGTCAAAGTTTTGGGTGATGTTTGGCTTGTTGTGGCGTACGGCTTCCAAGTGGCCAAAAAAGAAAAGTGCTTGGGTTAGGGTTTAGGGTGCTGGGGTTTGAGGTTAGGGTGCTTGGGTTAGGGTTACTAGGGCTGCTGACTAAAGTCACCAAGTAAATCACTGAAAGTACTGATTATATATTGTATCACTGTGTGTTCCTAAGAGCAATGTGTAAGTCTACAGATAAACATTCTTGTCAAGTGTCACCAGCTGTTTTATGCCTCCATGCCCCCAGCCACCAGTTGTAACCGTAGCTGGGAGCATTATGTTTTTGTCTGTCTGTCCATCCTTCCCTCCATATGTCTCCCCATCTCTCCATTCGTCCCTCCATCCACCCCATTTTCATAAACACAGTATTTCAAGAATGTTTACACAAACTATTACTTGGACTCACAAATGAACTGATTAGATTTCAGTGGTCAGAGGTTAAGGTTACTGAGACCTCTTCTGTCTCATTCTTGTGATCGTAATATAGCTCTTTTTTCCGATTTTGCACAAATGTCTACTTGGGTTCAATGATGAACTGATTTGAGATTTTGGTGGTCATAGGTTAAAGGTTAAGGTCACTGTGACCTTGCATCCACCTCAGTCTTGTGAACTGGATATCTTAAGCACACCTTGAGGTAATTTCTTTAAATTTGGCACAAACTTTCACTTGGAGTCAACAATGAAATGATTAGATTTCAGTGATCAAATGTCAAGGTCACTGAGAACTTGCATCTGTCTCATTCTTGTGAATGCGAATCTTAAGAACACCTTGCAGGAATTTATTCAAATTTGAAGCAAACGTCCACTTGGACGCAACAATGAACTGATTAGAATTTGGTGGTCGAAAGTCAAAGGTTAAGGCCACTGTGACCTAAAAAAACATGTTTTTGACCATAACTCAAGAAGTTATATTATTCATATATTCAATTATGGCAATTTCACATAAATTTCTAATAGGATAAAATGATGAGTCACGTGAGGAAGACCTGGGAAATGGTTGCGCCTTAGATATGCTCCTGTCCTCCGCCTACAATTAATAACAATTAAACTACATAAAACCCTCCATGAAAGTTTAGTTAATGCCGTAAGTAGTCCGTGCTCCTGCACAGCCCAAAGTTAAACAGAGTTACACAGGTTTGAACCGCACAATGAACCAGGGAAAACGAAGTGTGCAAACTCGCTTGAAGACCCCAGCTACCATGGAAGCTAACCCTGCTAGCCCCACTAGTGGCGAAGCTAGCCAGAGAAACAACATGGGGGATATCCTCGCGGAAACTGCAAAGATGAGCACGACTCTGAATAAAGTGTAGAGTGACGTGTCGATGATTAAATCAGCAGAGCTCAAAAACGCAGTGAGTGCTTTGCAAACCTGGTTCAAAGAGGCGGAAAGTCGCATTGCTGATGTGGAGGATAGCAACGTTAGCATGATTAATGAAAACAAAGTGCTATAAGACAGAGAGTGGAGCAACTATGGAGCCGTGTTGATCAGGAAAATCAAGGGAGACGTAAAAACATTAGACTGATTGGAGTGAAAGAAGGAAAAGAAACGGGGAATGCAATGAATGACTACATAAAGAAGATACTGAACGAAGGATTGGGACTACAGGGGGACGAGTATGAGATCGAGAGGAACCACAGAAGCGGGTGACCATGGCCAGGTGATAATCATCCAATAATTATGTAATACTGATGAAGTTTCTACACTACATGGCTTGGCAGAAAGTTTTGACAGCTGCAAAAAAGAGAGAGGGATACAGTGGGAGACATGACGGAGCGTTCCGACCTACGAAGAGGGTTCTCCCCAGTAATGAAGGTTCTGTGGGATCATCAGGTGAAACACATGTTGGCACACCCGGCAATCCTGAGGTTTACATGGAAGGGGAAGAGACTGAGCTTTACCGACCCGAAGAAGGCGGAGGTCTTTATTTGGGAAAACATTCAAAGCACGGAGAACGACTGTGTGATGTGAACATGAGGGAGGGTGGAGCTTTATTTTGAAGGCACGGTGGAAACGGAGACTCTCAGGTGCTGCTGTAACCGGACGGTTGGTGAGGAGCAGGAGGTATCATCTACAGGACCTACACAGACCGGAATCACATTAAGCCCAAGGCTTACTACACTGTCATGTTCATTTTAAAGGCAGTGTTTTTTTGAGTTATTGTTATTTGGTATTGTCCCTGTTCTGGGATATTGATTCTGGAGGTGTTTTTATTTTTATGATGGCAGGAGTAAGGCATTAATGTGTGTTGAAGTAGTGAGGGGCAGCGTCATGGATGAGGGTAAAGGGAGGCAAATGTATATACTCTCTAGAAGTAATGAGTAGTGGACATATCAATATAGTGACATGGAATATTAATGGCTGTAGTACACCAATTAATCACCAAAAAAATACTCACTTATCTTAAATCTAAAGGCACAGATATTGCATATATTCAGGAAACACACTCCAGGGACAAAGATGAAGCTTTAAAAATGAAACGTGATTGGGTCGGCCATGTCTTTCATAACTCAATATCAAGCAAGAGCTGCGGAGTTGTTATCCTCGTCAACAAAAAACTGAACTTTGCTGTACTTTAAAGACCCTCATGGACGGATCTTAGTAGTGGAAGCACTTATTAATGGAGTTAAAGTAGTTCTCTGCAACCTATATGCCCCAAACAGAGAAAACACATAATTTTTTTATGAGGTCAATAAAATATTGGGAGATACAGATGGTTAGATTATCTTGGGGGGAGATTTCAATCAAATATTAGATGATCATCTGGATCGCAGTAAAATCAGAACAGGCACATCCCCCAGAGACCGAGCAGCTATAGATACTTTACAGGAGGAACTGGGTTTGATAGATATCTGGAGACTCATAAATCTGAAAGAACGGGAATACACATTTTATTCTCACTCTCATAGATCCTATTCACAAATAGATTTTTTTCTGGTTGCTGACTCACTTGTTGACCTAGTAATAGACTGCAATATAAAAGTTATAGCAATAACAGACTATGCACTGATCAAATTACATATAGATTTACGTTCTAATGAAGGTAAAGTTGGGAGGTGGAGACTAAATACAAGTCTATTACAAGAGGAACAGTTTGCAAAAAAACTTATATATCAAGGTATTTTTAGATATGAACAGAGGAACAACAGAAAGATTAGCTACTGTTTGGGATGCACTCAAGGCGTTTGGGGGAAATGTATAGCTTATAGTTCATGGAAGGAAAAGGACAATGAGGAAAAAGTACAACTATTAGAAAAGGAAATAGTTTAATTCAAGAGGCATTTAGCTGAACAATACAATGAAGAATGTTTCAGGAAAATCTGTCAACTAAAATTTGAGTTTCATGAAATATATAATAAAAAGGCAGAGTATTCACTATTTAGGCTCAAAACAAATTTTTATGAAAAAGGTGAAAAAACTGGACGATTAATGGCAAGACAACTAAAATGCCTGGATTCAAATAATACTATTGTAGCAATGAAGTTTTCAAAAACTTTTATGAAGATTTGTACACATCCACGTGTTCGGCTAGTGATGAAGACTCGTCCAGAAGGTAGAGCTACCACAACTTTCTCCAGAGGAAAAGGATAGTCTGGATGCTCCCATAATGGAAGCTGAAGTTAGAATTGCAATTAAGGGTATGAAAACCGGGAAGTCACCTGGTATAGATGGCTTCCTGGTGGAGTGCATGTACTATAAGAAATATGTTGATATTCTTTGTCCATTTCTCACAGAGGTTTTCCAAAAGGCGTTTCAATATGGCTCACTCCCAGTAAGTCTTAGCAAGGCCATTATATCATTGATACACAAAAAAAGACAAGGATTCAATGGACCCAGCCAATTACAGACCCATAAGCCTAATAAATGTTGATTGCAAAATATTGTCCAACACATTAGCACTAAGATTACAAATATAACAAACAAATATATTTTTAGAATATTAAAAACTGGCCTAATGACTTGTGCACAGACGATTCTAAGGAGTTGGAAGGAGCCTCGAATTCCCACGCTGAGTATGTGGAGAACTCAGATGATGGAAACTGTGGCATTTGAGAAAATGTTGGGGAGATTAAATTGTCAAAATGACATGACAAAAGAAAAATTGGACAGTTTTGGTGGACAGATGTGTTGAGTCGCCTACCTACCTGCCTGTCTTGTTGTTGTTTTATTTGTTTTCAGAACCCTTTTTATTCACCTCCATTCTGTTTGTTTTGTCTGTTTGTACGTTTTTTTGTTTTTTTGTTTGCAATAATGAAAATTTAATTAAAAAAAACTTGATGAAGTGATGATATTTTTGGTGGTTGAAGGCCGAAGGTCAACGTTTAAAAAAACAACAAAAAAACCCACTGTGATTATTTCATTCAATTTTCAATTTTCAATTCAATTTTATTTATAAAGCCCAATATCACAAATCACAATTTGCCTCACAGGGCTTTACAGCATACGACATCCCTCTGTCCTTATGACCCTCGCAGCGGATAAGGAAAAACTCCCCAAAAAACCCCTTTAACGGGGAAAAAAAAAACGGTAGAAACCTCAGGAAGAGCAACTGAGGAGGGATCCCTCTTCCAGGACGGACAGACGTGCAATAGATGTCGTACAGAACAGATCAGCATAATAAATTAACAGTAATCCGCATGACACAATGAGACAGAGAGAGAGACAGAGAGAGAGAGAGAGACAGAGAGAGAGAGAGAGAGATGCAGGTAATAACAGTAGCTTACAACAACATTATTGAAAGTAATGATATTATAGTTATTGTTCTGGCTACTGTGGTACAATATGTTGAAAGTATGTATTAATATCTGGCAGTATACATGTGTGACAATAGTCATATGTGTATAATAACAGTAGAAGTATGACTAATGACTAATGATGGAAGCAGCAGCAGGAGGCATCTGGCAGGACCACGGCAGCAGCACAACCACACACGTCACGCTGTCCAGGCACCGCTGCGATATGAGTTAATCTGAGAGACAGTGGAGCACAAAGGCTCCGGAGAAGAAGCCGAGTTAGTGATATCCAGAATGGCCGAGTTAGCAAGATGCAGTAATAGAATACGAGAGAGAGAGAGAGAAGGAGAGAAGGTGCCCGGTGTATTATAGGGGGAGGGTCCTCCAGCAGACTAGGCCTAAGTCAGCCTAACTAGGGGCTGGTACAGGGCAAGCCTGAGCCAGCCCTAACTATAAGCTTTATCAAAGAGGAAAGTCTTAAGTCTAGTCTTAAATGTGGAGACGATGTCTGCCTCCCGGACCGTAACAGGAAGATGATTCCACAGGAGAGGAGCCTGATAGCTGAAGGCTCTAGCTCCTGATCTACTTTTGGAGACTTTAGGGACCACGAGTAACCCTGCGTTCTCAGAGCGCAGTGTTCTGGTGGGATAATATGGCACTATGAGCTCTCTAAGATATGATGGAGCTTGACCATTTAGAGCTTTATAAGTTAACAGTAGGATTTTAAATTCAATTCTGGATTTTACAGGGAGCCAGTGCAGAGAAGCTAAAACAGGAGAAATATGATCTCGTTTCTTAGTTCCTGTTAGTACACGTGCTGCTGCATTCTGAATTAGCTGGAGAGTTTTTAAGGACTTACTAGAGCTACCTGATAATAGAGAGTTACAGTAATCCAGCCTAGAGGTAACAAAAGCGTGGACCAATTTTTCTGCATCTTTTCGGGTCAGGATAGGCCTAATTTTCGCAATATTACGCAGATGAAAAAATGCAGTCCGTGAGGTTTGTTTTAAATGAGAATTAAAAGACAAATCTTGATCAAATATTACTCCGAGGTTTCTTACGGTAGTGCTAGAGGCCAGAGCAATGCCATCTAGAGAAACTATGTCATCAGATAAAGAGTCTCTGAGTTGGGCCAAGAACAATAACTTCAGTTTTGTCTGAATTTAACATCAGGAAATTGGTGCTCATCCAAGTTTTTATGTCTTTAAGGCAGTTATGGAGTTTAGTTAATTGATTACTTTCTTCTGGCTTCATCGATAAATACAACTGAGTATCATCCGCATAACAATGGAAATTTATAGAGTGATTTCTAATGATGTTACCTAAAGGAAGCATATATAGAGTAAATAGGATTGGTCCGAGCACAGAACCTTGAGGAACTCCAAAACAAACTTTGTTATGTAAGGATGATTCATTATGAACGTCAACAAACTGAAAACGATCAGATAAATAAGATTTAAACCAGCTTAGTGCAGAACCTTTTAGGCCAATTAAGTGATCCAGTCTCTGCAGTAGAATTTGATGGTCAATTGTGTCAAACACCACACTAAGATCTAAAAAAACAAGTACAGAGACAAGTCCTTTGTCTGAAGCAATCAGAAGGTCATTTGTAATTTTAACTAGTGCTGTCTCAGTGCTATGATGCACTCTAAATCCTGACTGAAATTCCTCAAATAAATTATTATCATGGAGAAAATCACACAGCTGGTCTGCGACTACTTTCTCAAGGATCTTTGACATAAAGGGAAGATTAGATATTGGTCTATAGTTGGCTAACACCTCTGGATCCAGGGTGGGCTTTTTTAGTAGAGGTTTAATTACAGCTACCTTAAAAGACTGTGGTACATAGCCTGTTAATAAGGATATATTGATCATATCTAATATATGAGTGTTAACTAAAGGAAAGACCTCCTTAAGTGGCCTAGTTGGGATGGGGTCTAAGAGACACGTTGATGATTTAGATGAAGAAATCACTGCTGTCAATTCTTGAAGAGAAATTGGGGAGAAGCAATCTAAATATATATTAGGTCTTACAGCTGTGTTTGAGGTTTGAGTCACTCAGCAAATCTTGATTTTGACTGTCATTGTCAATCAGGTACAATCACGACAGCTCAGAAACCATAGAGGACAACATTGAATTCATTGCAACAGATGGCACCAATTCCGTCAGTTTTGTCCTGCAAGTGAAGGTAATAGAAATAGACAGCCTTATGGCTTTACACTCTTGGTCCTTCTTTGCAATCAGATAAAGAAAAGTAAAAACAACCATTCATTGTTTCAGTAAAGTGACTTGCATGTCATCTCCAGGTGATGCCTATCAACGATGAAGTCCCTGTGTTGGTTGCTGGTTTAAAACCAGTTCTCAGCTGTGCAGAGGGACAGGAAATAGTCATCACGGCTGAGTATATCTATGCGACTGATGCTGACAGCGACAACAGCAGTCTGGCCTTCCTGATAGCGCGGCAGCCATATCATGGTGTGGTGCTCCGAAACTCAGTTGTAGTGGATCGCTTCATCCAGGCAGACATCACTGCAGGGATCATCACCTACAAACACACAGGTGAGCAGCGGAGAGTGGGCTGAAAGGGTAACTTTGTTTTTTTCCAACCTGGGTCCTATTTTCCTAATCTGAACAACAATTTTTGAAATTGTACCAGTATTGAGTGACTCCACTGCAGCCAGCAGTGGCAAAACAGGCTGCAATGTAATCCCTGTGGTCAATTGAGCAGCGTCAATGTACATCCATTAAAAGTGTTTGTTTTTGCCACTGACAGGCTCAGATTGTTGCTGCTGCAGTAACGGCCCAAAATCACAATCGCCAAACGTACCAAACTCCATCGAAATAAACAGTAATTTTATCATCGTAAAACACACTTAAGTCAAAGTCAACAGAAGCAAATCAAAACTCACAAAAGCCACCTTGTTTTGTCTCTCCATTGTTCCAACAATCACCAACTCTGGTTCGGTGGAAATAAACCCTCAAGTCACCCAGTAAGATATGAAAATATGCTGGCTTTATAAACACTAAAATTACTGTTCATTTGAATGAAGTCAGGTGTCTTTGGCGATTGCTATTTCAGGGCTTTTTCTGGTTAGACAAAAATTGTTTTACTCTTTAATTAACAAGGTTGACCTCTGTAGGATCATTTTCATAATGTTGTCAGACAGTTAGAGTAATAATCTAAGCCTTTCAGCGGTGAAAACAAACTCTTTTCTTGGAAGTTAATTAATTAAGCAATATCACACGAGAGGGAGTGATGTTGTACTGTATATCATCACGGCTGTGATTCGGTCATAGACAATTACAGCCATGACGATATACAGAACAACGTCACAACCTCGAGTGTGATATTGCTTTTATACAACAGTTCAACAACAGCTTAAACAGCAATGCTGAGTAAGGAAATGTTAACAAAAGGTGATGAAATAAGTTATTTAAGTATGTTATGTAGCTCCGCAATAATAAGAACAGTTCCCCCAGTCTGTTGCCAGGCAACGCAGCACACACGCCAGGAACTCACAAGCTACTTTGTATTTACATTGATCTGCAACTGTGTAACTTTGGCCACTTCGGCAGATGAAACAATGATTAATTCACATGTAATTTTGGGGAAAATATCCATCCATCCATAATTGTTGTATAATACTGCTCAATTACCAACAAGGATAGAACCCATTTTGCTTCTGCTGGCTGCAGCAGTCTCTCTCAATACTGTACTTCAAAACTTGTTGTTCCCATCAGTCACTTAGTCTCAAAAACATGGGAAAATAGGGGTCTGGTTGGAAAGTACCATAGTTACCCTTTAACGTCTATGTTCTGGGACCAGTTGACAGCATAACCACTGTCTTTGGGCTCAGGCATTGCTGAATTAATATAGGTTTGTTAATTAAGCAACATTACTTCAGTGATGCATGCAGACCTTAGCGCAAGCACCTCGGTCCTGACTGCATGACTATCGTGCATGACGTTAAAGCACACTGGCTGGTGTAATATTGCTATTATACAACTATTACTGACAAAATAAAATGTACAATCAAAATGTATTCATGCTGAGGGACAATTAAGTCTAAAAAAAAACCAACGTTTTGCAACTGTTGTCTTCACTTCCATGGAAACATTGACTAATAACTGTAAAAGAATCAGTCATATTAGTAGAGTCCTATATGTAATGAAACCTAGTTTACTACTCCAGCAAGTAGGTCGAACCATAGTAAAGACCAAAGATCTTTTTCCCAAACTAAATAAAAAAACCATACAAGGCACACTCCTTCATTAATGGGGCGGTCAAGCAGCAACCAACACCATAAATAATATGAATTAATTAAAGAAGTTGATTTAATGAATACTAAGACTACCTCATTTAATCCGATGAATCACTTAGCCTTTATAAGTATGTTGGAGAATTTGTGGTTAAGTTAAAGTTCTGAGATTGTTTTATTTAAGGTAATGTTTCTATAAATGTTACCATAACAGTTGCAAGAAACAGACTATAGTAAGCATTTGTCAAGTCATTTGTTTATAAGATATCCTAATAACCCATTTTAGATGGCTTTTGCTTAGCAGATTTTCTAGGTCATTTGAAATAAACAACAACAAATGTGTCAGGTATATTAGTTTAATACATGTTTACCAGTGTGTTTCTATTTACATATTAGGCTATATAATATGTCAGGATTGTGAAGAGTTTTTCTGTACATTTTAAGCCCATAAACATGAACACATACAGCGTGTGTGTGTCCAGTATGTACCAAAGCAACAGCAACAGTAACCATATATTACTGATCTATTGCTGTCACCCACCCATTATTCACTTATGAATCAGGATTGGGTGACATCTAAGTTTGCTTTACATTTTAACTGCACGTTATTTATCCATCTTCATGGGCTGATGTGCATTTTTATGGTGTATTCCTGTTATAAAGTAAATAGGAAAAAAATGGAATTGCTGATTTGTTTTTTTAAGCTCCTTGTGATTTTTTCCTTTGTTTGATGGGAGCTTATAGTTGCTCCATTCTTTGTATTAAGCAGTATGGTTGAGCTCATTGTCAGCATTCAGAGCTCTACATGCATATCACCTGGGCAGTAAAGTTAATATCTTGGAGAGATAAACAGGTACAACACAACACAGTACAGTAGGGACTGTCTCTAAAAGTACTTTGTATATTGTTTTTGTAGGACTAGAGATCGGACTCACTCCTCGCCATGACACCATCACCTTTGTTATTTCTGACGGAGAAACAGAAAACTCTCCTCTATGCTGTGTTGAAGAAAATCCCTTCAGGACCAGAGACATGACTCGGCTTCGGGACAGTCTGCCTGTGTATGACCTCCACATCACAGTGTTTCCAGTCGACAGCCAACCACCTTCTCTAACAACAGGTGGGCTGTTTGTAAGTCAAATGGTGCCCTGAGAACCAGCTTTGAACTATAATGTACCATACAAGTACATACATTTTACAAAATAACATACTCAAACTTCAGATATGTGTATTTCCTGCAAAGTTCAGTTTAACATGTCTACCATGGGAAAGGTCAATAAGCACAAGGGTTTTTAAAAATGACAACATGGATATCTGTTTATATATGTTTATATTTTATTGAACAAACAAAATTAATTTGATTTATTTGACATAATTAACTTACAAATTTGAAGTTAAAAAAGAAGTCAGCAGCAGGGCAGGAATTTCACAGCTGCCCTCTATGTGCCTACAGTAATACTATGTTATTAGTGTAAGCATGGTGTTTAAGCATGATTTACCTTTTTTTGTTTGTAGGAGACATCTTTACGGTGGATGAAGGTGGGTCTGCCCCAATCACTGCATCTCATTTGAAGGCCTCAGACGTGGACACTGTCCTGGACAAACTGGTGGTCAGTCTGATATCTCCACCCCAGTTTGGCTATATTGAAAATGTCCTGCCCAGTCCTGGCTTTGAGAAAAGCAACACAGGCATAAGCATAGGTAAGCATTATCATTAGATAGGGGAAACAAAACACAATATGTCATGTGTTTTTATGCTTTTGCGCCGGGGATAGCCGTAGCCTGAGGTATTATGTTTTCCATTGTCTGTCCATCTGTCGGTCCATCTGTCTCATTCTCATGAACACAATATCTCAATAATGTCTTGAGGGATTTTCTTCAAATTTCGCACAAATGTCAACCTTAAGGCAGATTTATACTCATGTGTCAGCCCTATGCAGAGCCTTCGACATAGCCTACACACGTGGCTCACGCCGTTGTCAGCATTTATACTACTGCGGTGGTGTGTCTGTGTCACTCTGCAGTTACACTTCCAAAACACTGGGGGTGGGGTTTCTGTGAAGTGCTGTAAAGTTTAGTTGATTTAATTAAGACAATTTCAAGGGAACAAACTGGCTTCATTATAACTCATAAACAAATAACTTTTCTTTTGCTAGACACATTTTCCCCACAACTACAGCATGCTAATGTTATTAGCACAAGCCTATAGTATTGTATGAATAAACCTAGCGACTGGCAGAGATTTCCTCTACTCATATGAAGCCAGGGACAACAGCAACATTCAGCAAAGGTAACGTTACAAATTCAGCTCCATTACAACTCACAAGGTTCACTGACAAAACAACTGTCTTATACTAAACACGTTATCTAAACAAATACAACATGCTAACATTATTAGCACAAGCCTACGGCATTTTACATTGTGTTAATAAGCCTAGCGACTAGCTGGGATTTCCTCTATTCATTTGAAGCCAGGATAAATCACAAACAAGAATTAATATGCTATTTTGTTGGGACATTATTGTCTTTACAATTTATTCTTTCTTATCTGTGAAATAAAAGTAAATAAAACCTTTGTTTCCATTGAGGGAAAAGGTTTTCAGCTTACAAAAATAGACAGAAGGTGCACATCAGGCTACAGCTTTTCCAATAGGTACAGCGTCGTTTCAATGCTGGAATATGCTGCTTTAGACTCTAGGAATAACTGATTGGATTTTCGGGTCATAGGTCAAAGGTTAAGGTTACTGGGACCTAATCGATCTCATAGAGAGTTAACTCAACTCATAGATATCACGAGAATGCCTTGAGGGATTTGTTCCCCAGACTCAAGGATTATCTAATTCCATTTTAGTGGTCAAGGTCAAGGTGGTCAAGGTCACTGTGACCTTGTGTGTCCGATTCTTGTCAATGCGATATCTCTAGAACACCTGGAGGGATTTCTTCAAATCTGGCACAAACATCCTCTTGGACTCAAGGATGAACTTATTAGACTCTGTGGTCAAAGGTCAAGGTCAGTGTGACCATACCTCCATCTCATTTTATGAACGTAATATCTCAAGAAGGCCTTGAGGGAATTTCCCCAAATTCAAATGATTCTAAGTGGTTGTTAGAAAATCAGGCATGTAATCATTAACTAGCCCCGTCGCAGCTGCCCAGCCCTGTATGCCTGCCCGCTTGCCTTACTGTTCTTGACTGTGTCCTTGTGTGTTTACCTGTGCAATGCATAATCGTGTGTTGGCTTTGCTTTGTCCCTGTACCTAATGTTTATTACCTGCTCTGCTTAGTGTGTGTGTGTGTGTTGCCTGCATGACCATCTGCATGCTAGTCCGACTGTACTCTGTGTCACCTGACTGTGTGATGTCCTTGTATTGCCCCTAGATCTTGTGGTTACACTCTTTAATTTAGCTATAACTGCATGTGTAACTAGATACATAAATGTCCTAACCGTAGATGCATCAATGTCTAGTGCATGAATGTCCTTTTAAATATCTGGCCACTATTCAAAGTCATTTTTCAGGAACAGAAGGGGAGACATTTGGTCAGATACTGAATTGGTGATACTAATCTGGGGTGTCCACCTTGAAACTGTGCTGATTGTATAGATTTTCTGTGCTGTCAGAAGGAAGATGTGTGTGAAGCATCCGTGTTTTCACAGATTTAGATGTAAACGGTAAGAGCAACTTTACAGTTTTGTGGTGGCATGCAGCCGCAAAGTGGTAATTCTAGTTCTGTCTAACCTTTTCCTCCCCAGCTTCCTTTTCATACAAAGACATCATTGACAGTCATGTGAACTACGTCCAGTCCAGACACCAGAGGATGGAGCCCACAGCTGATCAGTTCATGCTCTGTGTATCAGACGGCAAACGAAACTCTGCTCATGTTCCCTTCTACATTATTATTAACCCGACAAATGATGAGATCCCACAGTTTGTGACTCGAAACATCACAGTAAGTTTTTATGGTCAGTCTCACTACTGAAGACAAAATTAGACACTCCCATCAGATATTGCTACAAGGTGCTCTTCACTGATCAGTGTTCATTGATGTTCTTCTCTGACGAGGTACAAGAAGGAGAAATGAAGCAGCTGGACTCATCAGTTCTACATGCGATGGATCTGGATGTCCCCAAGAACAACCTGCTCTTCAGTGTGGTCAAAGCTCCGCAGCATGGCAGCATCATCAGCCACAGCAGTGAAACACCAGTCCACACAAGACGAGAGGCCAGTCCTCAATCCCCTGTGGCCGACTTTACAATGACAGATCTTTCAAATGGTACTTTTTTTTACATCTTACTATATAATGACGAAAACTCTGTCTGTTGGTGTGTCTGTTCCACATTTTTTCTCCTCACTGACTTGGTCAATCCATGTGAAATTTGGCACAGTGGTAGAGGGTCATGGGAGGATGCGAATGAAGCAATATTACATCAATTGGCCAAAGGGGGACGCTATAGCAACCAATTGAAATTACAAACTTTGAATGGGCATATCTCATGCCCTGTATGTCGTAGAGACATGAAACTTTGCACAGACATGTCTCTCCTCATGAGGAACAAATTTGCCTCAAGAAACCATAACTTCCGGTAGATTTTCCGCCATTTTGAATTTTTTGAAAAACACTTAAAATCGATCTCTTCCTAGGAAATTTGACCGATCTGCATGAAACTGAACATAATCTAGGGACCAATATCTAAAGTTCCCTCTTGGCAAAAGTTGGAAAACTTACTAAAACTGAGCTTCTATAAGGCAATGAATATTGCAGAGGGCGTGGCTCATCACATAAAGGTGTATAACATCTCAAGGGTTTCTTTGATCACCACGTAAGTTTGTCGGCATATGACCACAAATAATCTGAGGGGACCTCTCCATTATTGACCCGATCAAACAAAATGGGGGCGCTAGAGAGCTAATTTCTTATCTAGGCCTAACTGCCATATCAATTTTTACTAAACTTGGAAGATATGTAGAACAGGACGCCTCAAGGTGACTGGAGAAATTTAACTCTAATTGGCAACTGGGTGGCGCTATAACAACAGAAAAATGCTTAAAAATGGCTAAAATGCGACTGATCGCTGTGGCTCCCCGTGTGGCTGAATGTTGTTTTTTTTCCTTCTAATTTTTGGTGTGACTAAGTCACAGTATGGTATGCTGTCATTCTGTCTGTCCCATGTTTTTCTACTCACTGACGTGGTCAATCTATGTGAAACTGCACATAGGCATTGAGGACTGACATAGGTAGAAGGTGACAAAGCTACCAATGGGTATGAAATAGTATCAGTGTAAAGCTGTTAAGTTCAGTGATTATTAATCTGCTGTGGGTCACACTTTGTCTTTTTTGTCCTATGGGAAAGATGGCATTTGAGTTTCCCACTAAAAATGAACACTCCTCTCAGTATTCAGATATTAAAGAAAAATGTACACATTCATACAACCTGAGTCTAACTTAGTCTTAGTTGCTCAGTCTAACAAAATGATCAGTTCAGACCAAAGATTCATGATGAAGTGAAACCATTTTAGAACGTCGCAAAAAAGTTGCAGTGGTGTGAACTGACTTCTTTTTTCTCCTTGGAAATGCTTTTGCAAATTTCCATAAGATGGTACATTGTAGAGACATGAAATTTTCACCAATGAGTGGAAATTGTGTGCAACGCTGCTCAAAAAAATGTGACGCCAGATGGGGGTGCAATAATTAACGCCCAAAAATTCAACCTTTGAAAGATAATGCCCCTCACACCGTAAATCACATTGACTTGAACTTGACACACAAGTGCAGCTTAATGTGCTCTTCAAAAATCAACACAAGAACCGTTTGGGACCACTACTAGCATTTTATGGCAGTAACAATTTTTTGAAAAACACACCTCTAAACCATAGGTCCAATTTGTACCAAATTTTCTGAGGATCATTATTCGACCAAACTGCCTGATGAAGATGTGTGTGAAGCATCCACATTTTAGAATGTGCAGCAACATATTTAAAGCACGAACTTCTGTCATGGCTACATATGTAAGCAGACAGGGTTTACATTCAAGTTTGGACAAACATGGATGTAAACTGTAACTGCAACTTGACTGATACGCAGAAGCGTACATTTGCGAGGTGGTAATTATTACATCAGCCATTGGCCACATGTCCACGACTCCTAAAGTGCTATAATGACAGGAAATAAAAGTAAGTATGCAGGCCTGTGTTAAGTAATAGGAAGTCACTATTACGTCTTTCTATGATTCAAATAAGTGTGTAAGATCATTTGCTTTCAGGTATGGATCTGATGTACATGCACGATGACTCAGAGAATATGGAAGACAGTTTTACAATCCAGTTGTCTGATGGCATGCACCAACTCCAGAGACAAGTGATGGTGAAAGTGCTGCCAGTCAATGATGAGGAGCCTCATGTCATCAGGTTAGAATGACATCTTCACTGCACTTCTGTTTAAAGTAAGTCATCGCATCAATGTGGGAAAGTCCCTGAACCTCGTCTCAATATTCTGTCCTTCAGAAACAATGGACTGCAGGTGGAGCCAGGAGAAGTCAGGCTCATCTCCAGTGTTACACTGTTTGCACAGGACAGTGACACTCCTTCCTCAGAGGTCATGTACATGTTTGAGACTGTTCCTACACAAGGACTTCTCCAGCTTAAGGTTGGTGCAGTGCTGTAAAACTTTTGAGAGTCGCACCAAATATTTTGACATCACACTGAATAATCTGTCTGTATCCAGTATATCCTTGGTGCCTCTGCTCCACAGAAATAGTAGCAGACACTGCAGTAAATGATAAGGGCTTTTACCTTTTAACCACCAGGAAGTCTAATGCCAAATGACAAGATGAATGATCTTTAAAGATTTAAAACAACTTCTGACGGTGTGGGTTAATGAAAATGATCTCATCTACAATAATTCCTAAAAATAAAGCTGACACTGACTTTAGTATATTTCATATGTCATAAGGATGGATATACTCCCTCTATGATAAAAAAACCCAAAACAAATCAGCTTATAAAATTTAAAGATCACATACTTTGGAATTGCAGTAATTATGGTATAGTATTAGTGATGGATAATGTGTTTGTGTAAAATGAAAGATGTAAGATGATAACAAAAAATCCACAGAATAGGCCTCCCCTCAGTTCTACTGAGCATTTTAGCCTCTTTTAGGTCATTGTTGTGTTTGTTTTTTTTCAGGCCCATAAACATCACTTTCCTCACTTTTTTGTGAAAAGTTTTGATAAAGCTATTGTACACTACCTGCTGAGCAGACAGACACAGTGAGAGACTAGCTTGTGAACACAGTGGAGCATTTAGCAGCTAAAGTAGCCAGAAGTAGAAGTTTTTCTCAGGAGTTGATGGAGACCAATGTTTTGGCATTGCTTCTTCTGGTAGTGAATAGTAAGAATGTTGTTGAACTGAGGAATTACATTGTGTAACAACCCAAGTAACAACCCAATTGCCAGAAAAAAATGTCAACATTGTACATTTCTGTACAATTATTATGTAGTGGATACACGGAAACTTTGAATAAGTTTGAATAATACTGTGGTTAATGTGATTAGGTATAGGCTCAAAATCCACTTATATATGGTTAGAAACATGTTTGGGCATAAGGGGAGACATCCCAGGTGAAAACATAGTTCAGTCTGGACCACCTTAGTCAATGAAAACTTTATTTCCATTCGCGGTATTATATTTGGCAGTATGGCTCTGTTCTGGGGCCTCTCTGCCCTTCCACGCACCTATGTAGAATGTCCAAGGCAGAGAGAGCGCATCCCTCTGTCCTTCCATGTGCATATGAAGAAAGCCTGAGGCAGAGAGCACACTTCCCTGCCTTTCCATGTGCCTACATGGAAAGCCTATGGCAGGGAGAGCAGCAGCAACGACCTCCCGGGAACAGAACAGAGCAAGCATCAATGACAAACAGAAATGACACTGATAAGTCAGACACAGCATTAAAAGGAGAAGCTGGGGTGGAGGCCGGTTGCAAAGCGGCTCACAGAACAGTAGGCATGACTGAGGCAGTTTGAAAAGGGAGTCCTGAATGAGATTTTCCAATTGGTTGCATAGAAAGGAATCATGTGATCTATCAGCTAACTCCCTTCATCAGTCAGCTGATCCATCTTTTGACTGGGCTGCTTGAGATCAGCTGATGTAGCTGGGATGTGAGCTAAACTTGACATTATGTCCTGCCTGAACTAACACTGAGCTCTTTTTTTTTTTAATGCACTGGTCAATTTTGGGTTTTTGGGCTGTTTTGCTTCCATATCTTCTATCAGACTATTGGAAAGAAAAATGTCCAACATACCCATTTAGGTGTTGATTTTAGTTCAGATTTCTGCTCCTGAAATTTATGCAAAAAGCGCATATTTTATTTGATAATGAATAATTTGCATATTTAAACTTTACATTTCAGAAAACATGCAATACAAAAATAATAGTCTTAATACAAATAATCAACTGGGCAAGTTTAATGGTGATATCAATTAGTTTAAATTTTTACCCTATTGAAATGTCTTATTTATTGTCTAAAATGTGTGGAATTTTACAATGCATAACTTTAAAGGCCATTTTACAAAGGGTTTATTCATTTGTCATTCACAGCTTGATCTATAGAACATTCTATTCCTGAAAACGTGGAAGAAAAAAATTTTTTTATGGCTGTTGACGGAATGTTCTGATTGATGGAGCAATAAAAAGAGATATCCAAAATTCCCTCTGATTATTCCCTTTGTCTCTAAAATGACGACACATGAATCAAGAATTTTGAACCTGGCTTTATAATTGTAGGATTTTTTTGCCCTAGAAATGTATGCAAATTAGTGCATGTTCAATTAGATAATGCTTCATTTGGATATTTAAACCATAAAATTTCAACATGTATTATATAAAATTATTGAGTAATTATAAGTAATCAGCTGGTGAAGTTTCATGGTGATGTCTTTAGGGTTGCAATGGTAAGGGATTTTCACGGTAAGATAACTGTCTCAGAAAATATTGCAGTTTCACGGTATCACAGTATTACAGAATTATTATTATTATCAGTCAGAATGATTAAAGATTAAAGTTCCACTGATTGTTACACACCTGAGTGTGTGAAATTTGTTCTCTGCATTTGACCCATCCCCTGAGGGAGCGCTCGGGAATCATGTTAATTAGTCTATCTATTAGTCTTTTAGTTAGTTAAATTAGTTAAATTTTACCCAATACACCTGGGGTGTCTCCCCTTACAAAAAGGGAAGTATCAGTGTTTATTAAATTCGGGTAGAAGTCACATTCCTTTGGGATGTGCTGTCACTGTAACATTGGGTTGTTAGTAGTAGCTTGCACTGTAACATTGGGATTACGCTGTAAACATTGTTTTGACACTAGGAGGTGTTGTGCTCCTGTCTCAGGAAGCTCAGGACTGGGTGACACTGACAGTGGGGAGAAACTGCACCCAGGAGATGGTGGACCTGAACCTTCTGCGCTACGTGCACACGGGTCAACACGGTGCTAAAACACAGGACTTTTTTGTCTTCTACTTGTTAGATGGAAAGAATCAATCACCCCCACAGCACTTCTACATCTCTGTCAAAGATCTGGAGAAAGGTACTAGAACTCACTCTGAAATTCTTCATTGGACATAGGTTTGGGTGTGCTTGTGACTGCCAGGTCACATGCATCAGTGTCAGTTCATACTGATGGGGTCCCAGTTCTGACATAGACTTTATTTTCTCCTCCATCATGATTTTCAGGAAACATTGCCCTTTTTGTGAAGCCAGTGAACGTGAGCCGTGGAGATCGTGTGGTTCTCACAACAGATGTGCTGCTGGCCACAGATGGCACGGAAAAGCCAGAAGAGCTTCTGTTTATCATCATCAGCCCTCCTGCTCACGGACACATAGAGTACATTAAACATCCTGGACTGGCCATCTCAACCTTCAGCCAGATGGACATAGCAGCCAACCTTGTGGCTTATGTGCATGACAACCGAGCAGTCGCACCCAAAGAAAGCATTCAGTGAGTCTAGAAGCCATGAAACCAGTTAAGATTGTGAATTTCCATAATTATTTTCTTATCTAACATGGATCTGATGTTTTTGGGTGTAAGAATTTCCATTTATGGTTCAGAATTGGATCTTATGCTAACAACATGGTACAGTATTACCATTAACCTTTATCACAGGGTTTTACTTCAAAACTCCTAAAAACTGGAAAAGTACAGCCATACTCCATGTTTTGGTAATGCGCTCAAAATGAACCAAATCATTTTCAATGTCTTCACTCATCTGATATTGTGGAATTTTTGGCTCAGTATATTGCCTCCACTCTGGCCTTGACTGGTCAGATCTGCCACTAGCATCTTGAATCTGGACCGAGTGTGCCTCTGATGGGGTTTCCTGGCGCACACACTGGGGTACTGGGGTTGGCAGTTCAAGTCTGGGACTACTTGCCGTTACTGTGCTTGGGATTGTGCTTGGACCAAAGCAGCCCCCTTTAAACCAGTTGCCCCTCCCACTAGGTGTATTATTCACATTAAAACCACAAACAGCATATTTTCCAACCAGAAACACCATTTGCAGCTCCCTAAACTCAAAATATATATAAAGCAAAATATTCTGTATTTTCATAAATGTTCTCCTTTTAACCATCAGAAGTTATTTACAATGAAAGTTAACTTTACAAACAGGAAATGTAATAATGCAGGTAATATGATCAAGAAAATTGGTGAGAACAGTCTACTTAACAGAGCAAACCGTTGCGCCCCTGTTTAGCAAACCAAACTCAGACACCGGGCAACAGCGGGATCAATATGTAACACACTTCCACGTGGTAGTAATATGATGACGGTGTGAATATATGCATATGGTGGTAAAATTAACCAAGTGGGCACCTTTGGCTGCATTACAGACACAGAGAGGGAAATAGGGATAACCGCAAGCTTTTTAAATGACTTGGTGAAGACAGGGGAAGAAGAGCAGGGACTAGGAAATGAATGCAACTATCCAGGAATACCATGACAATTAAATCTTCCTCAGCCATCACTCCTGGTATAATGTTGACACCATACTAGCTCAGCTGAACTAGCTTTAGCACCTTTGCAGTTTAGGAACTTAATCTGTAACCATAGCAACCTGCGTTCCATTACCTGAACAGGTGTTTGGCTCTTGCTTGAGACTTAACTTTATTTTATAAACCTGAATGATTCCGATTATTGTGCTTAAGAAGGCGACGGTGGAACTTACTTTTCATGCACTGATTGGTAGCTGAGTAAAAGAACCAACAATGGAATGAAAGCAATGGCACACAATGGCATCCGGTGTCCAGAACCATGTTGTAGTTTTTCCATTTGCATCAGTGTGTGAATGCAATCTCTTCTTTTTCTATAATTGTTTCATTCTCTGCATGATTTGGCTATGTGTTGTATCCTGAATTCTACAGGATAAAGAGTCTAGAAAAGTTTATTGGCATTAATCCTGATACCACGTTTGGCAAAGCAATATGTTAGACCAGCTGATAGGTTTCATATATAACATATCAGATGTTATCGTTACCTGAAAGAAGATGTGCTTGTGGGTAGAGCTCCCTGGAGACAAGTGACCGGTAGGGATGGAACTATATCCAATCAGGTTGCAAGAGGAGAAATTTGCATGTTTTTATTTGCTCCAGTTGCTCCAGTCTCTTCATCCAGAATAATCTTGTAATCACCTGCTCTAAAATCAGTTGTGTTGTGCACACTCACAGAAACACACACTAAATTTAGAGGAAAAAAGGTCTGTGAGCAATACAGTGAATCTGAGATTTAAAGGGAAATTTCAGTTTATTTCAACCTGTCTCCTATTGTCCTAAATTTGTTTCAAGTGACTAGTGACATAAAAATAATAGTTAGCATGTTAGCTGTTAGCCTAGATACAGCTGGGGTGCATAGTAGCGTCAGACCTGTTAAAACGTAAGTGAAAGGGCAACCTTCAAGTGCAAAGTTAGTCCACTAAACAAGCTTTTTTTTTCCACAAAGACCACCTCATATCGTTAGGATAAATGTCAGAGAACATATAGAAAACGACATGTAAACGTGTTGTCTTACCTTACCGGTGTGGTGCCGTGTTTGTTTATCATCTAGCTCTGCTTTCCAAAGCGCGGCCGAAATATCGATAGAACAAGCAGCGATCGCATAGCGTGCCTGAACAAGCAGCAACAGCTGGAAGGATACACTGACGAAGAGCTTTGTGAAATTGAAGAACGGAGGAGGAGAGAGAGAGGCGCAACAGGTAGAGGACGAATGGCTGCTGCAAGGCTGCGTAGCTCTGGAGATTGGTGGTGTACCTGTGAATGCTGTGCCCCAGTGCCCACAGAAGAGAAATGCCTCTGTTGCAAGGAATGGGACCGGTTGCAGCCTTGTTTTCAAGGTCAGGATGTGACCGAGGACAAGACACCTCCACCTGGAGTAACGTTAGCATCCAGCTGGCGAGATATATTTCGGCTGCAGTTTGGAAAGCAGAGCTAGAGGGATAAACAAACACGGCACCACACCGGTAAGGTAAGACAACACGTTTACATGTCGTTTTCTGTATGTTCTCTGACATTTATCCTAACGATATGAGGCGGTCTTTGTAGAAAAAAGCTTGTTTAGTGGACTAACTTTGCACTTGAAGGTTGCCCGTTCACTTACGTTTTAACAGGTCTGACGCTACTAATGCGCCCTGGCTGTATCTAGGCTAACAGCTAACATGCTAACTATTATTTATATGTCACTAGTCACTTGAAACAAATTTAGGACGACGGGTTGAAATAAACCAAAATTTCCCTTTAAAAAGTGTTCAAGTGAACTTATGATTCATAGCCTTTCTGTGAATTGATCCCATTTGTTCAGACATCCTAACAGCCAGTCTGTTGTTTGTTTTGGCAGGTTTGTTGTGAGTAATGGTAAAAGCAGCCGAAATGGAAGCTTTGAGATTGCCGTGGAAATGGTGGATCGCGTCCTGCCCTTTCTGTCCTCCAATAAAGGCCTCTCAGTCCCACAAGGCTCCACCATGATCCTGGGTCCTGACTGTCTGCTCATGTCCGACCCTGACACTCCACCAAGCGCCCTGACCTTCGTCCTTCTCCAGCCTCCACAGTATGGCAGGCTGCTTTTAGGCGGTAACACACTGACTGCTGGCTCAACCTTCACCCAGAAAGACATACAAGAGTTGGACATAACATATAAACATGATGGGGGACCATCACAGATCGACAGATTTGCCTTTACTGCCTCTGATAGCACCAATCGGGGTTTCCTGCTGGATGGGCAGTTACAAACAGAACCTATGTTCTTCACCATTCAGGTAAGTAATAAAGGGCAGAATTGTTCAATTAACTGAAACTCTCAAGTAACTGCAACTGGTCACAGCTTTTCAGTATGGCTGGATAGAGAATACGTTGTGTATCCTGGAGATCCTAGGTCTGTGAGCCAATGGGAAGAGAGTACCATACCCAGGTGCGTTGCGCCATTTACTTCAGCAGATTTTTCTTCCATAAGAAAAGTACTATATTTGGGGTATATTTGGGTGTATGGCTCTGTTTTGGGGCCTCTCTTCCTTTTCTCAGGCGTATATATGGAAAGTCTAAGGCAGAGAGAGTGCACTCCTCTGCCCTTCCATGCACATATGAGGAAAACCTGAGGCAGAGAGAGCAGCAGAGAAAGACCTGCTTGAACTAACGCTTCACTCAATTTAACCAGCTGTAGTAATTTTCACAAAGGTTGTATGTACAGCAGCCAATATGGTCGATAGTTACAATGCTAGAAGCTAAAATGTGACACAAATTAAAGGGCAAAATGTCAGCAAATCGATGTTGATGTTATGTTGTACAACAATATGTATATAAAGTTATCTGACATAGAGAGACGAGGTCTAAAGTCCTAAAACTAGAGGCCAAGTTGATGCAATATAAAAGGACATACAAAATAAACATAAAAGCATTTGAGGTAGTAGTTAAATATTTCCATTTAGAACAACATTGCAACACTAGCAGGACATAATATTATTAGCAGCAAAGAAGAGTTTAGTGCTTACATGTGTATGTATCAAACACAAGTTTGCATGTTATATTAAGACGTCCTTACTTAAAATCTGATATTTTTTAAAACTGGGCAGTGATGGAAGTGTTTGTTTTTATGTCTAGTGTTTTAAGTGCTTGTATGATTCAAGTGGTTTCAATGTGCTACAGTTAACCTGTGACCAGCTTGTTATACAGTAATTCAGATGAGCGAAAAATAGTGTTTAGAAACATCTTGGCCGCCTCCGCAGACATGTGATTTCTAATGAATCGAAAATTTGCAAGAATGAATTCTAGACATTGGTAAAGTATGAGTCCACCCATTTCACTGCACCTTCAGAGAAACTAAATTTGGATAGCTTTGTGAGGAGAACTTTGTGATTGACAGTATCAACAGCTTTCCTGAGGTCAGCAAACACAGCACCTACAACATCACCCTGATCAAGCAAGGGTTTTATTTTCTCTACAAAGAGACAATTTGCCATCTCTGTTGAGTGTTAAGCTCTGAAGCCAAACTGCACTGGGTGGAAAGACGTAAAGCTGTTATTAAGATGGAAAACAATCTGCTCAGCCACCCATTTCTCAGCAACCTCAGATACTATTGGAAGAATACTGATTGGCCTGTAATAACATATGGAGTATGTTTCGCCAGATTTGTAGACTGGAGTGACAATAATAATCACATGATACTTTTTTGATTGGTTGAGGAAACTAATCCTCACATATGAACACCACTTTTATTGTTTATGTAGCATAAATGCAATCACCAGAAGTAAAAAGCTAATGTTAGGCTAGAAAATAGTCGCATGACTTAATGTCGCCTCCACAACAAGACTGTAAAGTCGTGTTTGACATGATGACGTTCTGTAGTCTCATTTAGCCACTTGTTAGCTACCACCTTTTTTAAGACACCTAAAAGCTTCAAAATTCATGAGTGGGGTAAGTGATTTACAGTTATACTGTAGAACAAAACGTTCAAGTCTCTTTTCCTTGTGTCTACCACAGACTTTATTTGAGGCATAAAAACCCATTCACAAAACCCATCGAGATGAGGGAACCTGGGATGGTAAAATGCTAACTCATTTCCAGGGTTTAGGACTAATTCCAGTACCACTCTAAAAGCTAACTAAGCCAAAACCACCGCGCTGGCAATAGCTGTGGATGGAAGCATTATGTTTTTGGCTTAGCTATCATCCTTCTGTCCAGCCATCTGTCTGTCATTCCATCTGTCCCATTCTTGTAAATGCGATATCTCAAGAATGCCTTGCAGGTTTTTTTTTTTTAAAAAAATGGCACAACAGTCCACTTGGACAGATTCCAGATTGTGGTGAACTTATTAGATTTTAGTGGTCAGAGGTCAAGGTCACTGTAACCTTGCGTCCATTTCATTCTTGTGAACGTGATATCTCAAGAACACCCTGAGGGAATTCCTCTTTCCTGATCAGTATGACATTGGACTTTTGCAAGTAAAGGACAGGGGCCCCCTAACACTTAAGGCCCCTGGGCCTGTGCCCTGTAGATGCATTCAGTAATCCATCCATGTTTGGAAGTGATGTTCTTCCAGATTAACACAACTGATCAGTCGTGTGGCTGTCACAATATGCATCATTAGTGCTCTGCTGTATTAGTGGGCTATGAAAAATTAATACAACATTCTACAAATTTAACTTGTGTTTATCATGGATGACCCAAGAAGCCTAGCTGCTGTGTTAGACTGTCTCAACAATATCAACTGTTGGATGGCCCAAAACTTTCTTCAACTCAGTAACTCCAAATCCGAAATCATACTGTTCACTCCGCCAATCTCCACCAGTCCCATTGAAAATAGCCTTGGTCCCCTGTCCGTTAACGTCAAATCCGCAGCCAGAAACTTAGGAGTAATATTCGATCCAGACCTCAACTTCCAACCTCATATCAATAAAGTTGTCCAGTCCTGCTTCCATCGGTTAAGAACTATCTCCAAAATCAAAACCATGCTCCCACATTCTGACTTAGAAAAATAATCCACGCATTCATCTTCTCCAGACTCGATTACTGTAACTCACTCCTCTCTGGCATAAACCATAAATCACTCTCTCGCCTCCAACTGGTCCAGAACGCAGCAGCTAGGCTTCTGACTGGTTTTAACAGATGGCATCACATCACCCCAATCCCGGCTTCCCTCCATTGGCTACCTGTGCAGTTTAGAATTGATTTTAAGATTATACTGATCACTTTAAAAAGCCCGCTGGGTCTGGCCCCAAATTACATAGCAGAAATGTTGACCCCATATGAGCCAGTACGCAGCCTTAGATCCTCGGGCAGGGCCCTCCTGGCCGTTCCAAAGTCGAGACTTAAATCTAGAGGCGACCGCGCTTTTTCCACCAGGGCCCCTCGACTTTGGAAAGACCTGCCTGAGGAGATAAGGCTTGCAGAATCAGTAACATGTTTTAAATCTCTTCTTAAAACCCATTTTTATAGACTTGCCTTTATGTGATGTCGTCTTTTTATCTTTTTATTTATTTATTCTTTTTATTTATTTTATTCTATTCCTTTTAATTATTTATTCTTTGTTATTCTATTGTCATTATGCAATGTTGTCTTTTTATCCTTCTATTCGTTTGTTTCTAATATTTAGAAATAATAATTTTATTGCCTTTATTGATCTTATCTCTTTTAACATTCTGTCTTATCATTCTGTCTGTATTTTGCTTAACTTTACCTCAATTTGAGCTTAATTTTGTCCTGCTTTTGTTTGCCTTCACTGTTTTGACTCTCTTGCTATAGATATTCCTGCCTTTGCTTTGTTTGTCAAAGCACTTTGTAAACTTTTGTTTTTAAAGGTGCTATATAAATAAAGTTATTATTATTATTATATATACTATGTCACATCATTTCATAGGTCCAAATTTCTTCATTTTCTATGATGTTCACATTAACAAATCTCTGTTTAATTAACAAACCATATTTATAATTTCAGATCAAGCCTTTGGATAAGTCATGTCCTGAGGTAGTGAAACTGCTTCCTCTTTGGAAAGCAGAGCGTTTAGGTGACGGACGATACGGGATCTTTTTGTCATCTCGTGAGCTGAAGGCCCAAGACAGTGATAGCAGAGAAGAGGAGCTGATATTCTGCATTGTCCGCCAGCCCTACTTTGGCTACCTAGAAAACATCACTACAGGTCAGGAAATACATTTTATTTCTGTCTGAATCACAACTTAGCCTAGAATGAAAAAAAAAAAAAAACATTGTGTGTGCTTTTGCAGGTGGTTTTGTACCACAGCACTTCTCTCAGATGGAGCTAAACAAGAGAACTATTGCCTACATCATCAACCCAGACAGGGAGTCTCTGTCAGACAGCCTGGAATTCACAGTGTCTGATCCTTTGGGGAACAGTGGGCCTGCTCACAGGTAAGAAAAACACTGTGACACAGATTTTTATCACATCTTGAATTTCCAGTTTAGTCTTCACTGTGCTTGACCTCATCTTTGCAGACTAGAATTCAACTGGTCCAGCGTGGAGCTGTCTCAGCCTGAGTACTCTGTGTGTGAGGAGCAGGGAACAATCTCGCTAGACATCATCCGAAGAGGAAACCTGGCAGAGTCTGCATATATCACTGTCAAGGTCTGCAGGTCGTTTGTTACTAAACTGTTAGAACTCACTTTTTAAGTACAACCCCAATTCCATAAAAGTTATATATTCAAGTTAAACATGGTACAAAGACACGATATGCAATGTTCAAGCTAGGGCTGCTTGATTGTGGAAAAAATCATAATCACGTTTATTTGGTCAAAATTGAATTCATGATTATGCAAACTATAATGCAGGGCACGTGATGACTTATATTGTTTACACGACAGCATGTCATTTATGTCTCTACATGGTCGCGCATTTACAATTCTCCTCTGCTCTCTGTATCACACACGACGGAGTTCGGCCCTGATGCGCACAAACACAGACACACACAGACACACACAGACACATGCACACACACACTCTCACTCTCCCTCTGCCATTTTCCACAGGCTGTTTTTGAAATCTTCCGTGATCACCTGCCCCTCGCATTATTCGTAGTTCACCTACTTGACTGGCTCGCAGAGTGAATAGAGGAGAGGAGGGGAGGGGGCGTTATTGTGCATACGCGGCTTACATAGAAGACAAAATAACATCTCCAGACGCCCATGACCAAAAATCATTTACCTTCGATTTCATTAATTTTGAAATCGTTTGACCTCAAAATGGTAATCACGATCACCAGATAATTAGTTCCAACTGAAAAACTTTATTGATTTTTTTATTCATGTACACACTCATCTGAATTTGATGCCAGCAACATGTTCCAAAAATGTTAGGACAGGAGCATATTGACCACTGTGTGACATCTTCTTTTCTTTAACAACCCTCAGTAAGTGTTTGGGAACTGAGGAGACTTATCGTTGAATGTCACGGGTGTGATCTAAACCCAATAGCAGCACCAGAGACAGATGGAGAGTTTGTAATAGTCCTTAATGAAACTACATGTCAAACGCAAGAGTGAGCAGGCAGCGAGTTTGTTTGTTGGTTTGGAAACTTCCAAAACAGGGGTTCAGTCCAAAGTGCCTGGTGTGGCACACCTAAGCAGAGTCAGTGGTGTCTGCTGGATGCACACAAACAGCAAACAGTTCAAATGTGTGCAACAGTATAGTGAGGGAGGAGGCAGAAGGTGATATCTGAGGAGCAGGGAGTCCAGAATCAGGAGCACACACGGGAGAAGCCACCACACTAGTGTAAAGCTGGCCGTAGACAGGGAGGGACTTGTCAGCAGCAATGACTGGAATCCACGGGTTAATAACTGAGATAGTGGCATGGCTGGCAGTGCCCACTATGACAGTTGAAGCAAAATTCTTTCCTATTCTTGCTTAAGATACAATTTCAGTTGCTCAACAGTCCAGGGTCTCTGTTGTTGTATTTTGTGCTTCATAATGAGCCACACATGTTCAACAGGAGAAAGGTCTGGAGTCCAGACAGGTCAATCTAGTACTTGCACTCTTTTACTACTAAGCCAAGCTGTTGTAACACATGCAGAATATGTCTCATTGTCTTGCTGGAATAAGCAGGACGTACCTGAAAAAGGCACTGTCTGGATGGCAGCATATTGTGCCCCAAAAATGTTTTTCACTTTGTGTCCATTCCAGATGAGCTCATGTCCAAAGAAGCCTATGGTGTGTCTTGATGTTGTTGATCAGGGGCACAGCCAGAAGTTTTGGGCCCCAAGAAAATAACACATTGGGCCCCCCCTGCGCAGCTGTTGTCACCACATCTCCAGGACCGAACTGACCAATTAAAAGCTTTACATAACTCTAACTTTGAAGGCTTGCAACTGTCTTGCTTCTTGTAGTTCAATACCACCAGTACAATATTTATTGCTAGTGAGTTGTACATACAACAGTCTGCATACAGTATGCAATACACTATTTGATGCAAGATTAAAAGCCGCCATAAAAATGTGGCTAAAGGCCATTGTTTACAGTCTAAATGTAATTTTTATTGTAAAATCCCAAAATTGAAAATTCTCTTAACATTAATGAAAGACTACTTAAATATACATTAACTTTTCAATCAAAATAAATTAAGATCATCATCTCAAACAGCAGATTTTTGATACCAAAAAATGAACAACACTAAATCCTACAGATTTACATTGACCCAAATTACCTACAGTTCTGTATCACCACCACTAGATTACATACATTAAATACGTGTGTGTGTGTGTGTGTGTGTGTGTGTGTGTGTGGGTGCATGTGTGTGCGCAAGCTGCTCAAATAAATTGCCCTTCATGGAATAACGTCTGTATCTATATTATTTAACGGCCATAATTCGATCTAAATGAAAGCACCTAACTGGATTATTTTAATATTGCCTGTACCTTTAATACAGGCTGAGTTAGACTACTTAATGTTTCCAACTATCCAGCATCCAGTACAGACAGTTGTAGGCTGTTTTTGTTTGTATGTGGAAAAATAATTAGTTTGAATTTCTGTCATTAAAAAATATTTCGTTTTCTTTTTGTAATGGTAAGAAAGAGCAAGAGAGAGAGAGAAATTCCCATAGTGAAATGTAAGCTAACACTAGTCTGTAGCTAGTTTATTTCACTATGGATATTGCTAACAGGTTCATTTCTTTCTTTTAGTAGCAGGTAACATGACTATGACTGTAGCGTTCTAGTGCAACTGCAGACTGCTACTAGGCACCGTCACTGTCTGTCAGTGCGCTAAGGCAGGACCAAACCATTTCATGCAGATACAGAGGGGTGGTCAGTCAATATGGATGTTTACTTTTTGGTCAATGGGGATATTTAACTTTTACTGCCAAAAACAAGTAAAAACAAAGAGATCCTTAATTTACTATATTACTATATTTGACAAAAAAATATTCTTAATGATGGCTTAATAATTTTATATTAATTTTTTACCTATTTTTGGGGCCCCCTTTCAGTCAAGTTTTCTCCCCTATTCGGCGCCACTGTTGTTGATGTCAGGATTAATTTTGTTGGAAAAAACTATGACAAAAATTTTTTGTCAACGACCTTTTTTCCATGACCAAAACGAAATGATGATGATGATGATGATGAGCAAATTCAAAACGAGAGTATATTTACAAAAAACTATAAAGCTTGTCAGTTTGATCATTGAATATCTTGTCTTTGTGCTGTATTCAACATAGGTTAAAAAAGATTTGCAAAACATTGTATTCTGTTTTTATTCAAGTTTTGCATCCCAACTTTTTTGGAATCAGGGTTTTAACTCATCAGTCAACTGCTTGGCCTTTTTCTTACAGATTTTCAGACCTGTTTCTGTGCCTTTTTTTTTATTTTTTATTTTTTAAATTTTTATTGTAGGTGCAGGACGTGACAACGACAGCTGGAAAAGACTTCCTCATAAACCCTTCTTTTCTCATTCAGTTTGATCCAGGTGCGTGCTCAATTCACACTTTTTACAAATAAGGTTTGGTTTACTCACTGTGGTTAGTACTATTCAGCCTGTAGAATGTCTTCTGAGGCTTAAGAGCAGTTGATGATGTCACCACCCTGATCTTTACTAGCCACAATATCAAGACAGCTGGTATTTTTTTCACCTCCTGAGTCTGTGTGTGTCATCATGGCTAAATCATACCACAATAGCCATTATTATTATTATTATTATTATTATTTATTATTATTATTATTATATTGTTACTTTAATTATTGTTGTTGTAAGCTATTATCATTACCGTCTGTCCTGCATCTCTCTCTGTCACTCTTTCTGTCTTATTGTGTCATACGGATTACTGTTAATTTATAATGTTGATCTGTTCTGTACGACATCTATTGCACATCTGTCTGTCCTGGAAGAGGGATCCCTCCTCAGTTGCTCTTCCTGAAGTTTCTACCATTTTTTACCCCCGTTAAAGGGGTTTTTGGGGAAGTTTTTCCTTATCCGCTGCGAGGGTCCTAAGGACAGAGGGATGCCGTATGCTGTAAAGCCCTGTGAGGCAAATTGTGATTTGTGATATTGGGCTTTATAAATAAAATTGTTTGATTGATTGATTGATTGATTGATTGATTGATTGACACTTACATGGTAAAAACTGAACCAAGTGTGACTGAGCAAACTCCATCTGTTACTAAGGGCCACAAGATGTGGCTAAAAGCTTTGGAAAAATAATTTTTTGTCGAGCTTTTTATTTCTACTGTTTTGCAAGTCACTTCACTGTGGAAGTACAGTACTTAATGGCAGAGATTTCTTCTTCTCCTTCTCTTCTTTAAGAAAAGTCACAGTGTAAAATCATTAGTAAAAGTGTAACAACACTGTTGCTACTATTGTGAGTGCCACTTAAAGCTAAACAAGCATACTTCTAAATAAAAAGTACGAACGTCATAATAAATGAGACCTGCACAGACTCTTGTAAAAGGTTATGATGTTCTTGTCGATGTAGGAGTGTCAAAGAGGAGCTGGCAAATTGAGATCATTCAGGATCACCTTGAGGAGGCTGAGGAGATGTTTGAAGTGCTGCTGGTCTCCCCTGAAGGCATGGTGATCGGTAGCATCAACAAGGCTGAGGTCACCATCACGGACTCTGGTGGAGGTAAAAATAAACCCCAGCTGTGTATTTGCAAGATCTTATAGGATACTTTGCAAAGTTGCATCATTGTAAATGATTCCTTTTACATGGCTTATACTAAACAAAAACATTGTACATTTACTAATTAAATTTAAACGGATTTGACTGTATGTACTGTCCTGTATAACCTTACCACCACAGTATAGTATTTTTGTAACAAGATGGTGCAAGTCATCCTGATTAAGGACTCAGGGAGTTGACATACCACCATTAAAGGGACAGTTCACCTCATGCTATTTATCAATCTAAATAGTTTTGTTGTGAGTTGCTGTTGGAGATATTGGCTGTGGAGATATTCGCCTTCTCTCCAATATAATGAAAATACACAGTAAAAAAAAAAAGAAGAAAACACTTAAATCGCACATCAGATCTTGATGAATGAATTATTCTAGTTTAAAATATTTACTGATGTACAAAATGGCAAAACAACAGTCAATGGAAACCAAAATCATCAACTCACTGAGGGCTGGATTCAAAATGACACCAATAAAACATTGAAACCACAAGCTGATCCAACTTATGTGAATTTTATTACAGCAACTCATAATGTGATTCAGTAGTGTGTATGACCTCGCATGCCTGTATGCACTCCTGACAACATCTGGGCATGCTCTTGATGAGACAGCAGATGATGTCCTAGGGGATCTCCTCCCAGACCTGTACATGGCATCAATGAGCTCCTGGACAGGTTGTGGCGGTACTTAGCAACAGTGGATTTACTGATACATATCAATGCCTTCATCATCCAAGAACTGCCTACACACTAGTCACATGAGGTCGGGCATTGTACTGCACCAGGAGGAACCCAGGGCCCTCTGCACCAGGGTAAGGTCTGACATTCGCTCTGAGGATTTCATCCCAGTACCTAACGGCAGTCAGAGTATTGTTGGCTATGACATGGAGGTCTGTGTGACCCTTCAAGGATATGCCTCCCCAACCATCACTGACCCACCGCCAAACCGTGCATGCTGGATGATGTTACAGGCAGCATTATGTTCACCACAGCATCTCCAGACTCTTTCACACCTGTCACATGTGCTCAGTGTGAATCTGCTCTCATCTGTGAAGAGAATTGGGCGGCAATGGCGGACCCGCTAATTCTGGTGTTCTGTGGCAAATGCCAATTGAGCTAGGTCCCACTGGAGGACGTGGGGCCCTCATGCCACCCTCAAGGGGTCTGTTTCTGACAGTTTGGTCAGAAACATGCACACCAGTAGCCTGCTGGAGGTCATTTTATAGGGCTCTGGCAGTGCTCCTCCTGTTCTTCCTCACACAAAGGAGCAGATACTGGTCCTGCTGCTGGGTTGATGCCCTTCTATGGCCCTGTCCAGCTGTCCTCATGTGACAGCCGGTCTCCTGGTACCTCCTACATGTCCTTGAGACTGTGCTGGGAGATGCAGCAAACCTTCTTGTAACCACAGATATGAATGTGCCATCCTAGAGGAGCTGGACTACCTGTGCAACTTGATTGGGCTGCAGGTACCGCCTCATGCTACCAGTAGTGACAAGGACACTAGCAGAACACAAAACTAGAGAAGAATCAGTCAGGTAGGATAAGGAGAGAGCAACTATCTGTGGCCACCACGTGTAAAACCATTCCTTTTTGGGGCTTGTCTTGCTCTTGCCTCTCCATTGCACCTGTTGTCAATTTAATTTGCACCAAAGCAACTGAAACTGATTTACAATCACTTGTGCTTCCTAAATGGACAGATTGATCTCAGCTTAACTGATTTGGTGTTTTACTGTGACAATTAAGTGTTCCCTTAATTATTTTGAGCACAGTATCTTGAGTAACCAGGGCATGATTTCTACAAAGAAGCATTGCTGTTGAGTTTTTTAAATGTATTTTTGGGCACTTTGAGCACCACAAGCCAAGGGCCATCTTGTTCTATAATACTGGAGAGAAGACAGACATCTCTACGGCCGATATCTCCAAGACTCTGCAACTCACACAAAAACTATACAGACAATTAATAGAACTACAGGAAAGAGAGAAAAATATGAGTTTTAGATTTTGGGGTAAACTATTTATTTAAAATTCTAAACATCACAGGAGAGCACAGGCTGAAAGAGAATCGGGAGGCTCCTGTCCTTGGAGGAAAAGAGATCCGGTCAGACACGTACCCCCAGCATGGATCCATTCAACTAGAGAAACTGCCCCTTGGTACTGAATCAGTAATCTGGACCCGTGGAGACAGCATCTCCAGACCTAAAGCAGATGTCCCAAAAAAGAAAATCAAAGTTGTAGGCAACCCAAAGCCTGTAAGTACCTGTTCTTAAAGATCTGCGCTGGATTTTACTTCATACAAGCTGACAATTTTCTTTTCATTTGTTCCAGCTTAAAAGTATGTATAAAGTATTACCATTTCATCTTTCAGATTGCACCTTCATCGGTTTTTCACAACGGGACAGACATTGTTTACACGGTAAGCAGCAGCGGCTGATAATCACTGACCTAACCTTTTTAGGTAAAAAAAATCTTCATTTCTTTTGTCTCCTTCATTCCAGTATCACGGCATCATGCAAATGCAAGTCGAGGACGACACCTCCCCATCGAGGAAGAGCAGAAAGGCAAACGTCAAAGTGGTTAGCAGGGGAGCACAGCAGCAGGTGTCAGCTGTGTTTACTAAGTCAAAGTCACATCCTCAAAGAAAGATGTCAAAACCTCAAAAAACAGCACAGACTAAAGGTCTTGTGAGTACAAAAGGTCCTTTTCTGCTTCTTGGAAGTATGTATAGTGAGTCAGCTAAGAGCAAGTCTGTCTTGCCAGGATCTTCAGCGTAGAGTCAGGATCACCAATAGGCGGTGGGGTTGGGTGGGGGGAGTGTGGGGGGGGGACAAAGGGTACATATGACCCCGGCCCAAGGCCAACGGGGGGCCATTAAAAAGTCTATGTTTGACCCTTAAATGGGATCAAGTACAATTTATTTACTGACTTAAATCACTGACAACACAAGCTATATGTATTTACATGATAAATAAATGTAATTTTATTATTAAAACACATTTCAGCGTGCCATCTTATACTCCCAGCCTTGAAAGTATTATGAAATGGTGCAGTCCATCTGACTGCGGGGGTCAGATGGCAGCGCAGAACACATCAGTGCCACTAATGTAGAAATGTGCGGCAGACTTCAGCCTGATGAGCAAAGTTAGAATGTCTCACAAGGAATCAGGGAATCCTTAAGGAAAAGTCACGGTACAGAGAGAACAAGAAGATGAAAGGAGCAGAGAGACAATGGCAAAATATCTGACAAAAAAAAATGTGAGGACAGGCAGAGCTGAAGATGAGGAGTGAGGAAGACTAATGTTAGCAAATAAAATCTGCTGTATCAGGCTCAGTTTTAAAGCTACAGTGATATCATAATATATTAAAGAAGAACTAAAGCATCCATTGGTACCAACTATGTTATGCTATATGGTCAGAAAGGGGGGCAAATAATGCTCCAAATTTACATTAAATGTTGGTGAGGGAAAAGGAATAATTTTTCAAAATGGTGTATTTGCATATTTCTGCATACTGGGGTCCCTAAACAGGCTTAACATAAATTGTATATACAATTGGGTATAACTGGAAAACAGAGAGTTGACAGCCATATATTCATCACACTATTTCAGTTCTGCACATAATTTGACCAATGTTTGATTAAAGTAGTAATAGTTAGTAATTAGTAGTGGAAGATTGCATAAAGAAAAAATGTATTTGTTCACTCCTGTTTTGATCTTATGATATGATACCTTGCAGTAATTTCCTCAATCAATGTTTTATTTGAGTTTTCTCCAGTCATTCATGGGAGGGCATTTTTTCAGCCCAGGACACACATGTGACTACCTCTGCTTTTCAAGCGAAGGTCTTAACATTGAGTTGAATTCATGTAGAAATAGGATTAATTGGATTATTTTTACAGGAAGTATTAAACAAACAAATAAATATATCCACTGAATTGTGACAGAACTTACTTTATTTGTTATGGGACAACATTTGAATTACTTGATCACAGTGATAGGTGTGGATGAAGGGCCCACATAGAAAATCTTGTCCCCGTGCCTGTATTTCCTGATGGCTGGCCTGCGTGGACTTCCATAATAGTCAGACTACATAATTGCCAGATTATTTTGTTTTTTTTATTTTTTTGTGAAAGCCCTGCACTAGGCCCATTCATCCACCATCAGTTTCTGCCTACGTGGACTTTGTCGGCCTTCATACCATGTCACCTTACTTTATGGCAAATAGCCCAAAGGCTACCTCTCCCATGTGCAATCAAAGTTTGACAGTTTGGATAAAGACTTTGGCTCTTACAAACACCACTGGCTTAAAACAATGAGAGGGGAATATAATTTACATGTAGATATACATATTGGCATAATTATGTTTTTTATATTTAAAGAAATGGGCGTCAAGTAATGTTAATCTTTGATAAGGAGTGGCTATCTGATCAAAGCTATTTCACAACAAAATAAATGAATTATCAATAAAATTTATTTTTTTTAAAGACTCATGCATTTCCTTTTCTTAAAGAAATAACTATTCCATACCCACTGAGTGCACAGTTGCCCTCATACAGTTTTACATGGTGTGTGTTTGGGATACAGGTCATAGGAAATTGCAGATTAAATAGTCAGCTTTATTGAAAGTACAGTAGTAGCATTGGCAATTTTGGGATAGTTAGTGGGCTAAAACTGTACATTAGTAGTAGAGGTAGCACGCTGAAAGGCAGATAGTTGTTAGTTGGCAGAAAGTGTTTATATGTGGGGGCGCACTGGTAGCTCACATGGGAAAGGTGCGGCTAGCCCTTGTTGCGGTGGTGGGGGTTGGAATCCAGCCTTCGTTCATTTTTCTGTTGTTATAGCGCCACCCAGTTGCCAATTAGAGTTAAATTTCTCCAGTCATCTTGAGGCGTCCTGTTCTACATATCTACCAAGTTTAGTAAAAATCGATATGCCGGTTAGGCCTAGATAAGAAATTAGCTCTCTAGCGCCCCCATTTTGTTTGATCGGGTCAATAATGGAGGGGTCCCCTCAGATTACGTGTGGTCATGTGCCGACAAAGTTGCATGGTGATTGGTGAAACCCTTGAGATGTTATACACCTCTGTGTGATGAGTTACGCCCTCCACAATATTCATTGCCTTATAGAAGCTCAGTGTTAGTAAGTTTTCCAACTTTTGCCAAGAGGGAACTTTAGATATTGGTCCCTACATTATGTTCACAGAGTTTCATGCAGATCGGTCAAACTTCCTAGGAAGAGATCGATTTTAAGTGTTTTTCAAAAAATTCAAAATGGCGGAAAATCTCTATGACCGGAAGTTATGGTTTCTTGGGGCAAATTTGTTCCTCATGAGGAGAGACATATCTGTGCAAAGTTTCAAGTCTCTACGACATACAGGGCATGAGATATGCCCATTCAAAGTTTGCAATTTCAGTCGGTTGCTATAGTGCCCCCCTTTGGCCAATTGATGTAATATTGCTTCATTCACATCCTCCCATTACGCTTTACCACTGTACCAAATTTCACATGGATTGACCAAGTCAGTGAGAAGAAAAACGTGGAACAGACACACAGACAGACACACCCACAGACAGAGTTTTCGTCATTATATAGTAAGATATGATCACTATTTCGTGGTTTGTAAGAGAGGGTCTTAACTTTTCACTAGGTGACACAGCAGAAGCACCTTGAATGACAGAATGTCAGTTTTATGTTGTAGTCTAGGATCAGGCCATGATTCACTGTGCCTCATACAGTGCTTCTCACTAGTTTCAAATGTTCAGCTAGTTACAGTGTTTTAGGCTAAAGGGTTAAAGGCACACTGCATTCCAATTTAAGCAATACTAAATTCATTTCTTGTGCATTTCTATGGCCCATAGGTTACAGCTGATAACTCCATACCCAAGCCCTGTGTGCCAGAACTGATGGGACTGCTGCATTTCAACCAGACCACCAATCAGCTCTTTCACTGCAACGGTGTCTCCTGGAAACCCTGGGCACCAACTGACCAGGTATTCCAGCTTCACAACAAAGAAACCTACTTTTAATAAGCATGCACCGGCACCCCTGGGAAAATGTCGGACCTTAGCAATATTTTTCAAATAACGCAATGTTGTTTTTACTAATGTTCTTTATATGCAGCTGAAGAGTTTGATCACAATCACATTTCTTGCTTGAGCTGTAATTTGCTGAGATAGTTTAGTAAATTGCCATTGTGGGCCAAAAACTCTTGACTCTTGATTAAGTTGGAGGAAACTATATTACTGACATCCATTAAAGGGCCAGTGTGTAATATTTGGCATGGTTTATTGTCAAATCTGAATCTGAATTTGAATATTCTACCCATTAATATGTTTATGTGTGTATAATCGCTATAAAATAAAATTCGTTTGGTTTTCGTAGCCTTATAATTATGCTTTTATATAGATATATATATATATAGTAAGGGCCTTGTTTTAGAGAGGTCGCCATCTTGCGCCGCCATGTATGTACAGCAGACCGAGCGGACAATCCAGCCAGCCAGAGAACGCGTTTCGAGTGTATAAATAAACCAACGAAGAAGACAGCGGAAGGAAGGAAGAAGGAGGAGGAAACAGCAGAGAGTATTAGTAGTTAGTAGATAGAGAGTAGTGAAAAGTTTTTTTAGTTATAAAGTTTGCGAATGGACCACACTTACCACGCAACAGGAGAGAATGAACCCGAACCGTCATCTGCGAGGAAAAGAAGACGCAACTTCACTCCTTGAGATGCACTCACTGCAGCGCTTTCCCTCCTGATGATATATCTCCCCAGCGATGGTAGCACCGAATCCCATTCTGTGCAGCAAAATGAGAGCGGAGGATTCAGCCTCTCTTCTCGCCCGCTCAGCATCCAAGTTCCTCATCTGTATGCTCCGGCTCAAACAGGTATGGCTCTGGGTCTGTGTCCGCTACAAGAAACTCTTCAAAATCGCGTTCAAAGTCGTCCATTGCAGCTACTATAGTCCGGAGATATTGCTAGGCTAAATAAACAGCTGAGCTCTGTTTACAGGCTACACTGTCAGTCAGTGTGCGGGCTGGAGATTGGTGGAGCAGAGAGGGGAGGGGGTGCCTGCTAGGTATTGTAAACGAGTATGTGTGTATGGAGTGTGTGTGTTACACTAGAAGAGTCAGAGTTTGGGACGAAGTCTTTTACCCCCTGGAGTGTTACCGGAGTTTTTGGAGTGCTTAAATAAACTGGCCTTTTTCCCAAACGCTACTCCGGTCTCCTGCTCGTGAGGGATTCATTACAATATCGTAACATGGTTTAGATTTCTAAATAAACATTTACCTCGTCGCTAGATAGACCTACTCCTGAAAAACTGCGCAAGGCTTTTTGTCCCTACGAAGCCACCGTCATTTACCCGACAGGAGGGGTGAGCAAGTGAGCCCTGCAATCTAGAATTTGACCACTGATGTCACTGTTTTCAACGGTTTTCAACCCATTTTACACAGTGGCCCTTTAAATAATGCCAGAGATGTGGTTTTTAATACAGTAAAGAGTCCCAGACAAGCAGGCTTGACAATTAAATAGAATTGGGAGTCTTCAGCATAATGATAAAATTCAATATGTCCCTCTGAATTATACTCATAAATGTTAACATAGACTGTAATGACTAAAATGTAGTGGATCAGGGATAGAACCCTGCGGAACTCCATGTGGAATGTTTGTAGACAATACATTTGGAGTGAATTATTCTCTTTGCTTGACAAAACACAGACAGTCATATGGAACACTGTAAATTTATTATGTTGATCTGTTCTATACGACATCTATTGCACGTCTGTCCATCCTGGAAGAGGGATCCCTCCTCCGTTGCTCTTCCTGAGGTTTCTACCATTTTTCTTCCCCGTTAAAGTTTTTTTGGGGGGAGTTTTCCCTTATCCGCTGTGAGAGTCCCAAGGACAGAGGGATGTTGTATGCTGTAAAGCCCTCTGAGGCAAATTGTTTTTTTGTGATATTGGGCTTTATAAATAAAACTGATAGACTGGTTGATTGACAGATGTCTGAAATAATTTCTTAAAAATCTAGGGCTGTGGTCAACCAAACATAATATTGATCAACTGAACCAACTGAATCAACCTACTCTTCCACCAATGAATTGGTCTATGGGGGGAAATCTGCATGCTATCTAAAGATTAACTAAATTGCCACAGCACACTCTACCTGGTGCCATTGTGTGTCCACTAAAACATTTTTTTTCTTTTCATAGGGCTCAATATTAACATGTGGAGACTTAGTAAAATGAATCTGTAATCATAAAGCCGACACTGTATGTCTTCTGTGATTTGTTTTTGACTAAAACTGAGAGTTGAAAAATGTTGAACTTTGGTTAAAGATTGTGCGCAATCCAATCACAGTGGAGAAGAGGTGGGGTAAATACCACAAAGACCAATTGTCCAACATATTCTCATAGAACGGTTCGTGTGATATCCTGGGAATTTGCACCCCAGGAATGACATTACATCCATAATGTACAGTTGTATAATAAACGTAAAGTTACAGAGGTTGGGCTTAGGAAAAGAATGTCTGGATGTCTTAAGGTTTAGGCATAAAAAGTTAATGTGGTTAGGTTTAGGAAAAGACATATGGTAAGGACGTACCTTAAAATCACTCAGAATTCACTGAACACACATCTCCAGGGTAAAGTCCCAGGCAAAAGCCCATTTTTTTGTGTCCATTTTTTTGTGACCCATCTACCACCCCAACCTGCCTCCTTCCAAGCCCTCGGGACTGCTTCCTTGTTTACTGCTGTCAGTGCATTGATCTAGTGATCGCAGCCTTTCAAAATACATGGGATATGTACAAATTTGGGTGCATTGCTTTTCATAGAAAAACATACAAAAAATTAGTGAGAACAGCCTGAGTCGTCACAGTGAATAATTCAAGTGCTGAACAACAACTACTTCCATTTTCAGCTGGGAAAAGAAACACAGATCTATTAAAGTAAAACCAGCCATTGTTGGACCAGTGAAAATTTGGTTGGACAAGAGCATATTGACCAACCAATCAACCACTTGACAACCCCAAAAAACAAATCATATGAAATCATTAATGTCCACAGACAAATGTCAACATATCTGTTCATTTTTTGTTGAATCACAGATGGTGAGTGCTCAGATGTGTCCTCAGGGTTGGACCTTTCATCGTGGCTACTGTTACACCCTCAGCACTGAGCACAAGGTGTCATGGAGCACAGCTAATAGGGCCTGCAGGGAGAGGTACAGCTACCATGGAGCTCACACACATTCTGTGTTTTAATGGATTAACAGACTTGGACAGAAATTGAGGCAGAAAGCATGGACATGCATGCCTCTAATTATTCGCACTTCACACATAAAAACTATATAAACTGAATTATACGCACCGTGCATTATCCTTTAGAATGCACAACTTTCTCTGTCTTTTTTTCAGATATAAAGGCACTCTAGCAAGTGTTCTCTCTAAAGTGGACATGGACTGGCTGTGGGACTTCAGTGGAAGAAAACCATTTTGGATAGGTGGGTATCCTTGAGTCATTTGTTGCAACACCATTCTGTTTTTTTTTTTCATCATGAATTTTTTTTTTTTTCATTGTAGAGTACAACTATGCCACAACTTTTTGACTGACTTTTTGACTTTCCCCCTATTATATAAGGCCTGAATGACAGGGACGGCCGAGGATACTGGGAGTGGGCAGGCGGTGAGTCGGTCAGCTACACTAACTGGAGAAAGACGCCCCCTCGGTCCAAAATGAAGGGAAGCAAAAAGTGTGTCCTGGTATGGAGAAGAGCAAAGTGGCAAATCAGGGACTGCAAAACGAGCAGAGGTCATTGCTTTGTGTGTTCAATCAGAACTTGAATTAGAAAGACAGTGTATGGAGCATCACAGCCATGAGCCACTGTGTTCTCTCAGTAGGAGGAAGGACTGATCCTCGGGACATTTAATCTGCAGTACCAGAAAACATCTAATAAGGATCAAAGGGAACTTTGCTGGAACTATTTATATCATTTATAATGAGCTTAGTGACAATTATTGTGCCTAAAAAGTAACTTGCAACACTAAGTGGCATTGTTTACACTGCATTTATACTAATTAACCACTAAAAGTGTTGTTGTATATGTAAAGCTCACAAGAGATTTTTTCAAATGTATTTAGTGTATTTGCCTTTTTTCCAACGGAACCAAGCTGGATTACCAACAGGGTCTCTTGTCCACCAGGGGCCCTGAAAGCCCCAGATTCACTGTGTACTCACTGTACAAATAATTTAGTGAATCTATTTGTTGATATTGTTCTTTGTGCAAATTTCCTACAGGTCATGCAACATTACCTGAGGCAGTCTATGTCCAAATCTGGAATGCAGGCTTTTATTATTTAGATGTATATTGTGTTTGCATTGTGCATATTCCTAAATTAATTTGTGTTTAATCAGATTACAACGACCTAACTGACACAACCTTCCAGCAAAAGAGTATTGTCTGGTTTCCATGTCTACAGGCAAAATATAGTGAAAATGCTATTTGTAGTCTGCTGTGTGTGCTGTGTTTGATAGGAATTTGGAGATGATGGTGCTCATATACAATGCACAGACAGCAGTGGTATTGGTGGGGAGTATGGCTGGGTATCGGCACTTGATACCCTTAAGATAAGGACCAAAGTAACCCAGTACCAAGTAGTGTCAAAACTTTGCCAGTCAAACGATACCTGAATTCGACTTGTTTTATAGCCAGATCTAAAGAAAAAAAAGACTCGCAGCCAATCACAGCGAGCATTCTTTCATTTAATGCAATGTGTGATTGGCCCACTACCGCAGCAGCTTCAACCAGAGATGGGACAGAGTCGTTGTTTTGCCACAAGTAATAGTCTCAAGTCTTTGCACTGAAGTTCCAGGTCAAGTCCCACTCAAAACTGACAAGTCCCAAGTCAAGTCCCAAGTCCTAAACTTTGAGTTTCGAGTCCCCAAAAAGGTCATGATGCGATTTTCATTCAATTCAATTCAGTTCAATTCAGTTTTATTCATAAAGCCCAATATCACATCACAATTTGCCTTAGAGGGCTTTACAGCATACAACATCCCTCTGTTCTTTGGACCCTCACAGCAGATAAGGAAAAACTCCCCAAAAAGTTCATCAAATGTAATGCCATTTTAACAACAGAGTAATAATGTTGGCTAAGCAGTTTGATAACTGTGTTAATATTACCCTCTGCTTACTGTTTTTTGTGCAGCTTCAAATTGTTGGATTTGTTTGTTGGAGTTGCATCTCTGTCTGTTATTCTTGACCAGCACATTTGCATATTGCAAATGTTTGTTTTTTTTTGTTTTTTTTGGACCACTGCTTGGTTTTTGTATACAAACAAAATTATCTTTGGTATTATTTTTTCAACTTGCAATCAGTTAAGTAATGTTAGTTTTTCATGGTTCTCCCTTGCATCTTATTTGGATGCTGTTGCTGGATGCTTCAAAGTTAAGCTAGGGAATTAAGTGTCAATACTCTGAGAACTGATTCAGGAAATGAAGGGACATTAACTAGTTTGTGGCACACCCTTAAAATAACATACTTTTAAATTTCTGGATGTGGGGAAATGTATGAAGTATTTACAGGTCAAAAGGCTCAAGTCCAAGTGATTTCACAAGTCACTGGGGTAAAGTTGTAGTCGAGTTGCAAGTCTTTTTTGATTTTGTCAGGTGTAAAGTCAAATTTGTCACTCGAGTCTAACATAAGTCCAAGTCATGTGACTCAGGTCCACACCTGTGGCTTCAACCGCCTGGGGTGTGGTGAAGTTGAGAATGGTGTATATGACAGAGTTGACAGTTCAGCTTGCCCTTGTGGTGTACCACGTTGGTACCTGATGGGTTACCTGCAAAAACGTTTATATAAATTTATATATGCATATATAGTCACAAGCACGGTTAAAAATGAAATACACCCAGGTGGGCAGTGGATGAGAGCAAAAATATATTTCAGTCAGGACCACTTTAGTCAAAAAAACCCAACACAACTTTATTTGCATTTGCAGTATTACATATGGTGGTACAGTATGGCTCTGTTCTCCAGCCTCTCTGCCTTTCCTTGTACCTATGCAGAAAGCGTAAGGCAGAGAGAGCACACCTCTCTGCCCTTCCATGTGCATACAAGGACAGCCTAAGGTTTTATGGTGGTGGAAGGAGCATGCTTAAATGTTTCCTAACCTGGCAGTGACTGTGTGGAATGTTTTTGCCATCCTGGCATCAAGCGCAGCCAGTGAAAGAGACTTTTCCTTTGCTGGATTTGTAATTCAAGAACGGAGAACCCAGCTTAATGTGAGTGACTGTAGCCTGCCTGTGTTTAAGCAGGGGACCTTTCTTAACGGGTGCTGGCAGGTGTAGTTTTGACAAAATGACGGGTAATGGGTTGGCTCTGGTACTGAGCTATACGGGTATGGGCGGGTTCTCATTATTCCAGTAATAGACATGTTAATTTGGCACTGTAAACTGAAAAAAAAAAACCATCAAAATAAATGCCAAGATAAAATTCTAATCGATTTGTGTAAATTAGCCTGTCATGGTATATTTTATACAATCAGCTCATATGTTTTTTCATTTATACAATGTGTTGGATTCCATTTAAAAATGGACTAATTTAATAAGTTGTAGAGATGTCCCCTGCAGTATTTACACACAGAATTAAATCAGTATTTGTGAGAGCTCCTACAGTGTGATTTTAGACAACAGACTTGAGTCTATGATGTTTCCTGTAATTGAGCAAAGTAAGTCTGTGAACTCCAAAATGAGCTCATAAAAGAAGTAATGTTTTTTCATCAGTTCATTGATAAGCCTTTGACTATGATCATCAGCAAGCCACCTGTCTATGGGTACAGTAAAACAAGACGTAAAGTTGACATTTCTTCTCTGTTAATAAGCCGGTATTGCTGTTTTCCCCTTTTTGAGAATTCAACACTATCAATGCTATTTAGATCTGGTCCAGTGGGTCCTCCCAAACACAAGGTTTAGCAGCAATGTGATTATCCCCATCATGTGATCTACAGCCGGAGTATGAAAGAGGGCCTTTTATATGAGCTGGAAGCAGTTCTCTGAGGTTTGCATGCACTGAAAGATACAGCAGATCCTCTTCAGCTTGGTAAGTCCAGCTAAAACAGCGTATGCTGTATCTAGGTTCATATTTGAGTGTTTGACAAAGTAGCAGGACAACCTGAAATATTTGTGTAGTTTAAAATGAGTGCATATTATGGTTGAATACTGTAAATGATGATACATGTTCTTTGGCGCACTAGATGGTCAGGGGGAGTTTTGAGACAGTCATACTTTGATAATTTACTATACTGTTAAATGGACTACTTTGCTAGTAATTTAGTGCATTAGAAGCTTCTCACCTTACAGTGTATTTGCAGTCATGGGCCATGAAAAAGACAGTAAAATATTTTCATACAAAAGGCAGCCCTATTTTGAATAACCTTAACCTTGATATCAATGCCTCTCTGTGTTTACTGCACATTATAACCCATAATACGTATTAGAATAAAGAAGGCTTTCAGGTGACATAACACACACTGTAGCTACAGTTTTGTAGGTCAACACATTCTGGTCTTAGTGGCTGTGATGAGGTCATTATTTTCTGTGCTGCTTTAACTGAAACATTTTTCTCTCTCTCACTTCTGATTTATGTGAGCATTTTATGTTAAGATGATGTCACCATGTCAGCTAGCTAACCATAGTATAACCATTAAACTACTGTCGCTGAGAAATATGATTTGTACTCTAGTTTATGTGTCCAGATTATTATTTAATGTGTCAGTCAACAGTTTAATTCAGTGTTCATTCAAATGTCCAGTGCAGAGGTCTTCAATCAGTACGTTTACATGCACATTTGAGTGGAGCTACAGTTATAGCTCGACTAAGCCATTTAATAGGACTACTGTTCTCGTCCCAGTATACAAACACAGGAGAGGCATCGATTTATTAACCAAAGTATGTCCGACTCCGTTACGGGGGATGGTGATATGCCTCCTTTCAGCTTGTTAGTATTGGACCTTTTTCTGGTTGACCTATTACATCACAGACAACAGACAAGTTAGCCACGGGTAGCTTGTAGCAAACTGGAACCATGGTAAACAACTTTATAGCTCTGTACATTTCGTCCATCCAAAAATGCATGGCTCTGGTTGCTATGTTGTTACTGGCTTCTTCTCCTGTTAATTATTTAAAAGCCTGGAGCAGATACTGTGGAGCATGCACAGAGCACCTAGGCCAGTTTGGATCCGATTGACTGTATACATGCAGGAGTAATTCAACTCCCAATTACATTATTTGGATGTGTTAGTCTTATTTTGAGAAATTCGATTTAATACAATTTCAGTTGGACTAACGTGTTTATATGCATTTTAAAAGTCTGGTTTTAGTTGGACTTATGCAATAAATCCATTTTCTCTAATGTCATGTAAACATACTGACTGTGTATAAACATGAGTAGCATATTTAACTGGGCAGATGGAGGTTGTCAGGCAGAGGGCCATATCGGCCTCAGGTTGCAGTCTTGACTTGTATCTTTTAGGTCAGTGAGGGAGGAAACTGCACTTTCACAAGGATAAGTTGTTGCAAAAGGCAAAATATATATTTTCAAATATATTTCAAATATTTTAAAAATAAACAAACATAAATAAACACTTTCATCACACAAAATCATCAACTCATAATTTTTCCGCTCCCTTGCATACCTCTGAGAACCCCCTGGTCCAGATTTTTTAACATGGTTGGTTAAAACGTCTGTGTCCAACGTACCAAACATCACCTAAAAAACACTGGTTTGTAACATGACACTGCTTTATTCAGTGTATAAATCACCGGGTCTGTTTGTTTTGGAGAGGAAGGGACCTCTGTGGTTTTGGTGAAAGTTTCAACTGGTTGCAGTCTGTAATCCTTACCACCAGAAGCCACTGAATCCCCCTAAATCTTACACACTCAACCTTTAAAGGCACACACATGTTCAGGGAGAATAGACAGTCTTCCTGAACACAAATATTTATCCATATCTCATGATCATCCAGCTTTGATCCTCTGCCTGACCCTCCCTGTGTCCAAGGATATTAATTTATTTTATAGGTCAACAGTATTTAATTGTTCTTTATCATCACACAATTATTAATACAAGCAGGGATTTTAATATAAAGTGGTAACCACTGTATGTGAATGCATGAATGGGTCAGACCTGCGCAGCACTGGATTTGAAATGAACTGCAATAAACCGGAGCTGCAGTGCTTTGATTACCTGCTGTGAAACAACATGACCCTCATCCATTTAAAATCAACATTTCTTCTGAGATGATTTTGGTCAAAGCAACACACTAAAGAATAATATTGTAAAGTTACTTAATACTTTCAGATGAAGGTAACTAGTAATATGTAATCTATTACATTTTGAGAATAACTTACCCAACATTGGTCATCATTTGAGTTCAAAACCCCAAAACATCATCACCTACTGGCTCATCAGACTGTGTTCTGAGTCATTCATGTCTATTAACCATTTACTGTTTTGCTGTTTATTCAAGGCTTGATCATGACATAATCATCTGCTCCCCTAATCTTCATCAATACAAGTGAGGACAAACTGCTGAATTTGTCTGTCATGGATCATCACACCTCAGGCCAACACAGTCAACCCGGGCACAGCTCCAGCTTTCAGTGGCTTTCTTTTGCCTACCAGGACCTGACAGAAATCCCCTATGAATCCATCCTAACGCAAACAGAGACACTGGAGGTGCTGGACCTGAGTAACAATCTGCTGAATGAGTATCCTTTTCTTAATAACTAGAGGCTTAGAGACCAAGCACAGTGTTCCTTTGTTTTTTGCAAAGATGGTGTGTGTTTTCTTGCCTTCCATGGCCCCACCAATAGTTACTGTGTAGGTTAGACACAGGTGTGCCTTTCGCAGCAACACATGCTTGACTGGGGATAATTTGCAGAGTGAAAAATTTACGTCTTTTAAACCTACACATATCTTTGTAAGGAAATAATCTATCAATCACATAACCACTACAGTGTCATGCAAAAGTTTGGGCACCCCTGGTCAAATTTTGTTGACTGTGAACAGTTAAATAAGTAGAGATGATCTGATCTCCAAAAGGCATTAGTTAAGGTTAAAGATGAAACATGCTTTTCAACATTTTAAGCAAGATCAGATGTAACAATTTTAAAGTGAAAAAAGAAAGGAGCACTTTGCTAAAGTTTGGGCACCCCAAGACATTTGAGCTCTCAGATAACTGTTACCAGGGTCTCAGACCTTAATTAACTTGTTAGGGCTATGGCTTGTTCACAGTCCCCATTAGGTAAGGCCAGGTGATGCAAATTTCAAAGCTTTATAAATATTCTGACTCCTGAAACCTTGTTCCAACAATCAGTGTGCCTAGCACTCTGAAAGCTAAAATAACTGAATCCCACAAAGCAGGAGAGGGCTATAAGAAGATGGCAAAGTGTTTTCAGGTAGCTGTTTCCTCAGTTCATAATGTAATTAAAAAATGGCAGTTAATAGGAACTGTGGAGGTCAAGTTGAGGTCTGGAAGACCAAGGAAACTTTCTGAGAGAGCTGCTTGTAGGATTGTTAGAAAGGCAAATTAAACCCCTGTTTGGCTGCAAAAGACCTGCAGAAAGATTTATCAGGCTCTGGAGTGGTGGTGCACTGTTCTACTGTGCAGCGACACCTATACAAATATGACCTGCATGGAAGAGTCATCAGAAGAAAACCTTTCCTGTGTTCTCACCACAAAATTCAGCATCAGAAGTTTGCAAAGCAACATCTAAACAAGCCTGATGCTTTTTGGAAACAAGTGTATTTAAAAGCCCCTTTTAGATAGGAATTGTGCAAATTTGCAGGAAAGCCCAATCAGTCTCTTCAGCATTGGCAATATTTGCGCCTTTTTTGGGGCAATGGGGACGTGAGCAAGTAACAAAACGTGTAGCTCAGCATGTGATGTAAACAGTGACATGGGAGGGAAGCTGCAGCTGGTCAATCCTTCGGTGATTCTCTCGTAAGTTGGCCCCTTCTTCATTGTTCCTGTCATCTGACGGTTAATAGCCTCTTGGTTTGCAAGGGCAAGGTCGCACGTGTGGCGTCATCAACAGCTCCTCCCACAAGTCATCAACAGCCCCTTCTGTGGCGGAAATTGGGCACCTCGGATCAAGTTGCTAATCTGGCTCTGTGTGTCTAAACGCTCACAGCTTGCCGGCAAAACGGCCCAACATTCGCTGAAAATCTGTCAGTGTGAAACGGGCTAAAGTAGAACTTTTTTGGATGCGATGAGCAAAGGTATGTTTGGAGAAAAAAAGGTGCAGAATTTCATGAAAAGAACACCTGTCCAACTGTTAACAGGGGTGGATCGATCATGCTTTGGCCTTCAGGGCTTGAAATTGCGACTGTTTTGGTCACATATGCGACCAAAATTTCATCTGTGCGACCTCAACATATAATTGGGAGCACTGGTTTTTCCCCCCGAGTCGAATGTCTCATTCTTCTTCTTCTTTGGGGTTTCTTGGAGATTTTCAAACATGATGCACTACTGCCACCAACTGTTTGGTTGTGGTTTGTATTTTGACAGGACAGCAGTGACCGCAGGCGATGCATCTGTTCGGTTTTGGTGTGAATACACGTGTGCTGCCACAATGCTTGTGGATTGCTTGCGGTGTAAATGAGGCTAGAGTTAAAGTTAAAGTTTGAAACAGTTTTAATAAAGTAGTGGATTTAGAAATACATGGGTTCTGTTTTTTTATTTTTATCGTGGTATCGAATGAGTATCGAGAATTGTGGAAATTCACTGGTATTGGTATTGACTACTGAAATTCTGGTATTGGGACAAGCCTAGTAAAGTGCTCCCGGACCACAGATTTATTATGATAGCTAGCTATCGGATCCCAAGATGGCATCAATTCATTCCAATGGAGCTGCCAAACAGGTTTCTAGCCTCCTGGTTTATTTCCACGGTATGTGGCCCTCTGAGTATGTGCAGTCATGCTTCTCCCACTGGCCCCGCCCACGATTTCCATAGACTTAACGTTGTGATGATGTCAGAGATTTTTAAAGAGAAAAAAAATTACAAAGAAAAAAACTTCCATAGATCAAAAATTCAGAATAGAAAATTCCTAACTGACCTTGTTTGCAGTTTGAGGTGTCCTGTTAGCAGTTTCAAAGACGTCTCTTTTATAATGGTGGCTCAAGGGGAAAATGTTTTTTGGGCCACAGGAATTTTTTCACAGCAATGCCATGAGTGGCCACTGGAAAAAATTGGAAGGTAGGCTGAGCAGCGTTCCACGCAGCCTGACTGCTACCAGCTGCTTTTCAAATTTTCTGTGGTGGGTTGCACATTATCAAAGCATCACACCTGTGCTGCCCATGGTCCCATCCTGCTGGCCGTTTATACAGACATAATTTTGGCACTGTTACTATGTCCTATACCCGCTTAAAGGCGAGATAACTCCATCCCCCCACAGTTTGGTGAGGTGGAATAACAGTGTGAAATTCTTTTTTTTTTTAATAAGATTTTTTTTTTGGCATTTTTAGCCTTTATATGACAGGACAGACAAGTGTGAAGGGGGGAGAGAGAGAGAGAGGGAGTGACATGCAGCAAAGGGCCACAGGCTGGAGTCGAACCCGGGCCGCTGCAGCAACAGCCTTGTATATGGGGCGCCTGCTCTACCACTAAGCCACCGACGCCCCTACAGTGTGAAATTCTTGCCTTGAAGACACAGTGTAAAAGGGACTTATGATACAGTATATTGATGTATATTTCCTTAGTGAGTGACAAACCTGAGCAGTTTGAGTTTTATATGTTGTCCTTCATTCAATCCCTGGAACCCGGCTCTGCTGGGTCAGCTGGAGAAGCTCAGCACTCTGATCCTGGACTGCAACAACTACACATCTCACATCAAGTTCCCCTACATGCTGAGTGTCACCACAGTGTGCATCAACAAGAACAAGATCAACAATCTGCCTGTGTTTGTGGAGGAAGTCAGACGAAAGTTCCCCAACATAAAGTGAGCCTGGGATTGTTTTGTATGTCTGTAGAGGAAATGCCTGGAGTCAGTTCATATAGTCATCATTTTTTTCCCTCCTACTTTATGCTTCTATATATCTCTTTGTAATATAGGATCCTCAGTATGATGAACAATGAGGCAGCACCAAGCTATTTCAATGGAGGGAGTCTGACCCAGTACAAAGACTACAGGTGAGCATCAAGGTGCTTTTCACAGATCAGGTCACTAACTATAGAACCAAAATCAAGAATCCCTCTGTACACACTGTATATTCATCCATCCATCCATCCATTTTCTAACCTCTTATCCTCTTGAGGGTCGTGGGGGGGCTGGAGCCTATCCCAGCTGACATTGAGCAAGAGGCAGGGTACACCCTGGACAGGTCGTCAGACTATCACAGGGCTAACACATAGAGACAGACAACCATTCACACCTACGGACAATTTAGAGTCACCAATTAACCTGTCCCCAATCTGCATGTTTTTGGAGTAGCCGGAGAAAACCCACGCTGACAGGGGGAGAACATGCAAACTCCACACAGAAGGGTTCCCACACCCGGGATCGAACAGGAACCCTCTTGCTGTGAGGCGACAGTGCTGACCACCACACCACCGTGCCGCCGCTGTATGTTCATGTTTATGAAAAAAACTCTTATGTTGTGTTCACACCCAACACAATGTGAATTTTCGCAACGCATGTCTCGCGCAAGTTTGAACGCTAGAATACTTTATGTTGGTTGCCTTCATACACGCTAATAATTCACGTCCAATGTGCCTGAAATCGCTGAATCGATGAATGAACTTCTGCCAATACATCCTCAACGTTATTCGTCCCCAGAGGATCTCAATGCTCATTGGCTGTTGTGGCGCAAATTGGTCGCTGAAATTCAGGGTTTTCAACTCTCGCAAAGAAACGTTTGACACGAAATTACCCTACTCGCTTCATTTGTGCTGCTTATTTCACGTATTTTGCATCGTGTCCATCGCATTCATCCTGCCGCCGAATGGGAATTTGTGTCTAATTGCATCTGGCCACCACTGTGAAAAATTTCTGGGTATACCACTAAGCCACAGTAAGGCACTGTGAAGAAAGGCTTTTATACAGCAAATGTAATTAACTGACTAAAAAACGTGTAAAAAAAATAAAGAAAGAAAGTGTAATTTACTCATTTTAGAAACTTTTGTTGTTGTTTCAGCAGTGGGAGGTTGTATGTTGTAGCATAATAGGCAACCTGATCTTACATTAGGTTTCTAATTTATGACACAGATCCATTTACCATAATCGGACAACAAAAAAAGTGTTTTCATCTCAAATGTCCAAGACTTTTCAAAACCCAACCATGTGTAAACCTCTTTTTCACCAACATGGAACTGGTTCTATTCCAGTTCCTGCACCTAATTTTGAACCATTCTGAGCATTTTGATCAAGATCAATTGGCTCAGAACCCAAAAAGTTGGTTCCCAGCTGGAACAAAAAAAAATAGATAAAAAATTAGCAGGTTTCCCTTGACCTGAAGTGCGAACCGTGATGACATCAGTGGGTGCGTCATATTCTACAGATGGGAAAGAGAGGATGGAGAAGTCAAGTGAGAAATCATTGTTTGTCTATGCTTGGTTTTTTTGGATAAATATCAATAAAAACAGAACAAAAGCAGGTAATCAATGCAATCCATCCTCTTTCACCACTCTTAACTTCCATTTTGCATTATGCAACACATCCTGTTTATAACACATACATGGTTACAATAGTTCTGCGCAAAACTAGTGGAAATGCAGTCCGGTTCATTAGATAGCACCAAGGTTTCAAGAAACCTGAATGGAACCAGTTCAAGAAAAAGTGCTAATTTGATGGAATGCAATATGGCATGTGCAGCAGTAATGGCCTTTCAAAGTTTGACATTTTTACTTGTATTAGCACCCTCATCTGGTTCATCAATGCAAGAACATCATGCCAAAAAATGCCCTGTGTTTTCTCAAAATTGGACTAATAGTAATGTTATGTATGGACCATCATTTTACTTATTGTCTAAGGGACAGTTCACCTCAAAATCAAAAATCCATATTTTTCCTCTTACCTGTAGTGATTTTTGTCAGTCTAGATAGTTTTGGTGTGAGATGCAGAGTGTTTGAGATATTTAGATGTCTGCTTTCTCTCCAACATAAACAAAATAGTTGGCACTCAGTTTGTGGTGCTCAAAGCACCAAAAAATAAGTTTGAAAAACCCAACAGCAATGTCTCTTTCCAGAAAGCATGACCTGGTTACTGAAGATAATCCACACTTCTTGTTGTAAGCAGCTTCAAATAGGAACTATTTTCGTCGTTCCAAACTACACTTGCCAACTGTATAATGACACAGATGGAAGTGTGCATCTACTGCTAGATCACCTAGCACCACTGACCTAGCTAACATTACATCTCAGCCAAGGAGGAAGTCATTAATGTTTACATTTCACACTATCACAAGCACGAGCCCCTCATTCGTGAGTAGTTGCACACTTCCTTCTGTGCTGTAATACAGCTGGCAAACATTTACATGCACTTGATCAAATCAACCCTCTCAGATTTTGTTAAATTTGTCTTGATTGTCTTTGTTTCTTCAGACAGTATGTCATCAGTCAGCTCCCTGGCCTGGAGATTCTGGATGACACTGAGGTCCTGGAGAAAGAGAGAATCCAAGCTAGAAAAACCTACAGGCTGCAGCAGAGCAGTCACAGCAGCAGGAAGAGGAAGGAGGACTCATCAAAGAAACACACACACATGCAGAAAAAGACAAATACTGTTATAAGCCAATAGAATATACTATATTTAAAATCCTTCCTTCAAAATCACCCCTTTAATGTTACACTGCCAACATTATGATACACATTGTATGTTCTATGTCTGCTTGTTTGAGCATATATTTGAAGCTACAGGATGCTTACTCTGAATTTGATATTCAAATCCAAACACCATACTTTAGCTTCACTATCAAATTAAAACTGGAAATATTTTACATCTGTCTTGTGCTTTATTTTCTACACACACACACACACACACACACACACACACACACACACACACACACACACACACACAAAATAGCCTAACATACTTGACAGCTTTGGAATGTGATGTTTTCCACAATCAAGCAATACTGTTAGCCTGAACAATGTTTCATCATAAAAGTTACATTTGCAACAGGCAAGATCTTTTTAGCCAACTTATTTTGATGGGTTTGTTTGTAGACAAATTAAACAATACATACACACACACACACACACACACACACACACACACACACACACACACGGAACTGGAGTGGACTATGTTTAGTTTTCAGCAAATCACCAAGTCACCAAGTGTCATCTTTGATACTACCACTAGAGGGAGCCAAAATCAAATAGAAAACACCAGAGGGCATTCAGTGCTGTTGGACTCGATAAAAACGACTGGTGTCGATGTACCTGATTGCCTGCTGATGTCACTGTAAACCCCAATTCACTCACTCACTCACTGGAAACAGCTTGCACTGAAAATTTTTAGTTTTATTACAACACAATAACATAAAATCTTGAAAAAAACAAAATCCAAGGCAACTCTTCTCTGGTGCAAAAGTTAAAAGGCCTTTATTAAATGGCTAGTTCATGATGAACATTAAAATCACCAACATGTTTCGGCCATGCTCACTGGCCTTCATCAGGGCTTCATGCCTTTTAACTTTTGCACCAGAGAAGAGTTGCCTTGGATTTTGTTTTTTTCAAGATGTTCTACACTTCCTGACCAAAGAGCACCTTCCTGGATACCATGATACTGCAACCCACATGAGCACTTCATCTGCTGTTGTCTACAATAACATAAAACTTGAGAGTACATCAGACACAAATTAAATGTGTCACATGACGTTTGTCTGACAGGAAGTTTATATCAGTTTAACATCGTTTTTTTTGTTGTTGTTTGAGCACTTAATTATATGTCATATAAACATAATAACACTTTTTTTTGTTTCATTGATCTCTAAAATAAATTCTGGCAAGTTTAGGTTTCTCAAATGCTGGAATGAGACATCAAATTAAACTCTGATCTATGAAATTATCTTTGTTTCATCTCAGCACAACTTAATGCTGGCCATTTTGACAGCTACACAGGCAGGATGTCACTAACTGTGTAAACAACTTAACTTGTGGTGTAAAATGTCTTTTACCACAACATTAACTGTAACCCATTAGAACCATTGTGAAATAGATAAACATTATCACTATGTGTGGGTAACACATGGCTTTAAACACATTGTCTCGCAGCATGCTGGGAAACTCCACCCATTTAGTCCCAGCATGCCACAACATGTTAAGTGCACATTGATAGTGGGCTTTATAAATTTTGGTCAAATTAATCATAGATAGTTGACATAACATAAAAAAAAAATATGTCAAGTGAACACTGAGTTTTGCAGTTTGACCGTCCTGGGCATTTATGTAGACTTTACATAAATTTTTTGTAAGGCTTTACCCCCAACACTCACCAGCATTTTAATTTTAAGTAAAGTATTAAAGTTGGCATGGCAAATGCCTTTTTAACCTTTTTAGATCACCTCCTTGGGCATTTGTGATCCTATTCCAACAATATATGCAATAGTAATAATAGTAATAATAATTATAGCTGCTGCGCAGCAATGGTCAGGGCCGGGCAATTTTAGGCAAAATTAGGCAATTCTGAGCAACACACACACTAAAACAAAGCATATCACAACATACAAGTTACATCATATAATTATGGCATGACCTTCATATTGTGGATGAGTGGCTGAAGTGATCAGACTCATAATATACAAAGGAAAGAAAAAACTCAAGAACAAGAAAGTAAGAATAACATTAACTGCTAGCAATTATGAACAAACTGGCCTGATCTAGTTTAAAGCTAAACATTATCCATGGTGACAAAGATGAAAACATTTTTAAAATGTAAAAGTAGCTATTGAATAGACTCTGCATATTGACTGATAGCTAAGCCAAACAAACAGGGAAAAGAGACAAGGGATAACAGAGAAAAGTGTTGATAAAGAGTATTCATCTCTCCGCATAGCTGCCTGGATCATAATTATTTTAACCTTGGAAATCTCTAATCCACATAGCATGATGCCTGAACATAGGACTTTCGCATTAGAATGTCCATTCTGCCTTACCTGAGGCTTGAACTCACAACTTCTGAGACTGAGGTCCGTCTTCTATCTCACTGAGCTAATTGGCAAGTGACAGTTCATGTGTGGCTTCACAAACTGACTAAGCCAAGCATCAGGGTGCCAGACAGTAGCCATGCATGCCATGGAAAAGCAAACTTCAAAGTGAAAGTTCCAAAGCTGTAGCACATATGGTTGAGGACATCTGGCATGGGACTGGACCTTTATGAAAAGTTTAGGTAGATTTCTCATATGAAAATGTTGCATGAGATGAGGCTTGAGCTCACAATCTTAAACACCAAGAACCATCCTCTATCTCACTGAGCTAATTGGCAAACAGAAAGGTCCCATGTAGCTTCACAAATTGACTAAGCCAGTCACCTGTGTGCAAGACAGCAGCTGTTAGTGTGTAAAGGCAGATTTCAAACGGCTGTCAAAAATTCAGTTATTAAGACAAAAATCTGAAAATACATATACTGCATCTAGACAGCATGGAGATGTTGGTAATTTGTTTTTAACAATAATTTATTGGCTCCATAAGTGAAGAACTGATGTTTAAAAATGCCATTTTTGCATTTACTCCAATTGTTCGCATGAGAGCGAAATTCAAAATGCTGTAAAAAATTCAGTTTTTGAGATAAAATTCTGATATTTTCCAAACATCATCTACCATGACTCCAAAATTTTGTCATTTTTTTAATGAACATTGAAAATGTATTTAGCAAGAATTTGCAAGTATATGTTTACAATACCGTTTACAGTCAAACATTTTGATGCACTGTAGGCTGAAGATGCTCTGTAGCAAGTTTGGTGTCAATTGAGCAAAAATTGTGGGAGGAAATAGGTTTAATGTGACGTTTAGCTGTATAGAGCTCAGATTAAGTTAGCGAGCTACCAACAGCACGCAACATTGGCGGGTCTTTGTTTCCCCAAATTGTCATGGTCACATGAGGCGTGCTGGAATTCATTTACTTTGAGGAAAGTGGAATCTGTAATAGCTCCATTTCACAGTGGACTGCTTTAGCAATAACCTTACATGGAGTATACGATGTGCTTCGTCTCTCTCCTTGATGGATACCTCTATCTCGTCTGTGTTACACCATCGGGGCCGAACTGTTATGACACGCCCCCTTTTAACAATCAAACCTTTGTTTTCATTTCCAAAACAATGTTGCTGAGGCCTAATTGTTCATTCATTCATCTACTTCATTTATTATCTCTCCCTTGTCCTCTTCCTGATCTAATATGGAGGGAGGGGTGTGTGGAGGCAGCAGTCAGGTTTAAGCTTCACTAAACTCTAAGGCCCTGATCACACAGAAAGCGTTTTAGCAGCTGGAGGCAGCTTTTTGTAATTTTTCTTAATGAGAATGAAACTTTTTGCTCACTATTTCTCCGTTGCCTTGCACCTGGCATTTCTGCGCATCTAGTGATGCCAAAGCGCTCTGAACTCCTTGAGTTGAAAACACTTCAACTCACAGCTTAAAAGTACCCCACGTCACCTCCTTTGTCCTATTGGATGATTTGAGAGGCAGGCATTCTGTGGTGGTCATGACAACAAGTTTACAGTTCGTGAACAATGGAGGAGAAACTGGTGGTAGCAGTTGCTGGATACCCAGAGCTATACAACTTTACAATCCGCAGTTACCTGATCTCAATAGAAAACAGCAGCCGTGGAAGTGTATAAGTGCAGTATAGTTTTTTACTAGTGGCATTCAGTTTAAACAAAGAAAAAGCAGTGTGATGCACCTCACGTTTTGCAACCTGCAAAACAGTTTCTGTGTGATCAGAGCCTAAGCCTGCCCACTTTTAGTGGCCCAATCAAATGCAAAGGATTAGATTTACATCCCTCTTGCAACTGTGCATGATCAAATATTCCATTTTGCTGGGAAACACGTCACAGTAGAAAAGCTAAAGACTACTTCAGCAGTTAAGTGAAACAGGCCAAGTGAAAGACAAAATGTCCACCTTTTTTGTGAAATGCTGGCACATTGTTTCCCTCCTGTTGACACAGGCCAACTTCCTACCACATGCTTTGTTTTCTTTCTTTTCCACTCTGTGCTTTGCAGTGCCACAGCTTTTCCATTTCAGTTCTCCTCTCTGCACTCTTTATCTTATCTGAGTTCCTTCCTCTGCTCCTGCTCTGGTACTGGATGTTCTTTCTTTGCCCCCTTCCTCTGTCTTTACATGCATGGCTGTACCTCTCCACAGCTCCCAGTGTAAGGCAGTCATTTAATATAAAGAGTGTTTCCTTGCTGATGCCAAGCATAAGCACTTGTGTGCCAAACTGACAAGTCACACAGAGCATGAAGCCCAGCTGGCAGACCTGTTGTTCAGCTGTGCAGCAGGTAGAGGGTGACCTGTACTATTCCCTGCAATGTGTGCTACTACAGAAAAAAAACCATCTCTGTATCTTGTGGCATTAAAAACTTAAAATGCCCTATAATAATATGGGCATTTGCATGATATGCATTCATAACATGAAATGCATTATTTAGAGGTTACTAGTCGTTCAAGAATTCAAGACTACAACCCAAATCCAGTGTGTGTTTACAGTAACTTCAGCATAGAAAACCCCTGTGTCACGATCATGAAACAACCCCGGGCAAGTGCTATCTCAATCGATTACTTTTTAATTCATTTAATTGGGCATAGCGTTAGTTCAGGCAGGACACAGTGTCAAGCTCAGCTCACATCCCAGCTACATCAGCTGATCTCAAGCAGCCCAATCAACTGATGGGTCAGCTGATTGATGGAGGGGAGTCAGCTGATAGATCACATGATTCCTTTCTATAAAACCAACTGGCAGATCTCAGTCAGGGCGCCCTATTTAAACAGCTTTG